CTTGCGGGGGGAGCACCTCCCGCTGGTCCGCTCTGTCCTGGGACGCCCCGTCCGACCTGCTCTCGCCACCAACACCAGACGGCGTTGGCGCGGCCCATCTGGACAGTGACTCCAGACCTAGTTCAGGTAAATAGACACACCTGTTTTCAGTGCAGTGTGCAACACGCAGGGTGTCACTCTCCGATATCACTACAGCTCACCTTGTGTAAGCAAAATCCTATTAAACATTAACCCTGCTCTTTTTTTTACCTCGTGTTTACTTGGAGCCAGGGACTTGGCACTTGGCTTATTTGTTTCTCTCTCTCTGTCAACCTTTCTCGCCAAACGCCTTCCCGCTCTCATGGTAACTGTGCTCTCTGTGTCTCTACCACTGAGACGGTCCTGTCTCTGCTATGCACTCATGCACGCCTTCTTTTATACGATTCTTTACTCTCTTGTAAAGGGTGAACTGAAACCGCCGTGGCACTATTTCAGAATTCTAGGTTTGGAGTTTCTTTGCTTAACCTTTTTCATTCTTTCAAACCTTAAAATCAAATTCTATTTTTGGAGCTAATCTGGTGTTTTCACAGCTAGTGTGATTTTGCACTGCAGTGCTTTCATGGCACTTGTTAGTCAAACAGAGGATCGAGTCTTCCTATTGGAATGTATGTGTCCAAAGTTTGAGTTTCTATAGACAATGTCTTTGTTTAACTGCTTCTCGTATATCCAAGTTACAGAAGTGTATATATTCTCAAAAAAGACTTAAAGTACCGGTATATGGAATGGTGAAGAACATTTCTTACGAGGTTGGGTTTTATTTGTCACTTTTTTTCATGTTAACTTAAAAGTCAAAATAATAGATGAAGAAAAACCAACAAGTCAGTAATCGCACAATGTACAAAATGCAACCTTAATAATAATAAAATGAATAACAAGCAGTAAATAACAGCAGGATTACATCATTAAATCTAATCAGTTGTATATTGCCACCTAGATATCCACCTAAACATACTTACTGAACTTTTCTTCACTCTTTTTAAGGCTTCTATTCAGTGAGCGGAAGCTCTCTCTCAGACTCTTGCTACTCGGTGTCCAGTGACGCTGCCCAGGGGGGATCGGGGCCACCTGCTAGACCCCCGAAGCTGTGGGAGCCGGTTTCTCTGTCCGCCGACAACACTGACATCCTGTGGTCGGAAAGCACCGCTCCTCAACAGCACCCTGCATCGCAGAGCAGCCCGGAGGACGCTGGACCCACAGACGGCACACCCGCCCCAGGTGAGCTGGTGCGCGGGTTAAATCCATGCCGTGTTCATCCATTCGTGTAATATAGCAGGTTTAGAAACATCAACTAGAGACTGGTCAGTGTAGTTCTCTGGCCATAAACATATGTAGAGCTCTTATGCCTGGAAATAGATAAATGTACTGTATGAACGCTAAATGAAAGATTATGTTGAATAATAAAGCTAAATGTTTTGTTTGAAATTCTCTTCTTCTCTCGTTTCTTACAGTCCAAAATGACGTTGAAGCGACGGGTCTGGGCTTTCTGTCCGATCTTTGCCCAGGACTCTGTGACTCCCTGATGTCTTCCCTTCTCGAGCCAGCATCCTCCTCCCTCCATCCACACCCCCAGATGGACCCTCGCTACTGCACGGACCTGGTGTCCCGTCGGAACAAGGAGGTGTACCCTTACCCCAGCCCGCTGCACGCTGTCGCCCTCCAAAGCCCCCTCTTCACCTCCCAGAACCGGGAGCAATCAGCCTCTCCGAGCCCCGAAGGACCCCAAATAGATGAATCCCAAGAGTCCAACGCTGATCCAGCTCGGCTCCTCCAGCCTCAGCAGCCCACTGCCTTGGCTTCTTTAACCCAGCTGGAGCAGTACATATCTCGACTTGCTCGCCAGTACCAAAGTCGGGGGACCTCCTCCACCTCCGACCTCACTTCAGCTGCCACCCCAGGTCAAGTCCGGCACAGAGGCTTCTGTACCCTTGGCAAAAGTCACGGTTCTACACAGTCCCTTTCTGCCTTTGAGAGCCGCTGCACACCCTCCACCCTGCCAGGGGGCAGCATCACTCCGTCTAAGTCACTGCTGGGAAACTCCGCCCGAATCAGCCTGAGCACCACCGGGAAGAAAGCCACGAGAAATTCAATCAACCTGGGTAACCTTCCTTCAGCAACTGGAGAGGACGTGAACATAAATCTGCACTTGAACCTCAACTTGAACCTGACGCCTGGGTTAAATTCCAGCGGAGGCCCGGTGGATGATCCCAAAAAAGGCAGCTGTGGACCTTTGAAGAAGGACTTTGCTCCAGCTTCCACGGCCTCTGCTACATCACTCTCATCTGCTACACCCACCCCGGCAGTTAGGACTCGACCTCGCATTTCAACTTGTCCAAGCAGCCTGAGCCACCGCAGTTCCCTGGAGGTCACTTCAGGGTCTGGAGCCAGTCCTGGATTTGGATCGTCTACCTTCTGTCGCTCATTTGACTGGAGCAACGGTGCTCTGCCTGACACTGGACCACCGGTGTTTAGTGCAAATCCTGGACCAGCTGCTAAGTCTCAGCGAAATAGCTTCATCCAAGAGTCCAGCTCCAGTCCCAAGATAAGCGAAGACTCCCCAATGGTGGAGGAGATCTCCCGCCTCTCAGGCCTATCCAGGTCTGTCGTTGTGGGACTGATGGAACAAGGCGTGGAGCTGGACATTGACTGCTTCCAAACAGATACTGCGGGAGAGGTGAGGGCCCACAGTAAAACTCACTTGACTGCCCAGCCAGATCAGTCACATGACTATACTAGACTGACCGAACCGAATACCCAGAGGCCGATACAGCTGTCTCTCAGTGTCACCCATTCTCCGCAGTCTCAGTCCAGCCTCACCCCTCCTCTCTCACACTCTAGCAGCCCCATACACCCTTATCAGTCCATCCACATTCCCTCTCCCCACTACACCTCACACTGCCACTACCGGCAGGTCCCTTCGCCATCTGACCATCCCTCCTCTACAGCCTCCTCCCCCGCCTCCCGCCCCACCACCAGGGGCCGATCCCCTCCCCGGCCTCTCCAGCCATCCCCTCTGGGTGCCACCCCGCTCTCTGTTTTCCGTCGCGATGCGCCTTTCCAATGCTCCCTGCCTCGCACCAGTACGAGGAGCTCTCCTTCGGAGCATGGCGGCATCCAACCAAGAGGTGGATCGCTGCGGCAGAACGGGGGCGGAAGTGGGGGCGGTAGCGGGTGGAAGAGGGTTGAGGGGGAGGGTCTTTATAAAGGAAAACATGCCTCTCACAATTTGGTCCGGGCATCCACGGTAAGCAGCTACGCCAAGAGAGAGGACTATAGCTCAGATTGGGCTGAGGGAGAGGAGAGGGAGCGATCAGCGGCCCAGACACCCAGGAAGACCTCCAGCAAACTCTGGAAGGGCTTTGAGGGACGCCTGTGGGGCAAAGAGTCCGAAAGCGAAAGAGAGGAGATGGACAGGGCGGAGTATGGCTACGGGTGGAGGAGGAACAGCGTGGGAAGCTGGAGGAAGGAGCACCGAAGGGGGAAGGCTTCATCTAGCAGCAATGACAAGAGGCCCAAAGTGGAGAACTCACCCCTCTTCTCAAAGAAGAGGGGGAAGGAAGATGGGGAGAGACGTAGCACTAGCCTCAGGCTTTCCAGGAGGGCGTTGTTCAGGAGTGAATCCCAAGGCTTGCTGGTGTCCCGTAACCACGGCGAGGAGCCTCCAAAGCGAGCACACTGGGTCTCCTCATTAGATGTCGGGCAAGGAGGCGTAGGACTGAGCAAATACGAGGGCGCCAGACCGCCGAGAGCAGAGGAAGACAAACGTCTGTCCTCCACAGCAAGCCTCTTTAACCTCTCTCGCTCACAGAGCCTGGAAGACAGCTGCCATTCCCTCTCTCCTCTCTCCTCCCCTTCATTCTCTCCATCCCCTCCTCCACGGATGCCCCTGCAGCGCTCTCGATCACTGAGAGACTTGGGCCGGAAAGTGTTTGGCTCCATGAGGTCTCTGAGTCTCAAACGGAAGCCCTCCAAGAAGTGACACTTGACCTAATGATAACCATCAGTCATTTTATCTTCTAAGTATTACGCTCAAAACAAGCATGATGGCTGGTATTATACTTCATGGAAAAGGGAGTGCCATTATTTTAAAGCTTCAAGGACCTATGATCAATCAGTCCGATACACTGATTTTATGAAACACTGTAATATATCTACTTTTGTCCACTGCCAGTATGACAGAAGTTCCTCTCAGGCGCATAAAGTCTGTAAAACCTGCTCTTCATTTTGCTCTTTGCTCATTCATCTTAGTAAAGATTTTTATAGCCTCCCAAAAAAGAAAAGGACATTTTGTTCCAGCAGCATTGTATTTTGCATCCAATTGATTTCATTGTCATCCAAAGTTTTTCCTCACTGGCATTGTTTTATTGTAAATTGTGCACCCTACAGAAGCGAGGGTGAGCATTGCAGGGTGCAGCACGGCCCGCATTGAAACATCAGTGAGGGAAACCTAACACAACCTTATTGTGGGGTAAAAATGGACTTTTAGGAACTACAAATTATCTTAATCATTGTGGGTTTCGGTGTAGTTTTTCCTCGGTGTGAATGTTGTGCCAAAGGATTTTACATCTAAAGCTAAAAGCAGAGCCTTCCTGTACGATGGGTATGAATGTGGTATACTTCTGCATGCTGCTCTGTGACTAGTTCAGTGAATATATCTATTGTGAGAATGTGATATTCCTCTTTTTTAAGGGCAGCAGTGCCTCTGAAGTACAATCATATTGGCCAGATAATGACCAAAACCAAGCAAATACTCTTACTTGTTATTGTGCTCAGGATTTTACAATAAATATTGAATGATTAAAAGCTATTGATGAGTTAGACAAAATGTGGGATCTCATTGATAACAAATAATAAAATAACCATAACTAAACTTGTATTGTGCCTGAAATATATTTCTACATTATACAATATTAAACAAATTTAACAATGCTTAGTTTGTTAAAAAGACAGAGACTGGATTTGTTAAAAAAAATATATTTTACCAGAAAACTCACAAAATTGCATTCACAGTTCTGACCAGACATCTGCAATAATGTATAATATGAACTTAGTGCATTACGAGTCTGACTTTAGCTCTCAGAGGCTTTTGAGAAACATCCAAACTCATTAGAGCTTTGCATCTGTGTTGCTAGGAAACAAACTTCTCCAGATTCTCCTATTTTGAGCAGCGACATCTTTCGTTTAATTTTGATCGCCTCCCAGTATTCTGAGGTTTGATTCTTTCTTTCCTATGCTCAACCAATAAACACAGGTTAAGATGTGGAAACACTCTTTAGTTGGTTTGTAATCAGTTGAGGCGGATCAGAGTCTCAGTTTGAGGCTTCATTTGGTGCGTTTAGCTGCTCGGCTAAAACTCCTTCACCGCCTCGGTGGGTTTGGTTAATCTCTTCCTCAGAGCCGCTCTTCATGCTGGAGGAAAACATGCCTCGGTACATGGCCTTCTCTCTTTGTAAATCCTGACTCAGTTTCTCCTCGACCCTCTGCAGGTGTTTTCTCACATTGGCATCTGAGACAGAAAAGGAAGACATTTTATTTGGGAACGATCAGGACAAATGAAATGCATATCTCGTTTGTTAGATACACCAGGTGAATTAAGCCTAGTTTATGCTTCTGCGTTATCAGAGCGACGCAGACGCAAGACCCCCTTGCGTGTCCCTTGCGTGCCTGTTCACACCTCCTTGCGTGTGTCGACCCATTTTTCTGGGCTTGCAGCAACGCAAGCTTCCCGCAGCGCACAAGGCTGCGATTGGTCTGCTAACTACATCCTTTACGGAGTCTCGCATTTCCATCGCACAACACCGCCATTATTAAAACGAAGAATGTTTACGAGAGAACGGATCAGATTGAAGAACTTTTGTAAATACTTTTGTAATGTAAGAAATGCGTAAATATGACCGCTTATACAAGCCGTCATTGGCGGGTGTAAAGTCTATGATAAATAAAGTAAACAAACTAGCGACTTCCGCACAAAGACGTGACTCTAGGTTGTCTTTGACAAAAACACGTCGTTTTGTTTTGCCGGTGAATTGCTCCGCAACACACGCAGGACTTTTAGAACCATGAATTGAAACGAGTGCGTTGACGCAGCGGTGCGTAAAGAAGCAGAAGCATGCGGGAGCCTTCCCAGTCTTTATGATAAGTCAAGCTAACTGGCTTTAGCTTCATATTTAACATGAGTGAAATCGAGCTCCTCTGCAAACTCCAAAAAACTAAATTAAAAGAAATACATGATATACATACATCATATCCCTTTATTGCCTATATGTGTACACTGTACCAAGAAAAGGAAGCCTTAAATGAGAAGCAATAGAGACTAGCCTCTTAAATGATTTGTGAAAACGGGTGGGCTGTGGACGACTCTTCCTACCATTGGGCTGCTCCCTGCAGGCCCGGGTCAGGTACCGTTTGGCACTGTGAGCATCTCCCATCTCCAGCGTGGCCACTCCCGCCCTGTACAGCGCTTTGACGTCACCGGGCCGCCACTGCAGCACCCGCAGGCTGTAGTCCCGCACGCGGCAGTAGTCAACACTCGGCCTCTGCAGCAAGCAGGCTGAAAGAGACATACAAATCACACAAACATGTAACGCTATATTTATTCCAGTGCTTGACAACGCCGGCATTGCCGTGGCGACGTTTACCAGCCAGGTTGTTGTAACAGTCCCCTTGCGTGCTCCTCAGCGAGGCCTCCTGCTCGGGGGAGAGAGCGGGCATCTCCGGTCCTAACCCCTTCACCGACACCATCACGTCGGGGTCGAGGCCTCGCAGAACCAGCAGGGCTCGGTGGTAGCGTCCGATGGCCGAGCGAATGTTCTTATCCTTGTAGAAGGCGTTCCCCTCGGTTTTCATTCGGGCTGCTTCCTCCAGAGAGGCCCACACCGGCTTCGCGGAGGCGTGCTGGTGCGCAGGAAAGCCGGGTAACGCCGCTTCCCCTTGCACGTCCATTCCCTCGTCTCCTCCTGCAGCCTCCATCTCTGCAGTGGAGCTAGTTAGCTGTTGAGGTGATTAACGTTACATTGCATATTAACACGCGTTTTAATGGAGTTGTTGTAATAACTAAACTGCAAATACTGGGGAAACGGGCAGCAGATGAGAGAAGCTTTCGGGCTCTTTAAAACGTCATTTAACGTCAAACGCTTTGAACCGTAACCGTTAGCGTCGACGGGTTTGTGGCTACGGCTACCGGGGCTAGCGGAGTTAGCACGCCAGCTTCAGCTAGCTACCCGCACACCAGCTAACCCGTCCGCTCCAGTAACTAGTTTAACCGCTCTAAATGAGATTAATCCGCGACGGATCAACGGCTCACCTTGTTCGCGACGGGGAAACAAGGGGAATCGACGGACTACCAACGGTACTTCTTGCAGTGGACTAACGTCACCATTCTGCTGTTGTGCTTCGGCGTTCACAACTTCGACCTATTGCGGCGTTACTGCCACAGCCAGGCCGAACCAGGAAGCACCAGCGGTTCCTTCATTACATGCATGGCACTCGTTTTATCCCATTTGCACCAACTTTCATTTTAATTGAATGTTGTGTGTCAAACACCCTTGAAAATCTTAAGTGGGCTGTACGATGTGATCAGATCACTTAAATCAGGGGTCCCCAACCACCGGGCCAGCTGGTACCGGGCCCCACAGACGGATAATATATATATATATATATATATATATATATATATATATATATATATAATTTTTTTTGTCATTTTTTTATCTGAGAAAAGTTTTATATTGAAAATTGACCGGATTTGTGCGCTCGTTCATCTTGGTGCTGTCCTCTGATTTTGATGAAATTGCACTTTCTTGTTTCTTGTTCTTCTTGGTTTGTATCCTTATGTTTGAAATGCACTTATTGTAAGTCACTTTGGATAAAAGCATCAGCTAAATGACATGTAATGTTATGAGAATCAAATTGAACCGGTGTTCCTAATAATCCTTTAGGGGAGTGTATATATTCCCCGAGGAGCATGCCCCGGACCCCCCGAGGGGGAGTTTGCACCCCTCGACATTACTCCCTATTCCTCTATTTATCTTTTCACATACGATTAATGTTCGCTGCCATATCAATGTTCATTAGATTTTTACTTCAAAACATTTTTATTTCTCTTGCGACATACTGAAAATGTTTTTAAAGGAAGAGAGGAATACTTCCACCGCATTTGCTCAAGAATATTACACAGAAAGATTGCTAAACCACAAACCTGTCCCATTGAATAATTTCTCCGTCAATCTGTCTGATTTGCGGTTAACATTAATTCCATCTCATGAACTTCGGGCTCCTCCTCGTCTGTTTTGGTGGCACCGTTGCTCACTGACGTTGTTTTCTTTTTCGGTTTGTCGGTTTTCACATTAAATACGTCCCACCTCTCAGGAATCAGTCCTCTATTGAATATCAGTGCAGCTAGGTAGGAGAACAACAAAGTAGCAAACATGTTGGACAACATGCAGATCGTCTGAACAGGAGCGCGCTGGACGTATACGCCATTCTCCAGCGTGCAACCCGGGAAGCGGAGAACGACAGGCAACCCAATCGTTGGCTCGCCGCTCAGCACCCTCAGCACCACTGCGACGACCAGGCCCGCGACGGAGCCGTAGCCGTTGGAGACGTGGAAGAACAGGACACAGACGAGTTGGGGGAACATGACGGTGTAGGTTATGCCTGAGCCCAGGATCCAGAAAAACATAATACTGTTGTTTACGAAGGTGAGCGCGGTGCTGGCCAGGCCCACCAACGCCACCGTGGCACGGATCACCCACTGGAGCTCCCTCTCTGACGCCTGCGGGAGGAAGGAAGCCAGTGAGCCAAAAACAGAAAGGGGGTTGACCCCAAGTGTTGTCTTTCACTCAGGTCCCCTCCTACCGTGGTCCTCATTATGCTCTTATAGATGTTGGATGTGAAGATGGAGGCGGCGGACAACAAAGCCGAGTCCGTCGAGGACATCACTGCAGCGGCTATCGCTCCGATGCCGATGATGGAGATGTATTGTGGGGTGAGGTGCTGCAGAACAACAGGCAGAACTTGACCGGCGTCGCCGCGCTCGTATGGGCTCGGGGAGCCGTACGCGGTTGCGTTCCAATCTGAGGCCAAAAATGGGACGTAAGTCAGCAGCATAGTCTCTCTACACGTTTGCTATCTATCGCTATCGCTGCACCTGTTGATGCTGCCACCGCTCCAATCAGCACGGGTGGGATCCCGAGTATGAAGATGAGAGGCGCTGCAATAAAACAGGTGAGCCGAGCGGTAGCTGATGAGGCAGCCGACAGCGTCCTCTGGTGGAAGTCCTGGTATCCAAGGTTACCTAATGACTGGAAAAAAAAGAAGAAAGAAAGAGCCTTACACAGTGGGAATACGTCATCCTGGCCTTTTTAGTAGTAGTGTCACTTCACTTTTAATTTCCATGTAAGCACAAACGGTCGCACAATGGTGTTGTTTTCATTACTATATGTCTTGATAAACTAGAATCAGCCTTATATAAACACACTTACAAATAATAAGAGACAAAGGTCAAGGGTCAGGTTGGACAAGACAACTTTCTTGTTGTCAGACAGCCTTGTTGTATAATGAACTGCACCTTAGAGTCTTGAGTCTTTAGTAGTAAATATTAATTTGCCAGTTCAAATACTGGACACTGATAAGTTTGGAACATAAAAAAGGTTATTGTTTAATCACTAATATTATTTATTTATAAATATGATATAATGTATACTATTTTACATTTTAGCCATCACATCAAAAATATCTCACCAAATCCTATTTTTGTGGCAGAATGTGTACACACTTGTATATTTAATTTAATATTTTTATACAGTTGGGATGCACAGGTGTTACTAATAACAATGAATGACTTGTTTTATAAAAATTTCCACTAAGGTGTAATATGGAGACACCATTCACAATACCAGGACCCTAAAACTGCAGCAGCTCAATGGAATTGAGACATTATTTATTTACACTTATTTTACTGCTGTGTCAGAATGATCCCTTACCAATATTAAGAAATGATCAATCCACCTCCACGCTCTTTCTTCCACCGAACCGACCCAGGGGGCCTGGTAGGTAAAATTGTAAGCAGTCTTGGTGATGTCAGTTGAATGGGTGCTCATAAAGATGAAGGGGACACATAACCACTGCAGAAAAAAACACTCACTTACTAAACCACTTTCTGTCATGTCAGACGATATGAGATGTTGTGGGACAAGAGAAAACTTTTTAAAACGTCAGAGATGTTTCAATTGAATTGATTCATGCAATTCTTTCGGAAAAAGTGAGGTCACTCACCAAACTGATGAATATGAGAGTTAGCTGTATGATGTCTGTGTATGCGACCGAGTAGAGGCCTCCCAGCAGTGTGTAGATGATGGCTACTGAGGCAGAGATCCAAATGCAAACAGAATAGGGCAAATCCAGGATCATGGCCATAGTTGCACCTAAAAAATTGACGCAATACTAAGCAAGATGTCGCTGCTCGTGGTACAAAATGGATACATGTCAAAATAATTACAGTGGTGGTGGGGTGTGGCTCGGCCGCAGATGAACCCTCCCAACCCCCGTGGTATATTTGGATTGTGTAACTACACGGTCCGAAGAATAAACAATTGCTTGAAGTACAAATATTAGATCATAAATAATTGTCACTGTGATTTACCTAAGCCAATTAGAGTTCCCGTAACCCAGATTATGTCGGATATCAGCAATGCCAGTGACAGAACTGCACTTATTGCATTTCCATATTGGATCTGGAACGGGTCCATCATGGTCGCATATCTTCTGTCTCTCATTGGCTTTGCAAAGAAAAGACCACCTAAAGAATTGCAAAAGAGGGAGAGATTGTTTTCACAGTTCAAAACTGACTAAGAATTGCACCTTTTGTAATAATGTCAAAGTCACAATGGAAAGTGTAGTCTTTTTTATTTACTGCCTTTAGGATTTCCTTCAGGATGAATGCAATTATCGGGTATGTGATTTAAAAGACAGATCTGCCCCAGCAAAAACAAGGTCGAATTTTTGCATTTTGGAAATCCCAAACAGAAGATCATTAGATCATATTAAGTCATTATTTAGGTGCCTGAAAACCTTTCTCACCAACAATAAAAGACAGGGCTGCTGAGGCCGGCATGACAGCCCATGTCAGTCCCATAGTTGGAGTGTACACTATCTCTGCCAGACCCATAATGAAGCCCCCTCCAAGAAACGTAGCTGTAAGAAAAATACACACACACACATCATTGTTCATAAGAATTCCCTAAATTTGTGAGACAATTTAAAATTTAGTATGAAGTATAAAGGTAAGTAAACCATTTACATCATATTATACATTATACATAAAATACCGCATTAAACTCTTAAAACCTATGTATTATAAAATGAAAAAGAAAGTCTAATGAGACCATTGTTAATATTTGGTGCACTATAGATTCAAACAGTTTAAACCCCTCTAGGGATATTATACAAGGTATACACCTTGTAAATATTTGTGTTTGTGTGTGCATGCCCAACTGCACCGATTAGACATACAGGTTGTGACCCAAAGAATGTCCTCTAGGAAATGAAAAATCAAAGGCATTGGGACGAGGGTGGGTAAAATAAAGAAACCTCGGAATCAACATGTGGCTCATTGCAATAGCTTTATTTTTCTTAAAAGTCCACACGTACTCCTAGAAACTGCTTAACTCTACCTAATGTGACTTTTATTTGAGTTCGCTCTCCACCCCCATCACTCACCTGTCATCGTGAAGACTCCCACCACCAGGCTGATGCCCCTGTTGCCCAGCAGTGTAATCTCTGTTTGGTCACCCTGGCTGCTCTTCTGCAGCCCCTTGCTCTTGACGGAGGCCCAGATACCGGTGCCCAGCACCAGCAGGTAGAAGAGCACCATCACTACCAGTCCCGGGACGTTGAGGCTCATCATGCAGCGACGCACTGACTGATTGTGGCTCCCACTTCCTTCACTGATTTTGCATGTAGAGACAAGCAGAGCGGATTTCTCCGATTAGCTTCTCACTCCTGAGAAAACACCCTAATAGCACCCTACCAAGTCCAAAACCAGTATAACTAGCTGAGGAGGAATGCAGGTGCTGAAAAAGCCCCCACCCCCCTCCCTCTTTTGCTAATGGAGTTTGCCAATATTTAGACTTGGTTGGAGAAGTGAGACAGATAACTAATATCAGCAGCAAGATCGAAAAATGTACGCTGTCTCCCTGTACTCGGCTGCTATTGTGAGAAGCATCTGACCTTTATCAGCAGTGAAAACACCACAAAATTACTCTGCCAGTAACAAGGACACGTGCACCGATGCGTTGGGTCGACTAGGTCCACGCTCCTAAATCCAGCCTTCTCTCCGGAAGACCCTAAATTAAATATTCAAGGTTAAATAAAAAATACGGACTTAATCGATGTTGAGTAAAAAGAGTTTAACGCTCAACAAAACTGAGTGTCTTCAGCTACACTCGCGGCTCTGTGAGACTGCACACGCCGGTTATTTGACATGCCTGTGTCATGCAAAGGCAAGGCCAGCATGCTAATGTTTAATCTATGGGTGGATAACAAGACCATGCGGTGAGGCTGCTCAGCATTGCAGCAAAAAAATATCCCTCGAGGCCCAAATTTCATTTTCCCTTGAGACCGACAATCAAAAGAGACGTCTGTATGTTTTTTTACTTTGCATATTGATAATATTTCCTAACGAGAAATATTTAATGAGCCTAGAATAAATCATTAAACATTCAAATTTGATCTTCCTGTCTCATCGCATTCACCTTTGGAAAGATTCTTTTTTTATGACCTCTCAGAAGGCTGATAAGCAAGTTGAGTTGTTGAGTCCATACACTTTTTTCTTCTCCTGTTGCTGGAATAAAGTACTGATGCTCAAAACACCTACTTATTTTTTTTTTTTACTTCTCTGGATTTCTTTCATGATGTCTTTTAAAATATAAATTCCTGAATTAACTTTTAAATTATTTCCTGGAATGGTTTACCTCTGATCTACAAAATCCAAGAGTGTCATATTACTTTGCAGTACCTCTTCCCCATAAAACCATAGAAGTACATCGCAAATCAATTATTGGCCATTCATGAATCTGAGACATGTTAAGGATGTCCTTAAGCTATCAATTTATAGACAAAAAAAAACCTTTTATGCAGGAAAGAATGTCAGATAAATCAAAGCAAACCAGACTGCTGCCTAAAGCCTACTATGAATTCACCAGTTTCAAGGTAAATTCTGCATTAAATAGTTTACACCAAGCTATTTGGACCGTCTAATGAATCAAAATCAGCTTTATAGGCCTAGTATTTTTGCACTTACAACAAGTTTGACTCTACTTTCTTGCAACTCTCATAAGATAAGATAATCATTTTATCAGTCGCACAGTGGGGACATTAAGCATAGATTAAAGTGCAAACAATAGCCATGGTACAAATAAAACAAGATCAAATGCAAATAAGCAGTAACAAAAACAGGAATCTCCAATAACTTAAATGAAATGTATTTACCGCCAGAATGACTACTATACTTATTATGAGGAAGGAGCTGTGATAGGAGTTGTTGCCCAAGTGTTTTTGTTTCCCACCCATGGGGCAGTTAAAATTGAATGAAGCCCAATCAGTCAACTGCAAGGGCGTTGTAAGCCCAAGGCGACAGTGGTGTGGAAGACAGTCAGCAAAGGCTCATGATCATGTTTGGGGAAAATACATGCCACGTGTCTCCAGCTCCACAGCTGAAGGATTTGGTTTCCATTCAAATAATGCAATTAAATAACAACAACATATGTATTGTCATTTTGGACTTACAACTCCAAGTATTTAAATGATCAAACACCATTGAAAAACAATGAATGGGTTCTTTGGTGAGGCTTCCTGTGCAATTGCCCACTTTAGCAGATGGTAATCCAGTCTTGACGATGGTATTGAAAATGTTGAATTACATTGCTTGGTTTATGGACACGAAGCAATCATAGGTCCAAATGCACATTCAGAACAACCTTTTTCCCCCAAAAATGGCTGGTGGTGAAAGAAGTTAAGAGGGTTATTGATAGAGGAGTCGTTTAACAAGGTGAAAGCCCTTGGGGGATGTTGTGTCAAATGTCGTCTGATCAAAATAAGTATGTTATTGAGTGATGGTAAGTTAAGGGGCCTGCTGAATTGATCTAACAGGAACATGTTTAAAGTGCACTTCATGTTTTTCACCGCAGGAGGCGGTGACGGTGGTCAACGTCCATGCGCATGCGCAGTGGCACTTCACACAACCGCAATAAGCAAACATGGCGGCGGCCGTCGACAGTGTTGTGAAAGTGTAAGTTTACCTTTATTTCTTGTAGGAATTAAACGCGCAGCCAGGCGGCGTTAAACGAATATCTAATCAGCCATCATGTTACCACGAGATGCTGAAGACTGTAACGGTATATACCGCGTCCTTAACCTTCAGCACAGTATATGTCCCGAGAGAATATCGTTACCCACTGAGCTAATGTTAGCCTGTTAGCTGTGGGCAAATATAAATGAGGCGAACCCATTGTGGAGCCTTGTTTTAGTCACCGTGTCTCTCCGATATAGCCACGGGGGGAGGGAGGGAGTCTCTCATTAAGCTGGTATTGCACACGATGTGTCCAAACTGTTGCTAGCCAACCGCCTGCAGTTGCATACGAGGATTAATTCACCAGTAACCTGTCATGTTGGCGGGTGCTTTGTTGTGACGAAAGGCTCGCTAACAATCCACCTTTTGTTCCCACGTCCCTCCGTCGTTACTGGTGTCGTTGTGCGGCGTGTTGACACCGGGACTCAACGCTAATTGGTGTGTGTGTGTGTAGACGTAGAGGTAACTGTTGGAACGGACAAATGGGTTCGAGGGTGAAGAGAACGAACGCTGCATCTGTGCGGAACGGCGCTCGCTCACCATGGTGATCGTTCCCTGGAGTTACGTTACAACAAAAATGGCTGCCCCCTTTTTTTTTTTAATTGGGAAAATTGTACACGTTCGAAATATTAAAGAAATAACGGCACGGCGTGCAAACAAAGTAACAGTCGATTGTCTCTATTGAAATGACCTGCCGTTTATACCCGACTGGTGAGGATGTACTTGATTGGCTCAACAGACGTTTATCTTTTAAAGATAGCCCGTACTTATCCCTTATTATGTGAGTTTACATCACATAATAAACCCAGGGATCATCTGCTGCAGTTCTACAAAAGCCAATGTGTATTCACATATTCAAAGTATGGGAAACTGTGACCCATAACCATAGTTTTATTCTGAGCATACGTTTAGTTGTAAATGAGTATAGTGTCGGCCCAGCTGATTTGATCTTATTGGAGCCATATTCGTACCGTTGAATGTTGTATTGTATGTTTGCAGACTTGTACATTAAGTAAACTAAGATTTCTGTTTATTTACCCTCAGGGCAAACAAGAGATCATTCATCTTCATATAAAAAAAGACAACCTTGACTTTGATGCATTTTGAGAGCTCCAGAAAAAGACAATAAGTGACTAGTAATTTGTCAACTACTATTCACTTGGTCTCAATGAACTATAGTCCTTAAAAGTAAGGGAACTTAAATGCATGGGTGCAGGAAACGGTGTTTGTTTAACACAGTTTTATTAAGCTTGATTTGCAACATATCTATCAAAGATTATTTATCTCTTCTTCTTATCCGTTTTATTTGACTCATCTGGGTTCAATTTCCTCATTTCAGACTGGGAGAGCAGTATTACAGAGATGCTATGGAGCAGTGTCATAGTTACAACGCTCGTCTGTGCGCCGAGCGCAGCATCCTGATGCCTTTCCTGGATTCTCAGACTGGTGTCGCCCAGTCCAACTGTTACATCTGGATGGAGAAGAGACACCGGAGTGCAGGTATACAATGAGTGCGGAATTGTATTTCAACATCACACCACACACTCCGTTTGCTTCTATATGTGCCGTTGCGTGTCTCACCAGGTGTAGCTCCGGGGCAGCTGTACACTTACCCCGCCCGCCGCTGGAGAAAGAAACGGCGTTCTCATCCACCGGAGGACCCTCGCTTGGCCTTCCCCCCTCTCAAAGCAGGTATGACTTTTGGTGCAACATCTTGTTTCCCAGAACCAAAACAGGGCCCTTGGGTTCATTCATTCCTTCTAGAAAAGCTTTTAAATATATTTAGTAAATTCTGTGTCCATGACATGTCAATGGATGTTTTATTGTTTTGCTCGGCGTGTGTGTGTGTGTGTGTGTGTGTGTGTGTGTGTGTATAGCAGATTTGGAGCTGGGTCTGAAGCGCGAGGCTTTGGGGCCGGTGGATGGCAGCAGTCTGGAGGCCCTTCTGAAGGGGGAGCCCCTCGACAGGAGAAGCGGCGTGTCGGACCTTCGAGGGCCAGAGGACGATTCAGCAGCTGTGGAGCCTCCCGCCACCTCGGCCACCACTCATTCGTCCTCTGGCCGCGTCCGCAAGGTGCAGCTCAAAGCCGGCTAAGCACTCCTGTTTTTGGCCAATGCGACTTCTTTTCAGTACAAGTTATGGATAAAATAAACTTTCAGTCACTCTTCACTTTTTATTTAAAGATGCAGGTCTTTCTTCTATGGAGTTTCTAGAGAACACAACAAAGAGCAGGGTAAATTTAAGCTTAGTTTATGCTTCTGCGTTTTCAGAGCGACACAGACGCAAGACCTCCTTGCGTGTCCCTTGCGTGCCTTTTCACACCTCCTTGCGTCCTTGCGTACGTCCATTTTTCCCGCAGCGCACAAGGCTGCGATTGGTCTGCTAACTACGTCCTTTACTGAGTCTCACATTTCAGTTTCCACCTATTGTTCTGGCGGTGAATTGCTCTGGAATTGGAATTGGAATACTATTGTCTGGTGTTGGATTAGTCGGGTAATCGTAATGTTTTTGTTTTACTTGCAGACATGGACACAATAGTGGACAAAACGTTGATGCAAGTTTTTAACTAGCATCAAAATGACGGTAGTAAAGTATGAAACGGTTCCTGAATTCAGGAGGCGAGATCTAATCCAGACCTTCTCACTGCAGAGAGTCCTGGACCACGACGACTACTTAGATGATCTGGATGATGACGACTTTGAGGATGAGACCCCAAAAAGGCGAGGCAAGAGCAAGTCTAAGGTCAGTGCCTCATCCTTTCCTGCAGTCAGTTCCCCATGGGATTGATGCTTCAGTAGTGCACAACGTGTCAACTGTTAAATGGCTTCTATAGGGCCGCAGTGACAAGAACGGCAAGAAAAAGCAGGAGGCTGCGGCTGCAGCGCTGGAGGAGAGGGACAAACCGTACGCCTGCGACAGTGAGTAGAAGATTCCTTTTGCAAAGTGCATCATGCATGTCAGCAAGAAAAGGCTTTTGCTTTTCCCCCGAGAAACAAAAAACTACGTCTTCTGTCGCGCATGAACCCGGAACTCAAGTTTGTCGGCATAGAAATTTGAAAAAGTCCAAATACGTCTTTTACTTCTTTTCTGAAATGCCGCTCTGTGTGTTTTCTGTAACTTTCTATCGCTTCAGCTAAATACTAACCATTTTTTCTATAAACAAAAAAATAATATAAAAATAAAGCCAGTTGTTGGAATTAGCCGCCATCACTTAAACACTTTTCTGTGTGTGTGTGTGTGTGTGTGTGTGTGTGTGTGTGTGTGTGTGTGTGTGTGTGTGTGTGTGTGTGTGTGTGTGTGTGTGTGTGTGTGTGTGTGTGTGTGTGTGTCAGTCTGTGGGAAGCGCTACAAGAACCGCCCTGGCCTGAGCTACCACTATACACACTCTCACCTGGCCGAGGAGGAGGGCGAGGACCGCGAGGAGATCGAGGCACCACCCACTCCTCGCCAGCCTGAGGAGCAGAAGAGTGAGTCACTCTGTAATCGCAAGAGAGAGCGAAGGGAGTGTTTTTTGTCACAATTGTCAATTGCCCCTGTCTTCCCCTTTGGTCAAGGGTCACAATTATGCGATTTTCAGATAGTTAGTCTGAATACAATCGTAAATGCGCACATTGCTCCCTGTCTTCCCCAGTAAAAAGTTCGATGCTGATGAACCGGAAATACTGTACAATTACGCCTATAATTTTATACACATTTTTCAAATAACCAGATAAAAAGACAAGTTATCATCATTAGAAGCCCAATCAAATAACCGAAATTTGGATTTTTCTAAGAAGAGAGAGAAAAAATAATTAAAAAAAATCCCAAAGTACCAAATACCCGTCTTTGTAACCTGTTATCACCCGTTATAATTCAGAAAACCCCGTTTGAAAATCAGAATATCAACTTCTTACCCGATTCGTGTGAAAATCTTCCTCATCGGATCGTGTTGAAGCCAATCAGGTCTCTTTTGGTCGCCGGTCCCCTCTCTCTGAGTGTGATGAGGTATAGGGCAGAATCACGTTTTGGTGGATCCTGAAGGGGCCACTTCCCGGACGTCCCCGGAGTCCCGACGGAGCTTCAAACGATCCCACTTCTGACACCAAATTGTGGTGGAAGATTTTGCACAGACAATCGTTAAGTAAGAAACAAAGGCTCTGAGTCAAGTATGTCTTTTCTCCGTTTATTTCCTTGCAAGGGAAAAAGGGTCACAACAGCTACGTGGTCAGTAGACTGTCAAGAACCTCCTTTTTCCCCCAACACATCGAGGCAGTTCTTATACCTAAGTTTAGATATCGGTGGCGTCAACAGAAACCGTTAACCATCTTGTTGAGTATCTACAGCCAGGGTACTGGGAACATCTTATCCATGTGAGACACGTCAGTTCTTTGACCGTGTCCTTGCTCTCCCAACATGCTAAAACAAAGGTGGTCATAGACATAACAAACACTTTGTTCAATCTCTACAGCTATGACGCTGGAAACATCTAATCCAAGTGGGAGACATCAGTTCTTATGTCAGGGCCTTTGTGATCCAACCACTTGCAACCAATAAACTGGTTATACAAATGAAGCATTTAAAAGGGTTACATATCATTTTCCCATTACACATACCACGTAGCATGAGTGTGTTTGTAAAAGGGAAGTCTCTCTCGCTCTCGCTCGCTCGTTGTTTTGTCTTTTTCCCCCACCATTTGAATTGAGATGAGACTCAGTGTTTCTGACTGAAACAGACCTACACTGTTGAGAGTGCCGTTTTTATCCAAATCATTTATATTTTATTCCCCCCCCCCAACATATCCATCACATTGCTGTTTTCTTTGTACAACATCGTGTTGTTAGAGAAATGTGTTTGCAAATCAATTCAACAAGTGTGTTTGGTCATTTGTGTGGATCATGGGTCATCAGCTAGTTCCTGAGATGAAAAGGTGGAGTTTCAAAGTTTACATTTCCTTGTCCTTGATTACTCTACTTCAGTTCCGAAGTCCACTCAACGCTTTCCTCACTCATTCTCTTGTCAGCTACTAAGAAGGGTCCCAACGGACTGGCAATGCCCAACGATTACTGCGACTTCTGTCTGGGAGACTCCACTTTAAACCAGAAGACCGGCCAATCAGAAGGGCTGGTGTCCTGCTCGGACTGTGGACGCTCAGGTATGACCGTGGCGTAGCCATTTGAATCGCTAAGCGACCCGTAACTAAGTAGTTACATAGTTACGGTTGCTGTGCCTCTCGAGGTTTCTGCTCTTGCATCTCCCTGGACTACATTTCTCCCGTGTGTTCTCCTTCCGGCAGGCCACCCGACATGCTTGCAGTTCACACCAGTGATGATGGCTGCAGTGAAGACGTACCGCTGGCAGTGCATAGAGTGCAAGTGCTGCAATGTTTGCGGCACCTCAGAGAATGATGTAAGCTCCCCCTTTTTTTTAAAATAGACACCCGCGACAACATTTCTCCCATGTCCCCTCCTTCCTGCAGCTCATGTATGCGTCAATATCTGAAAAAATGCACAATTTTTTAATGCAGCTTTTCTATATGTTCCCTTGTTTTCTGACTGGGTTGTCGAACTTCACTGATGTAAAATACTGTTAAATAGCTCGCCGGGTATTTCTTTAACATATTATTTAGTTTGTTAGCTGCGAGCAGCTCATGTCGTATCATCAAGTAAGAAGTTTTTCACCTGTTTTTATTTTCCACCTTTCATCCAAAATATGGGTCCCGAAATTCGGAGTCAAATGCTTTTACTCTCAAATAATTTGATTGTCAAATGTGAAGCAAAGCCGGCAACAGGGCGTTAGTGAGACAGGCTGGATCCTGTCTCACTTTCTCTGCTCCCTGACTAGTCGGTAGACTGAACACGATGTTGTGTTTTTGTAGGACCAACTGCTGTTCTGCGATGACTGTGACCGGGGCTACCACATGTACTGTCTAAGTCCCCCCATGACCGAACCGCCTGAAGGTAAGCTAATGCCGCCGAAGTTAACAGACTGAGGACGTGTGGTTGAAGGCCGGTACGGTGAGGCGCCGCATATCTACGCATGTCTATCAAAGGTCAAATGTATTTTTTGTCCTCTCGTCTTTTGATCATTTAATTTGACAGTTATTTTGTTATCAGTTAAGCATCCCTGTTAGAAGATATTTATTAAAGTCTCTACTGAGACTTGATAAACCCTCACTGTGTTTATATTTTGTACAGGGAGCTGGAGCTGCCACCTGTGCCTTCTTCTGCTGAAGGACAAAGCCTCCATATACCAGCAGAACCAGAGCTCCACCCCCGAGTGACATCATATCAACAAGTCCTGCCCCCCCCCCCCGATGTAAACATCAGTCCTCCTCTCAGTCCAGAGCACCAGGCTCGGTCCAGATTTAGCCGAGTCAGATCGCGGATCAGCGTTAGAAGTCTTAATGTCAGTAGGGCGATCAACGCAGGAATCAAACTATCACTACCAACCTGGCTGCTTCCCATCAAACACGTACACATTGTGAGTATACACAGTATAGACACACACTCTTCTGGACTGTTACACACACTAGATACAGAGAGCATGCAGTAACCATGGTAACCAGTCTCCATGGGAGCAAACAGGTTAGCCTCACAGCTAATTATCTCCACGCACACTCAGACACACTCAGACACAGTGTGGACGGGCGAGACAACACTCATTTTTTTCTTCTTCTGCCAAATTATCTATTTTTACTCCCTGATTGTGGGAGAAAGAAAAAAATCACCACTTATACGGTCAAGGAATATTATTATTACTACTATTGTTATTGTTCTGGTTACTAGTGGACTTTTGTAGTGACATTTGTCTGTGTACTTTTGTCTGATCCATCGGAGCATCAATCGTTTATCGCGGTGTCCCCGAAGGGACCGGGTTGGTGCCAAGGTCCTCCATCATAAGAAATACACACAACAAATACCAATGGAGTTTATCAAAACCGTGCCGACCATCTTCATCTTGGGACAATAGTACTTTTTTTTTTTTTTTAAGTCTTAATGTTTTTTCCTAAACAAAGAAACTTTGACTTTGACCCGTTAAGCTGTTAGCACAAAATCTTTGGCCTTGCTTCTTTTAGAGTTCAACCAACACCAACTTTTCCTCTTTTTGTGAGTTACTTTCACCGAAACACTTTTACTACAAAGCATAATAATGTTTGACTTGGACTCACAGAAACATTTAGTGAAGCACCCTCTTCAATATCATTTCTCCATCAGACAGCTCACATTCTCCTATTTTGAAAAACGTGGCTTTTAATGAGTCCGATAGTTGTTTTTTGTTGAGGAAACTGACCAATACGTGGAACTGGTAATCATAAAGATGCATCCTTTTCTCACTAACTTTTGAGAAACTGTTTTGCAGTGACATCACCCATCACAAGTCGCCATCTGCTGTTAAACTGATGACAGGATCATTTGTAGATTTTAGCTGCTTTTATCATTTGTCACACTGAGGCGGATTTGCATGCAGATTGCACCTGTACGACTGCACACACACACACACACACACACCACAAAGGTTTTGGGTTTGTTTTGTGCTTTTTTTTACATTTTATATTACCTGATATTCCATTGGTATTGGGAGTTTTTTCTAGTAGAATTTTGTAAAGTCTATGGCATAGCAAACACTTCAATATAGCTCCTAATGCATTCTATGTACTGTATTGACTTTTTCTATTTTTGTTATGACTGTGACATGTTTGAATTTATTTGATTATTCTGATATGTCAAACCTCCATTATGAGTATTTGTAAAATGATGTACTTTGTTGTACTATTTTTATTTTTTACATTTATTTGGTATCAAAGCCGATTTAGCCTGACTGAAATAAAATCACTTTTAAATAAATGCTCATTGTGACAAAGTGTGTCCAAACCTTTTGACTGGTACTGTACATTTTCAGCCGTCGGCACTGCGGATCACTTTGTGTTAAAGTATTGTGTTGCTTCTATGTTGGAGGCTGTTTATACATCCACACTTTACATCCACCAACTAATTGAGTGTCTTGTCTGTTCACATGGGGAAATGTGGCAAATGGTGGTGTGATTCCCACCTGTAAAATGAGAACGTAGATGATTGAAGACCTGCAAAAAATATATATACGGGTGCGTCTTTGGAATAACATCTTGAGGTTTAAAAACTTGTTGTTTATTATGTGTGTGTGTTCTTTTTCCCGGCTTCAGCACTTGGACAGCTCCCTGCAGCTGGCCAGTTGAAAGCTCTGGGACTTTCCACAGTAATGAATAATTTCATAGTATAACCTGTCAAAATCTTATTTCATTTGAAAGAGAATGGTCATAGCATATGTAGAAAAGTCAGTTTGTCAAAAGAATTGTGTAGTATGTCCAAAAAAGAACAATATAGTATCTCGAAGAAATAGTATAGGAATTTAGGAAAAAAAATGGTAAAGTATCTCTCAAAAAGCCCTTGTTTCATAAATCAATAAATCATATTTGTAGTGTTTTGAAAAACGGGATAAAAAGTCCTTGCCTGGTCAGCAAAACAAGAAAGTAAATGTGCAAGTGAGACTAAAAACACGCTTTGTTTGACGTCTGCACTTTTTGTAATTTACATAAAAGAAAAAAACTTCACAGAACAGAAATTACATTTTATTTCACTCATCTCTCTCTTCAAACACAGACACTCAAAAGCACGTTGCCTTTGTTCCATCACGTAAATGAGCACCTCTGTGCTGAGAAGCTTTGAGGGGGGGGGGGGGCGCAAGACAACAGTGGCTTAGTGCAATTATGTGGAGCGTGATGACCAGCCATGCTTTACTGCTCACAACTACAGACACAGGGGCGTGATGGAGACTCTGCAGTGAACTTTACATAAAATAACTGCACTGAGAAGCGGCTACATAAATCTATGTGTGTAATCATCGGGTCGTTGAGGTTACTCGTTATAAAACGACGAGAAGTAAACGTACACACTTTGGGGTTCCTCATACCATATTGGTTTCAGAATACAGTACTCACATACTATATAAATTTGTTGCGAGACGTAGTGCATTACCAGTCTGAACAAACAAAATCTGGGCTTCAGGTACTCTGTACAAAACTGTGTAAAATACTTGCTTATCACAGGTAAACAGAGTCGCTTTCAGGCCGGCGGTGTCAAAGTAGAACCGCTGGAACATACGCGGCCTTCACGGAGCACTACAGCCTCTCGAAGCCCACGGAGCAGAGGAGGAAGATGGCGTAGAACAGGATGAGACACAGCCCCAGCCGGCGGTCCAACCGCCAGGAGTTCAGGTGGACACACATAACCTAAAAGAAGGAATCGCCGGAAAGAGAGAGAGCTTTATCACCTTTGCACTAAATATAATGAGTTTGATAACAGATTTTTAAAAAATAAAAACAGGCAACAGATGTTGCTGTTGATGTTAAAATCTGAGGAATAGTAACAGGATCTACGTGAATTGAACAACAATGATGATAAAGGATGAAGAGTGTAACTCACGGTGAGTATGACCGAGGCCAACAGAAGAATCACGGAGTACACCAGGCCTTTGCTGTTGATTGTCACCTAAAAACCCAGATCACCAAAGCTTTAAAATGTTGGTGAATTCCATTGATGAAATCTGTGTCTGTTCAAGTTGTTGTCCTGCACTTGAGTACTTTTAAGATTTCCTTAACAGAAGTATTTTTAGAGGGCATTTTGTACATAAAAGAGTGGATAACCCGGCGCGTATTGCTGTTATTAAGACCACGAGACTCCTCGGCGTGTTTGTGTTACCACTGATCCGTAGCTGACGATGAGAGTCCTCAGTGCCCAGGGGAAGCCCAGGCCCAGCAGCACGTCGAAGATATTACTGCCGATGGAATTGGACACGGCCATGTCGCCCATCCCTGCAACGTTCGAGACACACACACACACACACACACACACACACAAAGAAATCATGTAAGCGCGAAGGCATCTAAACAACCTACAAAGTCATACTAGATTGTGCCAAAAAGCGAGGCGGTACGGATGCTCCGTGCTGAGATAGTTTAAACACACCTTGTCGGGCCACAATGAGGCTGGCCATGCAGTCGGGGACACTGGTGCCGGCTGCCAGGAACGTGATGCCCATGATGACTTCTGGGATTCCAAGTGTGTAGCTGATTATGGTCACCTGGACAGACACAAGCCGGCGTGTGTGTGTGTGTGTGTGTGTTTAACGTGTGGGTGTGAGCAGGCAAGTATTGCGGCGTTTCTTACCATCCAGACCATGAGGTAAGAGTAGATGGCGATCCACAGCGTGGAGGACAGGAAGGTGAGCAGGTACCAGCGCTCCCACCGCGGCCGGGCGCAGTTGGGGATGGTGAAGTGAAGCAGCACACTCAAGGGCCAAGAGAGCAGCCACTTGAGACGCATACACCAACCACCTGAGGAAATAAGGAATTACAGATTCATCCAAACTACGTTATGTATCGTGGCACGACTTGATAATATAAGTATCAACCCCTTTAATTAATTAGCTCCATAAGCAATGACTCCATCTGCAACCCTGGGAGAACGTTGGAACATTGGAAAAAAAAAGAAGGAAACTGTCCGGTTGTCATGGCAAAGGGACCAAAGAAATGTCAGTGAGAGCCGCAGAGATTTTGCAGCTTTGTTTAGATATCTGCAGCATGCAGGGCGAGGCAGCGCGTCGGATTTAATTCCACTCACCTGGAAGGACGAAGGGTTCGTAAGGACTGTCCTCCTCCTCTCCTTCCTCCCGCTCTTGCTCCTCTTCCTCTTTAGGCGGCGCTCCCCCACCGCTCTCCCCCCCTGTCTCTTTGTCTCCCTCCTTCTCTTCCTCGGGCGGCTGCCCGTCCCCCTCTGACGCCGTGCCGTTAGCCCCCACCCCGCCCTCCCCGGATGCCACCCCTTCCTCCGGGCCACCCCGGGTCAGAATCAGCCTCTGCCTCTGCGGGTGGGGAGGGAGCAGGCGGTCACAGCAAAGAAAGACGGAAATTAAAAAGGGAAATGAAAAACAAATGAGTCCGACTGTATCAGCAGGAGAGTTCACACTTGGTGAGCAGTGATCTCGGGGCATGAGGGGGGGGGGGCAGCAAGGGGAGTCACACACTGGAAAGGGCAACGACACATGCAGGTGAGAGTGATTGTGTTTGTGGCAATATAACATAAAAGAAAAATCAATCTCCTCATCGTACACAAGCCTGTGAATAGTATGTTGGAATTGATGAATCACTATCAAATTGAACACATCCAAATAACTGTACACATAATGACCATAAACAACTCCACCACTAAGATGAACTTTCCTTTAGTACAAATGAGTTCTCACAGTGGCAGATTGTGGCTTGTGAACAAACCCTCTTTGTTTTCTTCCAGTCCGTCAGTGTAACATTTCCCACTCATTGCAAACTGAATGGATGCTACTAACTCTCAAACACACACTCCTCAATGTAAAGGTCCCTAAAACAGTTCCTTGGTGGTTCCAACTTGTGATATACGTTCAGTAAAGAAACACAAACTGAGGAGTGGATTCACAACCCACTCCAGGTCCAGTGTCATGCTGTCATTTTAACACTAGCAGAGTACCTCGATGATGACCATGTGCAGGCGGGTGAGGGGTGGCTGGGTGGGGGGGTTTAGGGGGATGCAGGGTGATGGGAAGGCGGAGGCTTGCCTCTGAGAAGGACAGCTGATGGGGATGCAGTTTCAGCATGTCATCCACCGTTGCCGCCCCCGAGTCCTGACCAGCCACCACACAGGAATCTGGAGGAAGTGTGTGTGCGTGTGTGTGTGTGTGTGTGTGTGTGGGAACAAAGAGAACAGTGAGATCTATTTTTGTTTGGAAATCCACAGGGCGACAGAAGTGGGTTTGACTGTTGGGCCCTAAATGTGTCACTGGGTCTGTTGAATCCCGCGTGCATGCAGGAGATCCGCCACCTGGCTTCAGCGGCACCATGTCGTTGTCACAGTCTCCGATGCTTCCGACGGCGGCCGTCCGTCGCAGGCTGCCCAGACACGGCTGACCGGCTCTGGTGAAGTGTCTCTCTGCCAGGCGGCACAGAGGCCCGTTGAACCTACACACACACACACACACACACACACACACACACACAGGTTGCGTCTTCGTGGCTTGATAGCTGCAGGATGTAAATGCAAGAAAAGTAAAGAGAGACTCACTTCATGATGGTTATGTATATTCCGTACATAGAGATCAGGATGATGGTCTCCCACCTGAAACACGCACACACACCAGAGGACATTAATATATCTGCAATATTATCTTGCAAACTGATCTCCGATCAACAGAGACTTACCACATTACTTTTTCATCATAGATCACCTGTAAAAACAATTCAAACACACTTTAGTTACATCGAAATATAGGATTGATTAACTAAATATTGGCTAATAAAGTTAGCTCATCACACACTAAGGAAATGTTCTGATTGCGGGTTTATGAATAATTATTAGGGAGTGAGTAGATAATGAGCAGGTGGTGCCTTTATGAATCCCCCTCAGGATTTCTCACCGTGATAAGCACCACTATGGAGAGGATGTAGAAGACAGCATCACGGAACAAAGGCCACCAGCTCAGTGAGATGGTCTGGAAAGAGACACACATTGAACATCTACATTAGTGGTGAGGTGATCTAATCATGTCCAATGACTTTAATTGGTTGAGAAACGGCGGTATTAGTCGCCCTTTTAGCTTTGGCCCTACCTGCCCAGAGAAGATGCCACACAGGCCGATAATAACCAGGATGTTAAAGACAGCTGAGCCCACGATGGTTCCCACACCCACGTCTCCTTTTGTAATAAACACCCCTGAAAACACAGAACAGAAGAAAAGAAGCCAAAAGAAATCAGCAGCAAAAATGCTAAACAGAAATATTGCATCTTGGGTTTATAACCACAGAGGCTGGCCGGATATCTTTGATCTTATGCTACTTTCATTCTTACACATCACAACAATCAATCTGCCTTTAATAAACTGCGTGTCTATTCTATTGAAAGTAGCGGTTTCAAGGATACGGTATGTCCCCAAACACCGTGGAGGAGGACCTCCTACATCACTACCAAGTGACCCAGCAGCCATTGGGCGGGGCCATTAGAGGGAGTAATCGGTTACACGAGCGCCACACTGACCAATCAGGGAGGTGAAGAGTTCTGGGGCGGAGCTCCCGGCTGCCATGAAGGTTGCCCCGGCAACGTCCTGGCTGAGGTGAAGGTTCTGTCGGGTGGAGGACAACGGGTTCAAACAGAAACCAATGACATGCTGTATAGTTCACCAATCCTAAACGAGCGGTTAGATTAGATTCTACCAGTGAGGATTTGGTTCAGAAGCCTGATTCAGTCATTGACGCCGTCCATTCACCATCAAGACACATGAATGAGCCACATCGCTGCCCTGACTGATATGTTCCTTCAACGAGACGCACACAGCACTGACGTTTGATTTGTCCCACATGTCCCAAATGAGTTGACCCAAATTTGAAAATAGTCCCCATCAAATGCCCTATTTACTAATATATTCAAACATTGAACAAAGTATAAAATATAATAGATCTGGACTAATACAATGACCATTTACTTAGAGACATTAGCAAAATAACTCTCTCCTCTCTATCCTTACGACATTTGAAGGGGAGGAAAATTAACCTTTGGTAAAAATCCCTCCTCATCTGAGAAAAAAACACGGAGACGTTGACGATGTAACTAGAAAAACGATCGAACGATAAGTCCTGCATGCGTATGTATGTCTTCCTTTGCTGTGTCTTTAGTTCGTACCTCTGATACTTTTTCCAGTGACGGCACAAAGTAAAACTCACACACGATGGCCAGTGCATGAAACATGTAGATCGCCTGTGAAATACAGGAGACACGTATTAATGGGGATAAATGAAGCCTCCTGTTGAATTTTGAATTTTTTCCCTCAGGCAGAGCCGATACTCACGGCGAGAACATGAAGGAGAACCGCTCCATGTCTCCTCTGCTCCGGGGTGAAGATGTCCTCGGGAAAATCACTGATAGCTGGAGAAGAGACGGACAGACATAAAGCAGTTATGGAGAAAATGAGGAAAGATCCCGAACAAGAGCTGAAATGGTGAAATAAATGAATCGCCTGGTTGATCACAGAGGAATCAGTTGGTAAGAATTATCTCAAGCAATTAAGGGACATTTTAATAGCAAAAAGTTCCAGCCTCTCAAATCAGAAGGTGTGTTGCTAATCTGTCCCTCCAGTGGCTCCCTGTGCTTTTAGGGAGGGTTCTAAAATGTCCTGTGTGTTTGTATGGTTTTTACATCCTATCAATAGCATTGTCCTTTTATGTTTCCTAACACACCGCACGCTAAAGAGGGAGCGGGGTTAGCGAGGAAAAAACAGTTAATCAGGGTTATAAAACGTATAGCAGTTAATAGTGAAATATATTCAACAGATTAGTTAATAATGAAAATATTTGTAGTTTGCTACTCGTCTGTGATTGAGAGAACGACGGTCGGCTTGTTACCCCTAGCAACAAGGCCCAAGACAATTTGAGGTGACTGCACCAGTTCAGTTACATTATTATCAAGGTTTTTCCTGTGATTCAAATCCTTTACTCATCGTTTCTGCACCAACGTATTTCTGTTGTAGTTCCCGGTGATTCCTATTGAGTCAACCTTTAGAGGCATCTGATCAGACAATGCATCGTATCTCCCTCTTTCCAACCGTTAAGAGGCGCTTTGCATGACTGCACTTTTGAAGAAACTCAAAGAATTACGGCGCCGTACAAAAATAAAAGGCTTTTGTTGTGAAGCAGCTGAAAATAATAATAACATGGAATGTACCCCCAAGTGACTCACGTTTATTTGTGAGTCAGGATTTATAAAATCTCTGCTGCAAATAAAAGCAGCAAACATGTCAGTGAGACGAGGGACTGAGACCCTGCACACGCACATACATCACGTGTGGTGATGTAGACACAGATATCGAACAGGACAACCCGTCACATGCGTCACATCTTTATCACCAGGAAAAGATGCTTCTCTTGAAAATAGGGTTATTGCAATAAGAAGAGAATGTCTTTTGGGGCTTGAAGTTAATCTGCACTGTATTTCCCACAGGCGTTTTTTCTATCTCGATATATTCATCATCTGTTATTGGCGAAACAAATCTCTTCATCTGTCGGATCGTCAGATGCTGCCACGGTTTCATTCGAAACAAGCGAAGGGATGCGAGCGATGAGGGAACTGCTGATGAGAAGCCGCTAATCAGCAGGTCATCATAACGGGGCAGGCGCTTTGAACAGCTCCACATGCACACGCCATCCAACCACAAGCTCAGCATTCAGTTTCCTAGCAACCGGGTCTCCTCAAAGGCCTAACTGTGTTTAAACATCGAGATGTGGAAAGTTGATGGAGGAGGTGGAGCGGAGAGGTATAAAGGAGGGGGCACGGAGGAGCAATACACATTCATTACGGTACGGATATCAAACCCAGACATAAATGTCGGGAGGCCCCGAGTCCAATTCAGACTGCATGTGTTCTATTACGGTAAAGATTAAAAAAAAAATATTAATTCACACATACAATATTTATACACATCTTAAAATGTCTCACCAGATCTAGAAATACGGTCAGTCTTGTTGTCTTTGAGCTCTCTCTTGGACAGGGAGATGTCCTGATTCACAGCGGACACATGGGAATCTAAAAACAAAAACACAATAGGCATTAACATATGAACACATACCTACGACATATGAACCACTGTACTGGATGATGGAAAATACAGCAGATTTGCCCAATTTAAATGTGTTCATCGTTTTGCCGAAATACTCCATGGCTGTAATTAAATAAGAGCGGGACGCGGAGGAAAAGACGGAATCGGTCCGCGCAAACATCTGCTGAAGCACCTGTAACGTCCGCGAGGCTGAAGAACCCGGTGACCGCGAGCAGCGCGACGCCGCACACGCAGAACCGGGGCAGCAGGCGCGTCTGCCTCGGTCTCCTCGGCGCCTTCATCCCGCTCACAACATGTCGCCCCGCGTCTTCCTCGGCGGATCACGGGCGGCCTCTCCGCTGCCGGTTCTGTTCCTCCGTCGCGCTGCAGTTTTAGCCTCGGCGCTCCGAACCGCGGCTCGCGAGCGCAGAACGAGCGAAGGGGTTCGGCCTCACGTCGGGGGCTCGGAACGAGGCACACGCGCGCGCGCGGCTCTTGATCCACGTCATCTCCTTCCCTTCTGCTCTACATACGGACCATCACGTTGTGGTCTTCCGTTGTGGTGGTGGGGGGGGGGGGGGGGGGGGGGGGCCTTCAAAGTGGGCGGGGCGTTGTGAGGAGACGCGCATCTACGGGCGCGTGGAGTTCAAGACGTGAACATTAATTGGTAACATCTTATGATGGTGTAATGAGACTCGGAGACTCGCCAGATGATAATTGATCTATTGTCGCGATTACAGGGTAATCAGTAATGATTATTTCTGAGGGTTGAGTGGTAGTTCAAATGAGAAGTCTTTATTCAGGAGCATCTCCAAACACTCACATGCGCACACACACGCACGCTTTATTGGCTGCTTTAACCATTTCTTTAACCATGTTTTAACAAGTTGACTCCGTACCAAACTGATACTGAAACAACAAAGGGTCATGGAATTGTGTAAAAAACACATGCAGAAGACACATTAAAAAACCCTGACTACCAGTCAGATAACAGGAAGTAACATGTTTATATCAGACAGGAGGTAAGGCCCCATACTGCACACTGCAGTAGGGTTGTAGAGTCAAACTTGCAGTGTTCCACAAGGCGTCGATGGAAAATAGGTTTCCCGTGCAGCTTCCTGAAACCACAAATGCCAAAAGAGAGAGAGCGACGCCAGACGCCAGAAAAAGTCCCGCTCTCGGGACTGCAGCAAGCAGAACACCAGCAGCCCTGAGAAAAGCGGAGAAGCCAGAGGGACGACGGTGAGCGAGGGGAACGTAAGGGACCAGAAAGGTGTCTTTTGGTGTGAGCTGACGTTCCGTTTTGGTCTGGACGTCCAGTGAGACACTTCCTGGTTTCGTCAGCCCTTCGGCCTCAGTTTCCACCTGCAGACACAATAGCAGACATCACTGGACTCAGCCTGTCTGCGTCCACTGTGCAGCCACGCGGACGCTGACTGACACAAAGGGTTTGAATCTGGGCTTCGTAGTGGCACAGTCTAGTGGTCAGGTGAAACGTACGGGACGTCACATGGACACATCGTTGTAGGATACATCACAGGACCGAGACGGTTTGAACCTGGCGATACACATTTTCTGAAAAGGGCACCTACATGATCTGTGGAGTCTGACACGTGGGTTCTCACTTCATCCAAAGAGGCCAACAGCTTCACTTCCTCTGCGAAGGACAGCGGCGGACTAAGCAGGGCTTTCTCATCTCCCATCAGGTCATTCACAGCGGTGCTGGACACCAACAGCAGATACACACAAGGTATGAGCGCACACAGAAGACTCAGCGTAGGTCATGATATTGTTTCAAAGTGAAAAAATATGGTGAGGGGGGGGAGGGGGGCGGGGGGGGGGGACTGGGGGCCTACATTGAGGCGTCAACAAGTTTGTCCTCCAACTTCTCCTTCAGCTCCTGATTTGTCAGCCTGAGTAACTGGAACAAAGAGACAACGAAACAGTGTGTAGCCGAGGGAACACGCCGCTACTTCTTAACCGATGAACGAATGAGACCATCCGAACCTCTACGGTGCTGCAGAACTCTTGGACCGTTTCCTCCATGTGCATTAACAGCAGGTTTTTCTATTACAAAACACACATACAAACAAAAAGTTGAAATAAAAGAAAGGGAATAGTCAAAATATTCATGTGGCACTCCAAAGGGAGAGTATCAATATTCTTGAGAGAAATCTTTGTGGCTGGCTGCATTGTGCTGAGCTTTTCCTACCTTATTAATAACCTCGTCCCTATCCTGAAGCCCTAACTGAGCCTCTTCCATTTCGCGCTGAAGAAACACATGACATGGCAAATCGGGAGCTGTTTGACAATGTAACACTAATGGCAGTATGAACGGCGAGAGAAAAGTAGTTAAATATCCCCATGTTGAAGCCATGGTGTCACCTCAAGGGTTTGAAGTGCAGCCCTGAAGTTGCTTAAGCTGATCTTGTTATCGTCTCTTTCTTTCTGGAGGCTCTTAAGCTGAAAAAGGCACAATTGTGTTTATATATGCAAAGTGTTTTGAAATGTCTGTAGGCTACTACTACTAACGGTGGTATGACAGATTCCAGTTGCTATGTGCAAAGAAAAAGACCTCTTCAATTAGCTTCTTGTTTTGTTTCTTCATCACGGAGGTTTCATTTTCCTGCACAGAAGAACATGGAGATTTACAGGTATTTAAAATGAAAACAATTGGCCTATTTGATTGGTAGAGGTTTAACGGTTGGTCAACATATATCTATACTAATGTGATGTCTGATTTACTTTGCTAACTGTCATTGCTCTAATGTTTTGATCAAAATGAAAGTGTAAGCAGCCTGTTGTATTTGTGCTGTATAAACCATTATGTTTATAAATCAGCGTAACGTAATGTGATGAAATCATAAGGGATGAAATACATCATGAAATGAAAAAGAAAAAGAAGCTATCAAAGATGTGTATTTCTTGTCAAACGTTACACAAAAAGAAAAATCCTTGACCTATACTCAAGTTATTGCATATAAGTGAGATGCGACCGCGGCCTGTGTACATACAACCTGGCTTACACTACAATAAAACGATTCTTACCAATGACAATATACAGGTTTCTGAAATATCAAAAATCCTACAGTGCACGTGACAAGTAACTGATAGATCTGAGTTCTGCCTAAAGAGACGTTGGCACAGAGCAGGGTCATTTATCAATGCACCGTAACACGGGATAACAAGGAGTGTGGTCTCCAACGCAGCATTATATTTTCAGCCACGACGTCTAAATGTCTTTTTGAAAACACCAGTCATTGTAGCGCTATCATATCAGCTAACTCACCAATTCCCGAATCTTTTTTTCACTGCATCTCTTTACGGCGAGGTCAATCGCCAGGACATCCTCGGAAGGCTCTGCCTGGACCTTCAGCCCTTCCTTGAGGATTTTCTCCAGGCTGCAGATACAAAAACACACACACACACACACACACACACACACACACACTTCTGAATGTGTTTCAACCATAATGCTGAGGAATTGGTGCAAAAAGAGTGAGTAACAAAGATAACACAGCTGGCAGATAACAATCGCATTGAATAACAAAACATATTCCGTTAGAGGTCCAACAGACGGAGATGAACGGTTACGTTTTTACAGATGAAGGGTTGAAGCCCTTATCTGCTTATGCGTCGTCTAGACAATTTTGTGACTCCTTACGCTTTAACTTGTTTGATGAGGGAGGTGTTTTCTGAGCGCAGTGTTGCAATGTCATCATCAGCAACATCCAGCAACATCCTCAATTCAGAAGTCAGATCTCTCTGCTGGCTAAGACGGTGATCCCGCTCTGCGTTCCTCTCAAGCATCTCCATCAGTGTCCTACACACACACACACACACACACACACACACACACACACACGAGTAAAAAAAGGCTGTGCAAAAAGTTGTGTGTGTATGGGTTTATTCAGTGATCCTCACTCACATAGTTTCGTCTGTGAAATCCATCCCGCTGGCTTCCTCCTTCCTCCCTGGTGCAACAAATAGCAGCGACCCACATGTTTAAGCATATATCACCCATTATTTTTCCAAACTGTAATACTTTGCAAAAGAACACGCACTATGACTGTGCTCCACTGAACCGTATTACAGTTTATTTGTGTGTGTGTGTTTCTCAAAACAGTGAACCGCCCTTTTCTGCAAATCAACTAACCAATCAGCCTTATCATTAATTAGCTATCTTAACGTAACGTTAACGTTATTTAAATACTAACATTTCACGTACGTTAATGTTAAATATTCGCTGACAGGACCAATTCGAGTTAATGCTGTTATGTTTTAATAGAAATAACGTTAGCTAACTTCCTTAGCCTAATTTAGCTAATTAGCTAACCGTTAGACTCCATTAGTTTCAAACAAATCCGGATGTAGCACACTGCTAACGCTACTGTGTAGCGTAACGTTACTATTAATTACTTTATAAATGAGAAAAATGTCTTACCAGCGATTAAATCCAAACCAATACAAGGAGGCTACGACGGTAAACACATTGTAGTGGCGCACATACCAAACGAGCCCAAAGGATAAAACTGACGGTTACCGTTAGCGCGGTTATTCGTGATGACGTCAGGATGTCCCTTCAGAAACGGGATCGCGAGGGTGAGTCCGACAAAAATTCCTGGCTATTTGCATTATGATCGCATGAATACGATTTGTTTTTTTGATTCATTATGAATGGACGGAGTGAAATCGGCAGGAATTTGACTCTTTTTCCACTGAAAAATGCATGTTTAAAATGATATTCCACCACAAACAGATAAAATATAAATTCAGCATTTTTTATTCCCATTTTTTTCAGTACTTTCAAAAACCAAACATCATGGTATGATTGATTCAAGCAGACGAATAACAATTGCACCTAATATTTTTGGATAAGTAAAGTAAGAACAACCGCCAAAAGAAACGCTTGAAACGTTCCACTACATTTTAAGGCCGGCAGAATTGAGTAAATCTCTGAGGTAACATAAATTCAGTTGGCATCAAGTGTAGTGAGTCATGTTATTTGTGTCCCAAATTAACACTACATACTAAATCAAAGTAGGTTTGTGGAAGCAGTAAATTGGGACACAGCGGTTGCTTGGATCAGAACACGACTCGGTATGCTGTTGTAATGGTGTTTGTAGTATCTTACCGACTGAGACACGCACAACATAATACGAAACATGGGGAAAAAGCCATACATTTTACACAATGTATTCACAATACCACTTCACATTAGTACGTAAACAGCATAACTGAACGTGTATTATTTATCGCTGTGAATCCTCTCCCATCATCTTAGTTGGTGAAAAAGTATCTGGTAAAAGGCCCAATGGAATAAAAAAATTAGGAGCTGGAGTGGCTGTAGAGAAGTGGATAGCAGAAGAACAGCATGACCCTAGCAGCTAATGAATAATGGCAGATTTATAATCCTAGGAATAGTCAGAAACCATGCAAGACAAACAAAACAAACGATAGAGAGGACAATTTAAGTGACTACCCTGGTGTAGCAGCCTGTAGTTGTAAACAAGGATATGAAAGAATCATTTCTTCACAATCAATAAAATACATTATTTTCAGTGACTTTCAGTGCTCAGTATTACAGACGAACACTGCTCATTTCTGTGTTAACATTCTGAGGCGAGCCTCAATAAGTGTACAGATGACCTTTAAATCAAGGTCAACGAACTTTCCACACTGGAGACGTCATTTCCTTGACTCCGCACAGGTGAAAGGCCGGTAGACAGTTACACCCGGTAACATCACAACAGCTGCATACTGTTATTGCATCAACCCATCCCAAGCGGCCTCTTCTTGAACTAAGGCGTTTCCTCCCTGCTGCTCCCGCTAACATGAACCATCACCAATTAAGCAAAGACACGCGGCGTTGTTTCGGCTGTTACCGGGCGGGCTCCAGCGGTCCTGTGACCTGGAAGCTTATACCATCTCCAGGGAGAGGGGAGGGGATGAGCGGGCACAGCCAGCAGAGGTACCAGCGAAGGCCCAGGGTGTGACGCAGGTTGCCCAGGAGACCGAGGCTGTAGGGTCGGCGGGTCGAGTACCACTCCCTTGTGGTCTGTCCCCGAAGCATCAGGGCCAGGTGGAAGAAGAAGAAGGCGGACACCAGCAGGAAGCCTACAACGCATGTGTCGGCGATGAAGGCGAAGGCAAAGGCCCGTGCTGTGACTTGACCTGCGGAGAGAAGGAATACAAACCCGAGCTCGGATTAACCCGGGATGTGGCACATTCTGGCACATAGAATAGAGCATAAAGCAGTAAAAGTAGCCTGCACCAAACATCTACCGCACGTCTGTCCGTGATGGAGGAAGGAGTCTTCCCTCGTTGCTCTTCTTAATTTTTTTGTTGTCTTGTGTCTTTTTCTTTAATGTAAAGATTAAATATAATGGAGGGTTTTGCAATACACCCCCAGACTCGTTTATTAATGCCAATTGACAAACGAGAAATGAGAGAAACTTGAGAAACGAGCTGGTCTTCATCGAGAAATGCTTCGTCTCTCTTACACGGCAGTGAAAGAAGGAGGCTCATGTAGAATGTCTGGTTATAAACGAGAACTAAATCAATTAGTTCGTTAATTAAGAAGATAAAGCCAAGAAAAGCAATGGTATTAGCGGCTTGTTTTCCTTGTCTTGGGGAAAATATGCCAGTGTAAGGAACACACACAAAGACGCTCGTACCTGAAACTAGCATGATCCAGGGAATGAGCATCAACAGGACGCTGTGCATCGTCACACCCTCCTTCAATATGACAATGAAGACCTCGGCATTCATCAGGGTGGCGTACAGCAGTCCAGACCACATGAAGAACAAGCAGCTGAGGAAGTAACGGTAGTTACGGAAGCCCACACATTGGCCAAAAAAGACGCAGTGGTGATCCCTCCGCAGCACACACACTTTGCAGTCGTAGCAGTGGGAGCACCGGGGAGGAGTGTGTGTCTCGCACGTATAGCAGTACCTGTGGGGGGGAAATATTATTACTTATGGGCCGAGATGCTTCTAAATCCCTGAAACATGAAGACGGTCAGTGTGACCATCAGTTGGAGCCAACGTAAAGAAATCACAAGGTGAAAACAAATCTACCGTTCCACCTGTTAAAAGGCAGAGGATTGTTTGCCCTGTTTGCGCTGCTGTGTGTAACCAAGGGAAACCGACCAGACAATTGTAGCCATGGTGGTCTAATACTTTTGGTAATATAGCGTCTTGCATATCAGCAAACCAAGACGATATAGGCTAAATTACATTTTGTTATCGGTAGTAAAAACCTCCACCTGTGCCCTCCTTACCTCCACCCCTGGCCCATGCCCTCTCCGCCGAGGAACACCCCCTTGATGCTGGGGCTGGTTCTCAGGAAGAGCGCCGCGTTCCAGCAGATGTTTCCCAGCATGAAGTACTGAGCCAGCAGGTGGACCGCTTTCCACCAGGCGGACCACACGGTCTTCTTCTGGTCCGGCTGCAGCGGAGCCTCGAGCAGCACCAAGTAGCTCACCTCCCCGGTGATGGAGAAGACCAAGAAGGTGTTGAGGACCATGGGGAGGGGGCGACATAACCTGTCGACCCGGCCGAAAACTTGACTGGCGAAACTCGACATGTTTCCTGTCGGTCTGCCTGTCCGTCAGCTCAGTGGAGGGACGGATTTGAAGGACGCACCGTGGAAACCGTCGGCTAGTTAGCTTAGTTTGCCAAACAAAAAACAAAAAAAAACGGAACGTTAGCTTTCTTTACAAAGTTACATTAATCATATGCTATCAATGATACTTTATGTAACTTCTGGAGATATTCATTTAATTCATGAGTTGAAATGTTATGCTGTTAGACTGTCAAAAGTCTCTCCCTACCGCGATCTCTTTTACTGGACGGAATCGAGTTTCTACTCGAACGTTACTAGTGGTGTTACGTGAAAATACATCCGTAATGCAACAACACACTAGTTCCGCTTGTAAAACGTCCCATTGAGGTTCATTCCTTCTGATCAGGAATCAGGAATCAGGAAACATTTATTGGCAAAATATGTCATACATGCAAGGAATTTGACTTGGCGGTTGGTGCGTGACAGTAGACAGTGTAACAATAGACAACAAGACAGCAGTAATAAAATAAAATGAAATGAAATGCTAATGCTATGGGTTAGTACAAAATAAGAGAATAAAGTTAAAAATTAAAAATATTAAAAAAGTTAAAATATATTTAAAACAAGTGTAGCAAACAAGTGACAAATATGAGTTAGTTTGTGCTTGTTATTATTTAAATAACCATATCACAATATCTCGATGTATAATGTTATGATTCCATAGAAATACTTTACACTATTGAATTATCACCCAGCCCGATATTTAAGCAGATGTTTCAATAACTCTTCCTGTGTGACATTGAAAAAAGCTCTTACTAGTGATTAACCCCATTACCTTGACCATATGTAGATTGGGAGCATGTCTCTGGTCCCCTCCCCTCCCCTCCCCCCCCCAAAGCACAGACCTTAATCCCTGATAATCTCTCCATGCTTTGCCTGTAGACATGGCTGGACTGAAGAGGAATTTACTGTCTCGTGAGCATGTGACCGGCTCGGAAAGAAACACTTTCACAAGACAAGAGACAAGAGAGCAAAGGCGAAAAATGAGGTAAGATCATTGAGTGCTTTTATAAAGTATAATTGCACTTTTAACTCATGGATGTGTCTACAGAACTGTGTATGTGAAGGATGGGTTACAACAGTGCACCGCCTCTTTTTCTCGGTAACAACAGGCCTCCGCTTTGGCAACCTGACCGCTCACCTCCTCAAATTCATCAACAGCTGTAAGTGCAATTACAACAGGGAGCAAAATGCACACAATGTGCATAATCCTGTATGCTGGTGTGAATGTTTGTTTTATTATTGACTGTGTGTGTGTTTCCTGCAGCAACGCGATGCATCTGCAGCAGCGCTTGCGATACCTTAAGAAGAGAGAGTTTACTGCCCAAGAAAACAACCGGCTGCTGCTGCAGCAGTTTGAGGAAGCACAGGACACCGTAAAAGAGATGTTAATCCAGAATGCTGCCATGAAAACTATTCGGGTACTCTGGCTGAAACATTCACACTTCCCATCGCCTCAGAGAAGCTTGGTGTTGAACCTTCTTCTCAAACTTTGGCCTCTCTAGACGGCGTATGAACGGTACCTGGAGGTGAGCTGCCCCCGCTGGCAGCAGCAACTGAAGGAGAAAACACAGGTTGCTCAGACAAAGGTACAAATCAGTCATCAGTCACGATTCACTTCATTTGGGGCCAAGGCATGCAGCTGGTTCCATAGCGAGAGCATCAAACACGGCAGTAAAGTTTTGTCTTTAATAGCGGACGGAGTATTTGAGGTCATGTCTGAAGAACACAGAGGAACGAGGGGCCGCATCCTCTGCAGATCCACCTCTATTGTCACAAGGTTCGTCCTTCTATTCAGAGACTCACAGAACACAGTATATATGTGGTTGTGTATTGTTCTTGGTGTGTTCCAGACCCATGCAAATATCATCTAATGTCCATCTTCATCTTTTTTGCAGCCTCCACCACAGTGACACAACATATTACAGCACCTCCAGAGCACTACAGTCCAAACTGCCACTTGGACTACAACCAAGATGGCTCCCCTCATCTCTGCTACGCAAAGCCTTCCTGGCAGAACCGCCTTCAATCCCAGACGGACAGATTTCCCATCAGAGGGCCTCATCAACCTCAGGGTTCCTCTCATGTTCCTCCAGCTTTCCTCCCACCACACATCTTCCCACATCCTCACCCATTGCAGCTCCACCTCCCCGGCTCCTCACCCGGTGATAGACGCCACGGACCCGGGCCAAATCCACCAGGCTTGGCGGCCCTGCAGACAGAGTACCTCAGATCCTGGGCCGCTGGTCCACCTGGGACCCCCTCGGTCTTTGACGCTCTGTGGAGTCAGCTCTTCACGGAGGAGATTCCCCCTGAGATGGGGATGGTGCAGGTGGTGGGGGAGGAAAGTGACCCATGCCGGGCCCCAAGCTCCAAGAGAGAGACAGGTGGTGGAGGAAGTAGCAGTCATTTATCCCAGGAGCTGGACAGTAAACCAGGTGGGACAAGAACATGGCAGAACCTTCAGTGTCTGCTACTTTTTGTCACACTTATTATCTTCCTCTGTGAATCTTTTTCACTATGTATGTGCGTGTGTGTAGTTCGCCTGTCTGGTAGCCTCGCAGAAAGCAGCAGCGAGCCGAGCCGGGCGAGCAGCAAGAAGCGAAACAAGAGGGAGGAGAGAAGATCCCGTTGTTCCATCTCAGGCAGCAGAAGTTGCAGCTCTCAGGAGTGAGTAACATTCTCTTCATCGCCTCTACGATATTCTATTAAGAAGGCCTCTGTAACCGCAAACAGAAATCTGACAATCCAGTGCAGCGATCTGCTCGAAACGATTAGCAACACTTAAATTATTACATTACATTACATGTCATTTAGCGGACGCTTTTATCCAAAGCGACGTACAATAAGTGCATTCAACCATAGGGTACAAACTCAGGAGAACAAGAAACAAGAAAGTGCAATTTCCTCAAATAGGCCAATTTACAATTTGCTATAGATGAGTGACGTTACAAGTACAATTTAAGTGCTACAATTTGTTAGTCTTTAGTGGAGGTAGAGTCTGAAGAGGTGTGTCTTTAGTTTGCGGCGGAAGATGTGAAGGCTCTCTGCGGTCCTGGTGTCTTCAGAGAGCTCGTTCCACCATTTCGGAGCAAGGACAGCGAAGAGTCGTGATCTAGTCGAGTGTTTTGCTCTCAGTGAGGGAGGGACGGGCAGTTCTGCAGATGCAGAGCGGAGAGCGCGGGTCGGGATGTAGGGTTTGACCATGTCCTGGATGTAAGCTGGACCCGATCCATTCACAGCATGGTACGTGAGCACCAATGTTTTGAACTGGATGCGGGCAGCCCCTGGTAGCCAGTGAAGAGAGCGGAGGAGTGGAGTAGTGTGGGAGAATTTCGGAAGGTTGAAGACCAGTCGAGCTGCTGCATTCTGAATGAGCTGCAGAGGTCGAATGGCGGTGGCAGGGAGACCTGCCAGGAGGGAGTTGCAGTAGTCCAGGCGGGAGATGACAAGAGCCTGAATCGGTAGAATGAGAGGTGCGCTTTCTAACTCCAGTATCAAATGCATGTTCTGCATGTTCTCCGTCTTATTGTGTGCAAATGGCTTTTCCATTCTGCTGATTTCAGGTCTTCTAGGGGTTCCAGCGCCGTTGCTGCAGTCAAAGTGTTCCAAAGCTCAGAGAGCGATGCCTCATCCGAGAAAAGAAGCAGCACAGGAAAGAGAACGAGGAGAAGTGGGGGGCTTTCTGTTGGATCACCGAGGGATGAGAAGGTGGTGAAGGGAAGCGAGGGATCCGACCCGGGGAGTCACAAAGAGGAGAGCCGGCCTCCCAGCGAGGAGGAAGGGAGTCTAGAATTCAGAGAGGGAAACACAGAGGATACGAATCCCGACGATAAAGCAGAAAGCTGTGGAGAGGAGTCTGGATCCCAGGAGGAGGAATCAGGAAGTGTTTGTATGAACATTGAAGACGGACGTGGAGACGAACCAGGAAATCAGGAGAGTAGCAGCTCGGAAGAAAACACCGCAGAGGAAGATGAGAAAGACGGAGAAGAAGATGATGGTGCTGCTGAAGAAAAAGAGGACCGTCAGACAGATAAAGAGCAAGAGAAGAGCGATGTGAAGGAGGATCACGGGGCTTCTGGGAGAAAGAATGCAACGCAGGAGGACGAGGAGACCCAGGAGACAGGAGCAGAGGATGAGGAGCAGGAGTCAGAGGTAAAGGAGATCTTGAAGAACAACAGTGAGCTACGTCAAAGAATTAGTGCAGTAATAACTCAAGAGGTTGTGGATGCTCTCAGGATGAAGAGGTGGGCGAGGAGGAGGGCGACAGAGAGGAGGAGTCGGACGAGGAGGAACACAGAGACGACGCAGCAGGAGAACCAGAGGAGAAAAGTGACTCAGACGACAGTATCATCTCGCCACAGGACAAGTAGGATCAGTGAAGGATTTAATCATCTTCAACTCAAAACAGCACCTGAACTTTGCATATTCTGTTTTCAGGTCGAGAAAGATTCACGTTATTCATGAGGAGGGAAGTGAGGAAGACGAGGAGGAGGAAGAGGGGAGTAGAATGGGATCCTCTGAAGATGACGATGTCGAGAGTCTACTTGCGCCTCAACAACCATCAGAGAAAAAAAAGTGAGTCCTTTTTCTGACGTTTGTGTCGGCAAAAATGACTGAAATGAATCTCACATTTATTTCCTTTTTAGAGAAAAGGACCCGAGAGCTGACGAGCAACCTAAAGGTACCCGGTCACCAGTGTTTAGAATTTATAGCTCATAAAGGACAAAGAGGTTGATCTGTAATTTGTTTTCCAGCTATTTGTGACGTGTCCATTTTTCAAGCGGAGCCGAACAAATCAACTAAGTGCGAAAACGACGACCTGAGTGACTCCGACGAGTTTGACCACTTTTTCGATTAAATGTCCTCGACAACAAAGGAGAAATACTTCCGCCAGAGTTTAGTATTACATCAGAAACAGTATGTTAAAAATGAATTGTCTGTAGAGGCAATGTTGATTTTTGATGATTCATATCCTAGTCTATCATTTTGCAATCATTGGAGATAAAATGTTGTGACAGAAAACACTTGGGTAGTTGCAAGAAAATACAAAAAAAAAACAATATGAAGAATAATTTATTGAAAAGACATTGTTATGGCTGTTTAGCCTGAGAGATTGATATTCAATGTGATTGATGACGCCACCAGACATGTTTGTAATGTAAAAATAAACCACGGTACAGTAAATTATTGGGGTTTTTGTTGAACATATTTAGACATCAGCGTGCCTGGACAGCAGAGTTCAAAGCTGCAAGTGAACAGATCCCAGTTAAGCAATCAGTGTCCTTTCAGTGTCAGATTTTAACGACCTGAGCTGCCAAACAGGGGCTCACTCTGCTCCCGCCTTCGGACGCAGCGCTGCGCTGAATCAGCAACCTGCCGTAGGTCCCGCCCACCTGGCCTTTGGTCAGCCGCCCGGGATTGACACACACGCAGCCGACCACATCCTGAGGGGCAAGTTGAGATGAGGTTTTGAAAAGACATCTTGACTCACACCATCTCAAAAATTCTAAGCACTTCTTAAAATCTTTTGCCTTCAGTAAAATAAAAAAAGGGAAATGTTTGTAAAAATTAAGAAAAATAATTTCCAGTAGAAGGCCAATTTGCAGTGTTTCCTTTCAAGAATGTTGACAGAATATTCTTTAGTTTTTGCACTTATATTTGACAATGCATGTTGAGCCGAAACGACAGATGTGCACCTTTACGAAGTAGCGCAGCTCGGAGGGAACGATGAGGACGTCGGGAGTCAGCGGCATCTGACCGAAGCTCTGAAACTTCTCGTAGTCCATGTTCACCTCGTCCACCGGCGGGTACAGCGGGTAGTAACTGGAGGTGAAAACAAAAACACGAGAGCAGAGGGAAGGGGGGGCATTAATGTCGGAGCAGCCACAAAGTAGAGAACAACGGGACCTTTTTTTTAAGGACTCTACCTTCTCTGAGTCAGCATGTGCTTCAGTATGCGTGTAAATCGGTCCGATCCGGTGCCGCTGCAACACAAGACGTTTTCAGTATTAACACTGGTGTGACGCCGCTCACTGAAATAATCCGCGCGTGGCTGAGGGGTTTGCTCACGGGAACACTTGACAAGAGTCACACTGAGCATCCTGTTTCTGACGGCGCTCCACTGCTGCGGAGAGTAAATGAACATGAGAAATCTTCCTCACCAGCTGATCTCCTCCGCGCCCATGTGGAAGAGGATGTCGGTGGAAGTCAGGCCGACGGTCACTCCGTCAATGAGCAGGGTGCAGGGGTCAGGGGTCAGGGTGACGCGCTGCAGAGCGCGAAGGGAAACGGCGTATGAGACGGATTCGTCCGCGCAGTAATCTGTGAATCTCGTGAACCACAAGCCGGTAGGAAGTTTCAAGCTAAACTATCACTCGGAAGCCTGCTGCATGTGCTCATCAGTGAATTATAAACCTTAATGCAGATTAGGTCTGTGAGTGTCTGACCTGGGCTTGGTCCTTGCTGAGGTTTGGCAGGGTGAAGGGGGGCTGTGGGTAGATGAAATGATGGTGGATGTCTCTCTGGGACGGCACAAACACCAGGCGGCAGCCGACACTGGATTAAAGAAAACACGCACGCGGCATTATGCCTACGGATTCTGATTGGGGAATCACCATGAACCTGCGGGTCTTGGAGCAGCTTTCAGGAGTTTAAATAGTGTAATCGTGGTTAGGGAGATACGAACACACCTTTTAGTGCCATCGACGATGCTTTCGATACATCTTGAGAAAATGGCCTCGAATGTCTCGGTCACCTGAGCTTTCTATGTCAGACAGGTGGGGATAAAGATGGTCTCATAAAGTCATGATCTACCAATTTGGACACAAGAAATGATGTTGAACAGATTATTACTGCCATGTATCAACTGAGGGGTTTTAAACGGTGTTGTTATGAAATGCAAACGCTTTTATTCCTTTCTCGGATAAAGACACAAACTCTTTTAAACGTACCTCAATTTGTTCGTGCTTGGAGTCCACAAATGGACCCAACTGGAAAAGTGACGTGAGGATTAGAAAGGTTATGACAACGTCAAGCAATTCAAGCAAAATATTTTGTAAGGCGTCAACAAAAAACCATACCAGCAGACAGACATCAGGACGATCCTTGACAATAATGCTGATTAGGTCCAGTAGAGGGTCAAAGGTCAGGCTGTCGGAAGGCGTGTAGGGTCCACAGGCCACAAGGACATTCATCGGCTCTGCAATAGCATCACGAGACCAGTGTTTACATGAAGGAGACACAAGCAGACTGCTCCTTCATCCCTAAATGTACACACAGCGTTACAAACCTTTGTCCTCCTCCATTTTCACTTCTGCAGAGTAGAAAGGAAGAGGGACTCCCTGAAGAAAGATTCAGACTATTAACATAAGGCGCACAAACTGGGCCCCAGTTCCAAAAGGTTCAGATACCGTAAACCACTTCATATAGAGTCTGATTCAATATTCAATATTTTGAATAAACGTTATTCTGTAAAACTATTTTCTCTCTTTACGTGTCAACAAAACTTATTTGACTTATGGCTGACCTCATAGAGTTTGGAAGCCATCAGTTTTTTCCCCGTCGTGTTCATTCCCTCCAACGCCGCCACCTGAGCAAAGAGAACAGCGTTTCACACACTGCAGGCAGGTGGTTATTTATTCATTCGCAGACTTTGTCGGAGTTCTCGGTCAGACGCTGGTGGGTCTCCCGTCCAGGTCCTTGGCATACTCCGATACTCTTGGTGGCCATGTAACCTGCTGCACACACCTCAGTGCACAGGAAAAGGAAGGACCACCGTGCTCATCAATGCTGCCTTCACAATGTACTCTAGTGACCTACTACGAAGACATGGGGTAAAGAGCTGCATGCCTCTTTTTGACTAAATAATGTCTGTCTATATATATATATATATATATATATATATATATACATACACATACATACACACTAAACACTCCTTAACTCATCTTCAACTGATTCTGCAAAGACTAGAAGTTTCCCTTCTGCTCACCTGACCAGGAAACAGGGAGTACTCTTTGAGCTCCGATAGGTCAACAGGTACTTGCTGGCCGCCTTGCTCTGACCCCGCCTCCAACAGAACCGAGTGTGCGTTCAGTTTGCCATTGCTGTCGCAGCAAATCTGCCCCACTACTGTGATACTGTCCTAGAGAGACATAAAGCACCACAAACAGGGTGGTTATTAAATAGCTAATTATACAAATACAGTTAATAACTTACATCTAGATTAGGAGAGTTAAAAGAGACAGGCTCTTGGCTCAAAACAAGTTTACTGGATATGAATAAACCTTTTCGAGTAAAATATCATCATTATTATTACAAAATATCAAATGACTAAAATAGCCATGACATTTTCAAAACTTTTGAAAATCATTTTAGAGGGTATTCACAGCTGTAACATCTGTACCTGAGCGGGCAGAGAGACGGGTGCCAGCTCCTCAATATTGAAGTGGGACTTGAGGCCGTTGCCGAGCTCCTCTATTTTCTCCGTCAGCACTGGGGGGGAAAACCGGCAAAATGAGGTTTAATCATGTGAACGTACTCTGATTATCTGTCATGCATAAAATAAGTCGGAATGTCCAGTTTTATGCAATCAGACACGTTTTTTTTACTTTTTTGGGGGGGGGGGGGTTTGCAGGCGCTTTCCGTTTTCAGTCTCTCACCGTTTCGAATGTCGCGCAGCCTCTGGAACATGTACTTGTAGCTGCAGCAGAGAGAGTCTTCCGGTCCTTCCAGGAGCCCCAGCTGGACGCCGGCGCCGGGCGTCTGTCTGCCCGCCCAGCGGGTCCCCTGAACCACCCCGAACGAAACCACCACCTCCCCTTTGGCTCCTCGCTGGCTGTACTTCTGTGAGGGCGTTGCACTGCCAAAGAAAGAGAAGGGAAGAGTCGCATCACTGAGCAACATCAGCCGTCAATCAATCCCTCAATCAGATTAACTAGATCAGGAAAAGTGGGTCTGCTGACGTCAAAAAAAGCAAAATGACATGCGATCGGTGCTGCAACACCTCAATTAATAAAGAAAATTACACTTGGGAACACGTAGCACTTCACATGCAGAGGTTGTCCAAAGAAATCTTTAGCAGCTTGTTTGTTAAAAAGGACCAACAATCAAAGGAGTCAATTCCCCTGACTGATGGCGGGTACCTGGGAGAAAAGCTAGCAGGAGACAGCAGCAGGCTCGGGCTGCTCAGCAGAGCTGCGCCTCTTTTCGAGCGAGGGTGTTCAGGAGTGGTCAGTGCGCGCTTCTGAGAACCCTGCACGCAAAACACACGGTCAGCGTCGAGCGCACAACGACCCCCGTTCGGCTTTGGAAATGTTCATCGCAACGGGATCCCTGTCTGAAGTCAAAAGTGACCGCTTACCTTGCCAGGGGTGGAGTACGCGTCCAGTAGACTCTCCTCTTCTTCCTCGGCTTTGATTCTGAGCGAATACAGTGAAGGGCTGTGACACAATCGCCCACGATCGACAACGGGTGCACACAGAGAACAGGCTCACTGAGAAGGATACAAGTCCGACAGCGAGTGGATGTCTTTGGTTCTGTTACGAGCTTCTTCTTTTGTGAAGTTTTTTTTGGATTTACTCTTCTTGTTCAACACCTTTAAAGAAAACCAAGTCACGGTACGTTTAAAAAAAAAGGCCGACAGGTAAGGACGGCGCTTTGGCGTCAGTAACACCGGTACCTCGTGATCGAACTGCTCCAGGGTGTCCGTGGTGAGTTTCAGTCCATTAGAGGAGCTGTAGGCCACCCACTGAAACACCATCTCACCTGCCTGGATCCTGCTACAAATACACTGCTCCACCACTGAGGAGACAGGGGATGGAGGAGGGAGGGGGAGGGATGTAAGAAAATGACCACGAATAGAGTAGTTTAATTCAAATTACACTGACGAATTACAGCTCGCATCTGAGAGAGGAAAATAACCAAGCAGCTTCAAACACCGTTAAATAATGTGTCGTAAAGTAGCAGGACACACAGTACACGGTGACGTTATACGGAATGTACATTTATCTAGAAAGCGACAAAATGAACATTTGCTAGCCACTTACTCTTATCGAGGACGGCGTCATCGTGGCACTGAATGCCGAACACCTCCAGCTCGGTTTTGAGGCTTTCTCCGGTTACTTGCGCCATTGTTTTGAGTCGATTGCGTTACCAGCCTGGATGACTTTAGTTGCAGAGGTTTCAAACGTGAGACGACCCGATGTTTCTTTGAAGTTGAGTTTCCTTTGTAGCTTCTCTTCGTAGCAACAGCGCCCGTGCAGCGTTACTTCTCCATACAACGCAAACTCTCAATAGCGGCTGCGACAATAACTAATTATGTAACATTAGACGCTGGACTAAACCATCATCAGACGCTCACTCCATTTTGCCGCGAAAAAGTGCTGGTGGTGTTGGCGGCAGGAAATGACGTCACATTCAAAACAATAACAAACGGAAGTCATCAGTGTTACAAAATAAAATAGCCTCCAGCGCCATCTAGCGGTCCTCGTGGGACTGTTCGTTTAGCATTCAGGCCTGTGTGGTTGTCCAAGCTTAACTTGTTTTACCTTACAGTGTCCATAATGTATTAAAAAAAAGCATCTCAGGGTTCAAGAATTCAGCTCAATGTACTTTCTCTAATTCCAATTCTAAATATATTTGGTCAAAACAAAAAAACTATGGTAAATCATTTTGTTTAAAATAAAATGATCCATAGCTCCTTTTTAAACACCACATTTAAAAACATTTACTAATAGAAGACTTTAGGTATGTATATGTTTTAATTGCAGTGTATACTTCTTCCGCATTCTTCAGCTAGAACAGAAGAATCACTCTCAGATTTCTGTTCTGGTACACTCATCAGTACAAGGATGTTTTTCCATCTGTGAAAGTAAAAGTGTGGATTTAGATTGTGGATTAATATCATGTCTGAAAACAAGTGCTGCTATTACAGTAATTGGTTGGTATCAGTGAACAAAAAACAGCACACTCGCCTGAGCTGAGAAACACTTGCACCTGGGGGTGAATTTCCATGACGTCACCCTCCTCAGCGATTCACAGAGAGAGGCTGATAATTCGTGAGTGTCACGCACCTGAAAAGCACATATATTCTGATTATACATTTTTCCTCTGTCACACTATCAACACATATAGATGTACATCCCTGTAATTAACTGTACCAACAGTGTAGCACATCACCTATTTATATTTATACCAGTTTCTTTCTAGAATATGAGTTGAAGTGAATGACATGTATTCGAATATATACACGCATTTTTAAAAAGAAAACTAATTCAAACCTTCATGCTGTTCAGACAGGCTTTTCTGAAGTCCATGTTGCTGCTGCAGCTCACAATGCTGACGGCTGAACTGAGAATCACCTCAGCAGCCGAACGCAGCTTCTCTTGATCCTTTAAACCCGAACACACACTATTAAAACTTTTAAAATGTATTTATTGATTATATTTACCTAGCAAATAATGAAAAATCACAATGTCACAAAGTCCAAAGGTCACATCTTCATTTTTAAATGTCGGCCAACAACAATGTTCATAGGAATACAGAAACGTATTTAGAAACATACAAATGTCTATCCGTTTTTAACAATGATTTGATTTTCAAAATAACGCTGACCCGTTCTTCTAGATTTATTAGTCAATTGTTGTCATTGTTGAGGTAATAGACACCATTACGGGCTTGCCTTCTTTCTGTGATGTTGGGATTTCAGTGAGTTCCTCAGCTCCGTCTGAAGGGCTGTCGTGACGGCCTGCCTGTTGTTGCTCAGGATATCCTCCAGGTGGCGCTCTATCAGCACCTCTGTGGCTACGGGAGGATTATAGACAGCAAAGTAAGGAAGAATGTCTTTAACAATGATTTTGGGGGCGTGCGTGCAGCTGTCTCTCACCCATCCGATCGGAGAGCCGGTGGCTGAAGGGGTCACTGTGCTGCAGGAAGACGTAGAGCAGGAGACTCTGGTGCATTGTGGGAAGAGTCCGTCCTCGCTCACTGTTTCCTCGCTCTACTGTGTTTAAAGTGTCACCCCTGTCCACTGCAGCAAATGTTAAAACATGTTTTCTAACATAGCGACTTCAATAGGAAAGGAAGAGATGGTTATTAGTGACTGCATCAACTTTGAACAGATACAGCTGCAATTACAACTTAACAGAGGGTTAAGTATAACTTTGCAGCAATGGAAGACGCACCTTTAGGGTTTGGCAAATAAGTATTATAATATTTGGCTTTACGACACTACTTTTAAAACCAGACTTTACTTGTATTGAACGAGTCAACTGATTTTAAAAGATATGTTCTTGGTTGTAAAGTAACAACCGCTTTGAACTGAGAATGCCCTTTTTAAGTCATAAGATGTGTCACATTTCATCTCTCTAGTGGCCAAAGACAGACGGGATTGTATCATGAGGAACATGTAGTATATATTTGGTCTTAATTCATGTAGACCTGTGGTTTTTCTAGTGAAATCTACAAGGACTAAAAAGCACTCATCATGCAAGGATGATTGCAAGGATTATTTAGGGATGAGTGAGTTTAGTTCGGCAGAAAGCGTCTCAAAGACGGTCAACTTAATACGTAGTTTAGAAGGAAAACATTATGGGGAATATTCATGTGCCAGAACTTTGTAGTTGAAATAAACGTTTTAGGGGGAAAAAACAAAGCCCTCTGTTAATTTTAGAACTTAAATGCATTGTGAACTCTTTCTTAACACAAAATCTCTGCTGTGCGAATGCTTTTGTGTTTTGAATGCAGAACTATTTATTGCATCAAAACTCCCTGTTCCCAAGAACCCGAGACTCAAATGGTTGCATGTGTCCATATTTCACAGTTTACATGTGACAAATTGTGCAGACATTGTGCTGCTGGAGCTCATATTAGCAGACAGTGTCGGAGCCTAAGTCCCTTTAAGCGTTTTGTAACTATGTGGTATGTGTGTTTTTTCTAAGACTATTGTTCGGTCTGGTTTCATAGAACTCAAATGATGGGCCTTTTGTGATACATTAAATGTTTTATAGGCAGCTTCAGACCAGGCGTGTGTGCTCATTCTCTTACTAACACAGGTGGTTGAAATTAGTCTTCATCTCACGCCCAACCAAATGCTTCAAATGACTTTATGAGACAGGATAAACCGTCCAGAGCCCATATTCTTTAACCATGTGAATGAAAAACAGCATTTACACTCTCTCGGAAATCACACAACATTGAACTGATCCTGAGTACACATTGTTCCCAGCAGTTGTTGTTGTCTACCTTTTAAGGAGGAGCAGTGAAGGCCAAGCAGGCCCAGATCCTCACAGTCCAGATGAGCAGGAAGGTTCTGGAGGAGGGTGAAGGGGCCTGTGAAAGGAACATTACTGGGGCCGCATACCAACACCTGGACACCTGTGATGTCAAGGAAGACTAATCCAAATCAGGTGCCCCAAACACCTCAACTGAGTTCACCCCAGGTGTCAGATTTCAATTTTTTGGTTGTCACCCAAAGCTTCGCAGTTAGGGTTGAAATTTAGCTCGAGGGGAACTGTCGTTTTTTTTTCTCTCCCAAACCAACAATCACACCCTGATTAGGCCGGGATTGGCCTGCGGTGCCGAGGTAAGAAAACAAACTGGATTTTCTCATCTAAAAACTCTTTGACCCTTAAATTGACCCTTTCCGTCATCTGCGAACGAGATACTTGAGCTTTGGAGCACTGACTCGCTCCCAATTCAAAGTTAGCAGTGGAGGAGTCAACCCTCATCACTGCTTTCACACCACGAACTCTGGTGTGTAACTAGAAGTCATCGTCTGGTCAAGACAACAGAACCCCACCACTTGAAAAAAAGCACGAGCGCATTCCTGAGGCCACCACTGCGGAACCGCCCCGCAGCTCAGCCACCCTTACAGATGCCATGCCTGTGAAAAACCACACACAGACTCGGGGTGAAACCAGCAAAGGATATTTGTATGTCAGTGAGTTGTATTGCCAGATTGGGGTACTGAAGCACACATGGGCGGAGGACAGTGACGAGCTGGACGCTGAGCTCCCCAAACAGGCCACGGTCCATGGCTTCAGGTGGGACACTCAGTGGCAACCTGCCCCCGAGGACAGGGTGTCCTCCATGACACCAGCACCCTTTCTTCACGCATGCTGGAGGCCTTTAAACCCAAAGAGAGAGAGAGAGAGAGAGAGAGAGAGAGAATCACTTTCTATGAACGATAGGTGATGTACCAGTGCATCAGTTTTATCTTTATTGCATTAACAGGGGAAAATAAAGTCACATGGTTACGCATCCGTAACTACAGAGTTGTAGTAACATTTTAACAAAAGTAAAACAGATTTAATGCTGACAACAGCTTTACATACTGTGTTTGACATGTGACATCCAAGAGCAGCGGTGGTCGGTTTGGACAGGTTAGTTTACGCTTGATCTTCGCTCTACAAGAATATGAACACATTGTTAGCACTTCATAAAAACAGCACTGGGTGGGGGTGTTTTAACAATGACATTTCCTAAATTGACCGAAAAAGAAATCTTAAGCTTTTCCTGCAAAGTTAGCAGTCATACCTAAAGTCTCGCTGGAAGCTCTGCTGACTGACTTTGCATTTAAAGTGCATTTTTATCTGTGAAAAAGAAGATAAGTATTAAACGGGCTGCCAGTTTAAAAACACCATGGTGGATACGTGGGGTGGAAACCTTTCCCACCCTCGCGTTGGCCAAGCTGAATGAGTGCAGGAACGCCTCTGTTTGAGCGCACCACCCTGGACCGAAGAGTCTTGCATCTTTCATCTGTACAGGGCAGAGAGATAGACAGAGATGACTCTCATATATACGCACATGCTCACTGTGGTCATATACATGCGATGAAGGATTCCTGTGGTGCCTACCTGAAAAGACAGCAGCAGTCGGAGAGAACCGTGCATGTCGGTGAAGGCGCACAGCTCCTCGGGATCAGGCTGAGGACTCGACCACGTGCAGGCAGACATGCTCTCCTTCAGGTCAGTGGGGACTACCGTGGTAGAAGGAGCAGGTGATGCTCAACAGACGGAAGATGCGTGTGGTTGTGCTCGGTGCGCGCCTACATACCAGGTTGGAGCACTTTCCCTTCAAATCCGGAGAACCAGGGACCAGCTGCTGCCACTGCAACCACACATTGTGAACCATGTTATAACACTTGCTGCAAGTGCTTTATGTGCCAAAATGCACATGTAGTAACATGTATTCATCCACATCTTAGTTTTCTTTACAACACATTTGCATCCCATATCATACATACTTATATCTGTGGTGATCCGTTTTGGCTGGTTTATGTTGGGATTTCTGTCTACTAGTGGGTTTTCGCCATGTCTTATATTTTTTTCTGAAGTGTCGTTGTATTTCTATATTGAGGCTTACCAAAAATAGCGTTGGTATTTTTTGGTATTTTTAGATCGAAATTGCGCGACAAACCCTTTGGGACATGAATTGTTTGAGCGCGTTACTGTACTTCGAGGCCGTTTTGTTCCAGTGCTCCGGACGAAGCAACGTTAGCTCAGATGCTGTCGTAGCATAACGTTAGCTAGTTTCTTTAAACTTACCAGCACAGTTTACGCTTTGAAGAGAATCCCCGGTTTCGGTCCACAGAAGTATCAGAAGCCCTCCCGCAGTTAAACGTCGCTGCGGTGTCCGTTTTTCCAAAAGCATGACCCATCGCAAAACCTGAAATTGGTCATTAAAAACGCAAATAGCATTAGCTAGCTGAAGCTAAAGCTAACCCCGGACACAAGGTTAACTCTAGCTAGCTTCAAATATTGGATTGTTTCTATAGATCATTAGGAGCATAGATTAACTGTACGTGTAAAGTTATGTTTCTAGTTAAAATGGAGTTTATTAAAACATTTACCTGCTGTATTTCTCCGAGCATCTTCAGCAAATATCACAGAAAGCACAGTAAGTCTCAATCAGCGGCTGAATCGGCTTTCTGATTGCGCGCGTGCGCAGCGGAGGCTGTTGTGTTTAATTATTGACATTGACATTAACATTTAACTTCTCTTCACTCAATATTAGAGCTAAAAGTTCATTCATTAATAACACATTTGGATAATTAATAACCCAAAATAATATTCAGGACTGTCTCAGAAAATTAGAATATTGTGATAAAGTTCTTTATTTTCTGTAATGCAATTAAAAAAACAAAAATGTCATGCATTCTGGATTCATTACAAATCAACTGAAATATTGCAAGCCTTTTATTCTTTTAATATTGCTGATCATGGCTTACGGCTTAAGAAAACTCAAATATCCTCTAAATATTAGAATATTTCCTCAGACCAAGTAAAAAAAAAGATTTATAACAGCAAAACAAAATCAAACATTTGAAAATGTCCATTAATGCACTCAGTACTTGGTTGGGAATCCTTTTGCACGGATTACTGCATCAATGCGGAGTGGCATGGAGGCAATCAGCCTGTGGCATTGCTGAGGTTTTATGGATGCCCAGGATGCTTCAATAGCGGCCTTGCATTGTTGGGTCTGGTGTCTTTCAGCTTCTTCTTCACAATACCCCACAAATTCTCTATGGGGGTCAGGTCATCTGCATTTACTCTGGACTTGATGAAACACAGTGGACCAACACCAGCAGCTGACATGGCTCCCCAAACCATCAATGACTGTGGGAACTTCACACTGGATTTCAAGCAACTTGGATTTTGCTCCTCTCCAGCCTTTCTCCAGCCTCTGGCGCCTTGACTTCCAAATGAAATACAACACTTGCTTTCGTCTGAAAATTGGACTTTGGACCACTCTGCAACTGTCCGATGCTTCTTTTCCATAGCCCAAGTCAGACGCTTCTTCCGTTGTCTTGAGTTCAGAAGTGGCTTGACCATGGGAACACGGCTTTTGTAGCCCATTTCCCGGACACGTCTGTGAACAGTGGCTTTTGATACCTGGACTCCAGCTTCAGTCCACTGTCTTTGAAGCTCCCCCAAATTCTGGAAGCGACTCATCTTCACAAGGCTGTTAAGGCTGCGGTCGTCTCTCTTGGTTGTGCAGCGTTTCCTGCCACATTTCCCCCTTCCAACAGACTTTTTGTGGATGTGCTTTGAAACTGCACTCTGTGAACAGCTTGCTCTTTGAGAAATGTCTTTTTGTGTCTTACCCTCCTGATGGAGGGTGTCAATGATGGTCCTCTGGACAGCAGTCAGATCAGCAGTCTTCCCCATACTTGTGATTTAGTTTACTGAACCAAGCTGAGTGTTTTTCAAGGCTCAGAAAACCCTTGCAGGTGTTGAGTTAATTAGATGATTCAAGTGATTAGTTGAATACCCTACTATTATACTTTTGGATGATATTCTAATATTTAGAGATAGGATATTTGAGTTTTCTTAAGCTGTAAGCCATGATCAGCAATATTAAAAGAATAAAAGGCTTGCAATATTTCAGTTGATTTGTAATGAATCCACAATGCATGACATTTTTGTTTTTTTAATTGCATTATAGAAAATAAAGAACTTTATCACAATATTCTAATTTTCTGAGACAGTCCTGTATATAGCAAGGAATTTAGAAAAACGGAGGTCCTAAAAATCAGATTTCACAATTCAAACCTGGTAAATGTTCAAACTTCGATTAAGTAAGTACAAAATGTCAGAGAAAACCCCCCTGCAAAAACCCACAAGCCAACCCATCCGATAAAAACCCATCCAGAACATTTTAACCGCTTCTCATATTCTCAGACAGTTGATCTTTTGTTCCCAGGAAATGTGGTTCCTCCAGCTCAGCAGCTTCTTCACAGTGCTGCTTCCTGCTGCCATTACACCTGACCGGGTCTTACCAAAGGCAGTAATCACTCTCTCCGCCTCTCCTTTTTCTTCTGTGCAGCATCGACGGTTTTAAACACATTTTATTCCACCAGCGTACTTTTTTTAAGCATGCCGAGATTTTTCCCTTCCGGCTGTGGCTGTTTGAAATGATCCCCACACGTACACTTACATATGAGAAGATATCATTTATTTAATTTGCATGTATTCATAAATCTTAAATAAAATGACAATAATGATATAAAACAAATTAAGACGTTTTTGCTTTAACACAAATTACTTTTTCTCTTTCTCAGACCACTCCTTGTAACCTCCGGCAAAATTACGTGCACTGGAACAGAAGACAGAAGAAAAAAATACATGAACAACAATACTCAAGAGGCCGTGTTACTGGCTGGAGTACATGTTGGAGTCGTAAAAAAAAAAAAAGACTGTACGAGGGGTTTGTGTAATGCAGAACCAATGACGTATTTACTTCACGTATCCTAGTTGGCGGGCCTTGGTTGTGGCCACGTCTCCTCGCCGACCCAGCTGGCAGTGAAACACCAGCTCAGGCACATCCAGCTGTGGCTTTGTTACTCCGTACTTGGCCTGGAATTGTTCCGGCGCCATTGCAAGAGCAGCGTCTACTGTATCAACTGAATGAACATAATGAGCAAGAGAGGAAGGCAGAACATTATTTTAAGATTAAAATAGACGCCAGAACTTTTTTGAAGGTTTGTGATGGTTGAAAATATTAAGGGGAAAAAATAAATAAAGTATCTCACGTGGGATGTGAACGGATCCTTGAATTTTTCCTTTATCGACTTCTTCTTTAGTGCGAACATCAACCAGAAGGAGGTTGTTGCTCCTTGCCAGCAGCGCTTTCAGATCCTCATAGGAGATCTCCTTGGTGACTGGCAACGAGAGAGGAAACACATGACGGCTTTGTAGAGCGCGAGTAGCCTTTGTTGGCACCTCCTCACCTTACATGTGACAACATATCATTTTTAGCTCACTGTGCGGAATGAGGATTGCAAATATTGAATCTGAGTTCTAGTGTCAGATGTTAAACGTTATCTTTAGATAAGGTATTTCAAGTGATATCATAAGAGCAAGTACAATTTAATTGCTTTGGATGGTGATTGAAAAAGGTTGATGGTTTTTATGGGGCAATGCAGATTGTTTTTAAATTCCTGATGCCCCCTCCACCTTCACATCACATTCCTTTCTAGAAGATTGCTCCCCCATGTTGGCAGTCATATTTTTATTTACAGGCAGGGTGTGTGTGTGTGTGTGTGTGTGTGTGTGTGTGTGTGTGTGTGTGAGAGAGAGGGTGACTAATAAGGTTTAAAATGAAAAATACGGAGTGGCAGGTTACGACATGCAATAGTGTTCAGCTTTATTTGGGAGTGAAATATGAAAGCGGTTTGTCATGTGTTGTTTCAATGAGTAGTTGCTTGGCATTCCCTGAGGATGAGGAAATGATCCTTAGGGATTTGCTGAGTCATTCTTCATCATCAAGAAATGAATATCCCTTTGTTGTAACAACAGGGGATTCCTTCTTCATTTCTTATTTATAGGTTGGAGACATATGCGCTGAAGATGGTTAACTTTATGTAACAATTAAAAGGGGTAGAGACAATAAAGTTTAACGTCACTTCACCACAGTTATAAGATATTACTTAACAAGGCAAAACTCTAACAAGGCAACTAGACTGAACTTCCTCGAAAACAAAAGGGAGGATTCAAGTTGGTTAGGGAAATCATTAAAATCATATATTTCTCTCTCACAACAAGGAAGGTAAATGAGAGTTACCTGAGCTCGCCATTCTGCTTGAAGGTGACGTTAGTCCAACACGCAATTAGCAAAGAAGTGCATCTTCTTCCTCATATTGTTTAGTAGCCAGTCATTGGCTTAGCCGCCAGAGAGGGGGGGGGGGACCTTTTTGTTAGCCAATAAAATCAACTTCCTGCTGTGTCTTTTACATGGCTTTCAAAATAAAAGTTGTCACGTTAAAGTTTTTCACTTAGAAAATATAATTAAATAATTAAGAAAGGAAGGAAGTATTCTGCATCCGGAATTCAGCTAAAATTATCACTAAATGTACTTAAAATATAAAACTAAAATAACTCACAATTCTGACTCCCTGGATACCGATGCACATAAAGGCTGTTTTTGTAGGTTGTACAATTTTTGACTGATGACTGAGACACATTGTAACCCTGCTGTATTTCATAACCCATGGGACTATGTTAATGAAGCAAATAAAACAACCAAGAACATTTATAGATTGTTTTTTATTAAAATAACCTTTAGAAATTCTGTATCTACATTCTGAAAAATATCTCAAATCTAACCATACAAAAAACACTAAAATAAATCTACTGTCACGACCGGACGGTGGACGGGAACCCAAATGCACGACTCACACAACGTGGTGCGAAAAAAGAATCAAAGTTTATTAACAAAAGGACAGGGCATGGCCGCTGAAATAAAAATCACTCGTGGGCGAGGAAAAAACCGATCTAGAGACAAAAACTGAAAGCAGGCTCAATTAAGGTGTCGACAAAAAACGAGGCAAGACTGTGGACATACGTAGCGCTGGCACGGTGGCTTGGGACAAGACGAACTGGCACAGGACAGAGGGAGACTCAGACAATATATACACACACATAGGGGAAGTGCACAGGTGGAGACAATCAGGGGAGGGGCGGCAATCACACCGACACAAGAGGAAGGGGAAAGTTGCCTGAAACAAGGGGAAGGTTCATTTTCCAAAATAAAACAGGAACTCACGAGACGGACACGAGACAACCTAACTAACATCTTTTTCTGGACATGACAGTACCCCCCCCTTTAGGGACGGCTCCTGACGGACTTTTGCGGTTGTTGAAGTCCCTGATGAGTGCCGGGTCCATGATAAAGCTGGACCGGACCCAGGAACGGTGCTCCGGACCATAGCCCTTCCAGTCCACCAAGTATTGGTGTCCCCTTCCGCGTTTGCGTACGCCCAAGAGTCGCTTCACTGGGTAGACCGGTCCCCCATCAACCATCCGGGGAAGTGGCGGAGTTGCGGCTCCGGGCACCATAGGACTCTCTCTAACTGGTTTCAGCTTCCCCACGTGAAAAGTAGGGTGCACCCTCAGGGATCTGGGAAGGCGCAGACGAACAGAGACAGGGTTAATCACTTTTGACACGGGAAACGGACCCACAAACCTGGGAGCTAGCTTCCGGGAGGCAACATGGAGTGGCAAGTCCCGTGTGGAGAGCCAGACTTTCTGGCCCGGCTGGTATGTCGGAGCTGGCTGGCGCCTCCGATCAGCGACCTTCTTCATGCGCGCCGCGCTGCGAAGGAGGATGCTGCGGGCAGCTGCCCAGATTCGGCGGCAACGCCGGACCATGGCATGGGCGGAAGGGACGACGACCTCCTTCTCAGTATCTAGAAACAGAGGCGGTTGGTAGCCGAAGGCGCACTGGAAGGGGGTCAGCCCCGTGGCTGCTGTGGGGAGCGTGTTATGGGCGAATTCAACCCAGGTTAGGTGTTTGCTCCAGGATGACGGCTTCTGGGATACCAGGCAACGAAGACTCGTTTCCAATGCTTGGTTAAGGCGCTCAGCCTGTCCATTGGCCTCTGGGTGGTATCCGGACGTGAGACTGACCGTGGCCCCGATCAGTTTGCAGAATTCAGTCCAAAAACGGGATACGAATTGGGGCCCCCGGTCTGACACCACGTCCCTCGGGAACCCATGAATGCGAAAAACGTGGTTGAGCATGGTTTCGGCAGTCTCCTTGGCTGACGGAAGTTTAGGTAAGGCTATGAAATGAACCATCTTTGAGAATCGATCCACCACTGTGAGGACAGTGGTGTTACCTTGAGAGAGCGGGAGACCAGTGACGAAGTCCAGCGAAATCTCAGCCCAGGGTCGACTGGGCACCGGGAGTGGTTGCAGCAGCCCTGTGCGTGCCTGGGAGGAGGTCTTGTTCCTAGCACAGACGGGGCACGCACCAACATACTCCCGGACCTCGCGTTCCATGGCGGGCCACCAGAACCTTTGTCTGATGGCATATATGGTTCTCCTGATCCCCGGATGGCAGGTGAGCTTTGAGGTGTGAGCCCAATGAATCACCTGTGGGCGCATAGTCGCCGGAACAAACAGGCGATTAACTGGACAACCACTAGGTGTAGGGTTCTCACCATTAGCCCGCTTCACCTCTGATTCTATCTGCCATGTTACCGCTCCTACCACACGGTGCGGTGGCAGCATTGGTTCTGGTTTCTTGGCAGTGGGCTCGGGGTTGAACAGACGAGACAGGGCGTCCGGCTTGGTGTTCTGGGACCCCGGCCTGTAGGATAAAACAAAGTTAAAGCGGTTAAAGAACAGAGTCCATCTGGCTTGGCGAGAGTTCAAACGCTTAGCCTTGCGGATGTACTCAAGATTTTTATGGTCAGTCCAGACAATAAACGGGTGTTGGGCCCCCTCCAGCCAATGTCTCCACTCCTCTAATGCCAGCTTTACCGCGAGCAACTCACGATTACCAACATCGTAATTCCGCTCCGCCGGTGAAAGTTTTCTGGACAGGAAGGCGCATGGATGTAGTTTGTGGTCTTCTGTCGATCGTTGAGATAGGACCGCCCCCACACCGTCGTTGGAGGCATCCACCTCCACCACAAACTGTCGGCTGGGATCTGGAACCGTGAGGATGGGGGCCGTGGTGAACATCTCCTTGAGTCGGGTGAAAGCCACCTCTGCTTGGGGAGACCATAGAAACGGGGCTTGGGGAGAGGTGAGAACATGGAGGGGAGATGCTATGGCGCTGAAGTTTCTGATAAACCGTCTGTAAAAGTTCGCAAAACCCAGGAATTGCTGAACCTTCTTACGGTTATCAGGTGTAGGCCACTGGGCCACAGCGCTGACTTTAGCCGGATCCATTTGTATCTTTCCAGGGGCTATGACAAAGCCCAGGAAGGACACAACGTTGGCATGGAATTCACTCTTTTCTGCTTTGACATAAAGATGGTTCTCCAGCAGACGCTGGAGAACCTGCCGAACATGGCGAACATGAGTGTCTCGGTCAGGGGAGAAAATCAAAATGTCATCTAAGTAGACAAATACAAACTGATTAAGGAACTCCCTAAGAACATCGTTTATCAACGCCTGAAATACGGCCGGGGCATTGGTCAGGCCAAATGGCATCACGAGGTATTCGTAATGGCCCGAGGGGGTGTTAAAGCCGGTCTTCCACTCATCGCCCTCTCTAATACGGACGAGATGATAAGCATTGCGCAAGTCTAGTTTGGTGAAGATTCTGGCTTGTTGCAACTGTTCAAAGGCCGATGACATGAGGGGCAGGGGGTATCGATTCTTGATAGTAATGTCATTTAATGGTCCATAGTCAATGCAGGGTCTCAGGGAACCATCCTTCTTCCCCACAAAAAAGAATCCTGCTCCTGCTGGAGACGAAGAGGGACGTATGAGTCCTGCTTTTAATGAAGCCTCGATGTATTCAGTCATGGCTACTTTCTCAGGGCCGGAGATGGAATAAAGTCTCCCCTTCGGAATGGGCGCACCCGGGATAAGGTCAATGGGACAGTCATAAGGACGATGGGGTGGTAGGGAAGTGGCCTTACTCTTGCTAAACACCTCCTCAAGATCGTGATAACAACTGGGAACGGAGGTCACATCACGCAAGTTGTGTGTGTGGGTCGGAGCTGAAGCCGATACAAGGTCCCCAATGACTCCAATCTCCACTTCTTGGCCAGGAACCCTGTCTAGCCCCCCCCGCTTCCCTCCCCAGCTTATGATCCTCCCAGAGCACCAGTCAATGTGGGGGTTGTGTTTTTTGAGCCAGGGGAACCCCAAAATCAGGGGGTGTTGGGCCGAGTGGAACAGATGAAACGTCACTAGTTCGTGGTGGTCCCCGATGCGTATAGCCACAGGTTCAGTCACATGTGTTACATTAAAAATAAAGCTGCCATCCAAGGCGCTGGCTTTCAACGGCTGGTTCAAGGGAGCTGACCTAACTCCCATTTGGTTGGCAAAACCCCAGTCCATGAGGCTTTCATCAGCCCCAGAGTCAACCAGTACTCCCATTGAAACTGTGGTGTCATGGTGGCTTACCTGGATCTTCATCAGGGAGCGGGAGGAACTGCCCGATGAGGCGAAGCGGTTCGACAGGGGACTCTTCTTCCCCTGGTGGGTTGTCCTCCTCGCCGGACACCCTACCACTAGATGTCCTTGTTCCCCGCAGTAGAAACACCTGCCTTCCTGCAGGCGGCGTCGTCGTTCTTCAGCGGACAAACGAGCCTGTCCCAGCTGCATGGGCTCCTCTGGATCACGCGAAGAGACAGCTCTCCACTGGACCGGCGACGGTAGGGGGGAAACGACCCTTGAGTTTGTTGAAGGGAGACCTCGGTCCTGCATTCGTGTCTTCAAACGATGGTCTGTCCTAACAGCCAATGCGATGACTGCGTCGAGGTCCTCAGGCAAATCAAGGGGAACTAACAGGTCTTGGATGGGATCCGAGAGTCCTGAGATGAATGCATCATACAATGCCGTGGCATTCCATCCGCTATCTGCTGCTAGTGTGCGGAAGCGGATGGCATAGTCTGAGACAGAGTCCATACCTTGGCGGATAGTGTTCAGCTCCCGGGCTGTCTCTCTGCCGGATGTCGTGGGGTCAAACACCCTCCTCAATGTCTCGGTGAACCGAGCGAGTGATTGGCAGCTTGGTGAAGCTCTGGACCATTCCGTGGTTGCCCATACTTTCGCTCTCCCCGTGAGATGGGAAATCATAAATGCCACCTTGGACCTTTCTGTGGGGAAGGCTGAGGGCAATTGTTCATAGTGCATTTCACAGTTAACTATGAAGGACTTGCATTCCCTAGACTCACCGGAGAACTTCTCGGGTGGGGCAAGGCGAATTGCCTGACTGTGGGGAGCTGGAGCTGGTGGTGCGTCGGCAGCCGCCAGCACGGGCGAGGCTGATGGTGCTTGGTTCAGATGGGTGAGCATCTGATGAATCTGGTTAGATAGGAGATTCACCTGGGTCGTCATGGCGGCCTTGAAGTCCTCCTGCCCGCTTGCCAGCCCTTCCACTCCATGTTGCAGGGCGGACAATTGATCCTCCTGCTGCTTAAAGCGGTTACCCTGAGCGCCAATGGCTGCCTTTAGGTTATCCGAGTCTGCTGAGTTCATGCTGGCCAGTTCGTTCTGTCACGACCGGACGGTGGACGGGAACCCAAATGCACGACTCACACAACGTGGTGCGAAAAAAGAATCAAAGTTTATTAACAAAAGGACAGGGCATGGCCGCTGAAATAAAAATCACTCGTGGGCGAGGAAAAAACCGATCTAGAGACAAAAACTGAAAGCAGGCTCAATTAAGGTGTCGACAAAAAACGAGGCAAGACTGTGGACATACGTAGCGCTGGCACGGTGGCTTGGGACAAGACGAACTGGCACAGGACAGAGGGAGACTCAGACAATATATACACACACATAGGGGAAGTGCACAGGTGGAGACAATCAGGGGAGGGGCGGCAATCACACCGACACAAGAGGAAGGGGAAAGTTGCCTGAAACAAGGGGAAGGTTCATTTTCCAAAATAAAACAGGAACTCACGAGACGGACACGAGACAACCTAACTAACATCTTTTTCTGGACATGACATCTACAGGTTTAATTTGCCCGCAAATAAACTGCAGTTATAACTACTAAAACCTAAACAACCTATTTTCTACAATCAATCATAACACAACCCTGAAATGTTTGCCCTTTGTTGGTGATTACAACATTTCCGTGCCCCCTGTGTCCAGGGATTGTTCATTGTGACCGGGATGATCTAGTCTTCATCACGGAGTCCCTTCTTTGCTGTAAGAAGGGTTCCCTAATCCATCAGCAGAGTCCCTTTCTGCCCTTTTACGCATTTGATGCTTCCAGAGCAGCACGGCTCCTATGATCAGAAGTACGAGGATGGCAACGCCTCCTCCTATAACCCCAGCCAAAACCTTATAGTCAGAAGATTCAGGAAGGTAGTACCGCATACAGGAGAAATCTGAGGGGGTGCTTCTTCCCGCCCTGTTCACTGCCTCCACACACACCTTGGTGCCAACTTCCAGAGATCCGACCAAACCTCGTCGCGAAACGTCCTGAAACTCCAGGACTTCGCTTCCCTCTATCCCCACTCTGTACGCAGACACCACTGAAGACGGAGCGCACCACTGGACCTCTATATTCCCTCTGTCACGCCCTTCCCTGATTGCCTGCAGCGCTTGGATGCGCGGTGCATGAGGCGGCTCGTCGGCCCCGCTGACCCCTGGACAGAGACACCCATTCCTTGCTGAAATTTGGCCGCAGGGCTCCTGATTCTCCAAGCAGGGGCTGTAATGGCAGAGCTGCGGCTTTCTGTTGGTGGTCTTCGCGGAGTCCGGCACTATGGGGGGAGGAGGGCTGTTGTTGTCATTGTCATCGTCATAGTTGTCATCCGAGCTGAAGTCAGTCATGTAAATGATGCGAGGAAGAGGGCCGGGGGGAGTGCTGTTAGTAGAGGCCGCGTGGGTGAAGAGGTGTGGGTGGAAGAGAGGCGAGGCACTCAGAAAAAGGAGAAGCACACCCAGGTTCTTGCGCGGTGACGTCATCTCTATGGAAAGAAGTGACAAGTGATAAGGATGGACTGTAAAAATACTGGTTATTGCAAAAACAATACAGAAAATAGATCTAAACAAATCACTAACAGCGTTAATAGTGTGTTCATCCAGTCAGTTTCAGAAAGGATGTACGTCTTCATTGGCCATTGCTTCTCTATTTACCTTGTTTTAAACCTAACGGCCGGTAATGAATATCTTAATACCTAATAAAATTGAGACATAGTGGTTTCATTCTCAAAACACAAAAACCAAAATACTGAATTTAGTTACAACACCATACAAAATGAAGCAAGGGCGAGGAGGATCCACAGTTATGATAAACAGGACACATGAGAACAAGGTTTGATCAGAAGGTCCGTCTTTAAACAGCTCTTTTTTTATAATTACTAATTTAGTCAGTGACTTGCAAATGACTCTTTGAGTTGGATAATCAAACATTTGCGGTGTTCTAGTTCCCCTCGTGTAAACAGCTTAAGATAAATAAATGCTCAGTGCTCGAAGAAAGAAATAAAACTATTGCCCTCAGCCCATCAGCACGTCTGGTTTCTACTGGCACCAAGCCAGAGGAGTTCTGTGTAAACACGTGACTGCATTTTCACTTTAAACATTCTGGTTTACGTTTGAAAAGAACACTCAGACGACCCTTTTCTTCCCCCACGTCAGTAAATACGACTGACAACTAAATCTCCAAGAATAAACACCCAACCTCTCCGGTGTTCCACATCTGGCGCGCACACAAATCAGCATCATGACAAATGCGACTAAAAGAAAAGTCTTCAGGACGGTCTACCTGTTTGATGGCGGTGGACGTTATCAAGTTGATTCCCTCTGGTTAGCGCTGCGTCTGCTCCCGTCCTGCACTAAACACAGTCCTCCGCTCTCACCGTCTTAAATCGCTTCCCTCAGAATCTCCCCTCCTCCCCAACCCCCCCTGTTTTCCCCCCCCCCCCCCCCCCCCCCCCCACCCCCCACTTCTTCTAGCTCCCATTGTGACAAGCTGGAGGGGAACCACAGAGGCGTTCTCTTCTCGTCCTTTTATGGGGTTGAGCTGGCAAGAACGGCGGGTTGTTTCTTATCGAAAGGGGCCAACGTGCACTGATGAGAGGAAAAGTAGCGAGGCAGAAGCCTCCTTTGTCAACTCCAAAACTTTACGTATCTGCTCAACCGGCGTTCTCCCAGAATAAGCAGCTTCATTTAAATTCAAGCGCAGTTAAGCGCATGCACATTTAGGTCATTGTAATGTAATACACAGGGACATTTTGGAAGAAGAAAACCGAGAGATCACAGTTAAGAGAAATAAACATGTATGGTTCACCTCAGGGCAACAACAGTAAATCGTATGCAGATGAACAAACACCAAAGGCTGGCTTAAATGTACTACCACTTAAAGTGTACCGCAGGAAATAGAGATGAGATTTATGTACTGTTTCGCTACTGAAAGAAGTGTTTGTTCCACATTGTCGCTCCAAACTCATAACAGCTGCTTGATCAGTGGCCTCTCGGCTGTTGTTGTCAGATCTTCATATCTGAAGCATCTCGTCTCCTGTCTGGATGACACATAGAGGTTTTTTCTCGTGCGGGCTGGCTGATTCCAGGCAGACATCTACAAAGAAGCAAACAAATGAAGAGAAGGAACTTGAAATGCTCAAATAATCATTCTTCTGTTTCAGAAGGTTACAGGAAAGTATCAATATTGTCAATTGTAGGAACTTACAAACCATAGGTACGTCTCTGTAGTTATTGAGGATCATAATGCCACACAACGCAGGGGAAGATTTCAAAATGCATATAATAGTTTCTCAAAGGATGTCGAAGTGTAACAAAGAGGAATGCTTCTCCTCAGGACCACCCTCAGTTTTTTCAGGCTTCAGGTTGTTTTGGCTGCGTGAGACAACCATCTCTTCCCCCCCCGACCGCCCGTCTGTCTCAATGCTCTGCAACGTGAGGAGCTGATGAGTCCCAACAACCCGCCTGTTACTGGATTCGTCAGGCTGCTGTGACCGATTGGAAGTGAAGCGATTAGGTCTTTTGTCACGTTTCCAGTCGTTGTTGTTAATATTAATGTAATATGTTACATATTAATGTAATACACTGTAGTGCTTCAAAAGTCACATCGGTGATCAGTGGGGGTCCGGCGATGTCCGTTTGTGTGTGTGTGTGTGTGTGTGTGTGCGTGTGGGGAAAACAGAGTTAGTCTGTGATCACTGCAGCTATTAATACGATGAGTGGTCCCCTGGAGGAGGCCGTTTCTGTGAATGTGCTCCACTTCAAATAAGGGAAGAGGACAAGAAAGAGGCGAACACAAACAAATATGTGAAATATTTACCAGCACGTTAAATTTTTTTGGTCAAACTGTGGCTCCGAGGCCCGCAAGGAATCAAGGGAGCAGCTGAGCGTGAGTCACACTCGACATGATATCCAGCCCGTCGCTGCGGTGCCTCTCTCCCACCAACCACCTCGGCGTGTCGGAGCGGGCTGCCGGCCCCGTGTGTCAGACGACCTGCCGGATCTCGCCTCCATCGTCGGATTGTAGATAGCGCTACCATTTCCCCGTAGTCCTGTGAAGTCTATTTGTTATTGTTTTGTATTATTTCTTACCGCACTAACTGGTGTTTTAACTGCAGGAATTCCTGTCCGCCCTTTGAATAAGTTCAAACCAATACACTTTACTCTCAAACTCACTCACTCAGGGCGTCCTCCGAGCCACCGAGTGTGACTCAGGCTGTGAAATGTGTGGGCCTCTCACAGACGCTCATTCCCTCTGCGACCCACGGCTCTCTGAGGAGTTCAAGTATTCCAACTGAAACAGGAAGCCTACTTCCCAATCACCTTTGACCTCTGCTTCATTTAAAGAGGAACCTCAGGGTAGTCCTACACCCGTGACTGTGTGAAGTTATTTTGGGCTTTAAAAGAGACCCTGCAAGAGGGTTAATTGGAAGCAGGCGTGGTGATACAGCGCCTCATCTGATGTCGAGGACCCACATTCCTGTTTGGGTCATTCATGACTTCGCAGTAGTAAAAGAGTGGGCTGGTAATCACAGAAACTCTGCAGCAACAGGCGGCGACTATTTTAAATAGTCTGCCTGCCTAAGTGAATCTCCATGAAGGTTGATTGACGCTAAATGTCCCTTCGTGTGTCCAATAATGTCATAAAAGACAACTCAAGACAACATTGAGTGGATTAAACGGTGAGGTTATGGCAACCACATGTTGATATTCGTTGGTGTTATGACGCATTTTGAATAGATTGCACAATATAAAACACGCATGGAGTGGAAAGTTGGCAGTTTGGCCTGCTGAGAGCCTGTGAAGACAGGACTGGATCACAATCAATATTTGCGGTATAGCACCATAATTGAGTAACAGGGGCCCTGACGGATGAAGCCCAAGTGTTACCTAAAGCATTAATGGTGGCTCGGTTCTCGGTGACAGTGTGATGCTTACCCAGCATAAAAAATATGAGGACCCTGAAACTGAAGCAGCTAAATGGAATTCAGCCATATTTAATTTACTTATTTAAGATTTTCGTACAGTGTCCTAATGTCTGGATTATTATAATAATAATAATATAAATTAAATTTGTTGTGTGAAGTAGAAATTTGGTACAGGTCGGTAACTTGAAACGTAAAAGGCAAATCAGTCACGTACTGAACTCCACTGAATGTTAAATCTTTTCCATCCACTTCCATCCAGAACCAAAGACTTACGCTAAGTTATAGCTTCACCTAGTGGTGAACACTTCAACTTTCAACATGATTTCCATCACGTGAAAGCGACAAAACCGCTACATCTTTCTGGGATAAATCTGACAATGATTCTTGCTTATTTGAGGTTATCTAATTTAATGTATTGGATTGGCAAATAGGCTGATTTGATTAAGTCATTATGTGGGGGGAGGGAGCGGGTCAAAGGCAAACATGATGCCCAAAGACACAAGATCCAAGTGGGGTGTTTTCACTCAGAGAAGAACGGTGAAATCCCTCCATAATAATTGTCTCTCCCTCGTGTCATAAAGATGAAGCAGATTACATATTTAGTTTTAAAGCTGTAAACTGATTAAACATATAGAGACCCATAATTAAAAATGTTGTTATTCACAATGATTTACAAAGAATGCAATTGTTTTACTTGAGTAAAAAATAACAACGAACAGTGAATAACAAAGTAAATTGACTAAAGCACAATTAGTTGTAGGTGTATTTCTCTTATTATCTCTTATCTTATAACAGCATTTTTTATAAATACTTTTATAAATAAACTATAAATATAAGCGTAACTGCTAAAAGTTGCTGTTTTTACATTCATCAACGTGTAAGAATAATCCCATGACATTTTCTGTAATATTAAATTACAACTACAGTGTAATAGAGATATAAATAAGCATGAACTGTACACGCTACAGTTAACCACAAGGTGTGTGCTAAACTAACTGTGTCGCTCAACTCGGATCTTTCCGTCGATCCGAAGCGGGTGCGAAGTGAAAACTCGCTCCACAACTGTACCGGAGCTCCGCCATTGGTTGGAAGGGCCCAACCGCCGCGGGAGGGGGATGAGTGGCGGGGGCGGGGGCGATCTGTTCGGTGACGGCCGTTGCTCCACTTACACCTTAGTAGAGAGCAGTGGCAGCCACCGGGACCCACGCGGGCCCCCACGCCTCATGTTTACAACGCGTAACGGTTCCAGGTAAAAGAGGAGGAGCGCATTCGTCGTTTTTCTTGGCTCGCCCGGGGGAGGCGGGATGTTAAGGGGGGTGTGCGTGACGGGGTGACACGGTGCGGGAAACTAGCGAACGCTTTCACAGGTTGATGATCTGTAGCGCGACACCAGCAGAAGTGACCGACGTGATCGTTTGCGTTTATAAGCTACTTGGAGCGACACGGGTTTCTCTTCTAAAGGAGGAATAGGCGGCGCCTGCTACTTCCTGAGAAATAAAATACAGCTCCTAACCAGAATGAGACATTTTAACGTTCGCAGGTCGGGGTTCATCCGCTGAAGTTGACGCACGGACTCCGGCTACAAAGCGGGCGCGTCGTCCGTCAAGTCCGCGCCGTCCGTCTCTCTCGCGCTCTCCTTTTGACAGACAGCCAATCGAATCTGTTATTTAAATTCGCGCTCTTATGTCAGTGACCTATTTCCCACGCACGTGCGCCGCCGAGAGCCCACAGTAACCTCGCTTGCCAGACCACACAGCATGGAACTCAAGGCGCAGCCGTCCCGGCCGGAGGAGACAGCTGCTGACCCGGCGACGGAGCGGGGCGTCGCTGCTCCTCCCCCCCCCCACGACGACCGGCCGGGCGACGGGCCGCCGGGCGGAGAGCGCAACGCCGCGCCGGAGAACAGCTCCGCGCAGTTGCTCGAGGCCGGCTCCAAACCGGCCCCGTCCCCGGTGACCGACTCCGAGTCGGCGGTCCAGGTGGAGGAGCACGGCGGAGGAGGAGGAGGAGGCGCGTTCGTTCCCCCCGAGGGAGGCTTCGGCTGGCTGGTGGTTTTCGCGGCCACTTGGTGCAATGGGTCCATCTTCGGCATTCAAAACTCGTTCGGCATCCTGCACATGATGCTGATGAAGGAGCACGCGGACCCCGACGACAAGACGTCTCAGTTCAAAGTGGGTGAGTATCAGAAGATGCGACAGATGTGCGTTTGTATCGGATCGCGTGCGCGGTCGATTCCACGTGACGTGATCTCCGCGGGTGACGCCGGCTTCCAGGGCCGGTGTGTCCCGCTGTTCCATGTGTTCATGCCCCTTATAGAACCATAGCTCTTCTCAAGAGTTCAAGCGGGTTCGCTGTGCACATAGCATATAGTGTTACATTATTGTTGTTACGTAACGTGCCAGGCCAGTAGATCTGAAGTGCACATGTGGTTTTGGTTCAGTTAAGTGTTGCTGCAGTTCAAAGAATGCTGCCTTGCACCTTGTCCCAGTTGGTTCATCCACATGTGTTTTTTGGAGAGCACCATCGCTAATTCATGGAATCATTAACGGGCATTTGGACTGAGCAGCTCTCTCCTTGCTATCCATTCAGCAACGTCATTGTTATTTCAACTTAAAATGTTCTCGTTTGACAGCCAGAGGATGAATGTTATGTTTCAATAACTCGAAAAGTGACCCGGCAAAAGGTTCTGCTCAGAATTTATGCCGCCGCTCCTACATGTTACACAGAATGTGCATTACCCCATGTTTCATCTATTAATACATCACTTGTGTGGGGTTTAGGGTTAGAGGTCTAGAGGGTGCCAAGCATGTGACGCAAATCCAATGTTAGACAGAGCTAAAGGTAGGCAAAAAGATCTTGTGATCATTTTATTCAAGGAATTAGTATTTATTTGTGTTACAGTAAAGCTGCTGGTGACCAGAATAAGGCCAATGTTCGACTTCTCCGTCTGCCTCCACATATCAATTTGTAGCATTCCAATGTAATTATATCACGATCTTTCACTGCTGAATGTTCGGGCCGTGCAGCGCTATGACTATGACACATGTTTATTGTAGCAGACACATACATATTAATATATAAAGCCTTCAGAGGGTAAACAAGAGTTTTTTATAAATACCAATGTGGGGGTCAGAGATGCTAGACAAGTTCAAGACGGTAATGACGAAGAAGGCCATGAGTTGCAGATGTTGGTGTTTCACGCAATGATTACAGTACGACACTGTAAGAACTTTCCTTTCTGAGGTTGCTGCCAAATAGCTTCCATGTGAAACGTGTGGAAGCACCAACAGCTTCTTTTATGAAGTTAAAAACCGGGATGCGTCTCTCGGCGAGACTTAAGAAAAGGTCACACGGCGCCGTTTCTGCTGCGGTAGAGTTTGCAGAACGGGAAATGGGAGAAAGAAAGGGGCTGAGCGGACAAGTGATTCCTTTTACTTTGGAAAACCGATCATGGGAAGATTGCATGGAGAGAGTCCAGAGTGGTGGAGTCCTATTTGGGTCTCTATAAGTAAAGGAGTTGTTTCCCTGCAGTTAGGTGGACCGCCTATAAACCTCGCTGACAGCAGCATTTGGCCCAAATTTCCCATTAAGCGCTACAAAAGACACCGATGACACTTAAGAAACCAAACTTTGCTGTGGTAGCTACGTAGCGACACTGGTGGCTCTCTAACCAGAAAACATTCACCCTCAAAACAAAATCAGGGAATGCAAAGAAAAAGGATTTCAGCTGATAGTTCCAACAAGGACTCGGTATTGAAACAAATTCCACAAACACGCTTGAATTTAAGCTGCAGACAAACAGCTAAACAGTTTGATCACAGGTTGGCAGATCAGATCAGGGAGCATTCCAAAGGTAAGGGCACTGAGTTCGGCCCGGGATTACAGTCTCCTAAAGCTTCACATGCTCAGGAACACCACGTTGGTTGGAGTTAATTGAGTGTGATTTTCGCTCGACACATCCGCGAGGCAATTAAACAACTTCAACACGGACAACTGGAATGGCACCCAAATGTAGACCGCTAGAAGTGCTCACAGAAGTGGAGCTCAGACGGTAGGCAGCAAACAAGCAGACGGGTAATCGTCAGACAGCACAGCGCCGCACCTCTGTAAGGTGAATCTGTAAATGAGGGGAGCGGGACAGCAGGTGTGGGGACGGCTGTAGCCCTAAGGGTGATAGGGAAAGTAGGAAGACGGTACCCAGGCCTCCGGCGGGCGGATGGAAAGCGACAGTCGTTTGAATTGGGACGCTAGAAAAGTGTGTGCGTGCAGAGGAGGGACAAAGTCCGACACCTTTGTGGACCGCGGAGGGGATTTATTTGAAGACAGCTGGTCCCCTGCGCAGGACTTGTCCAGTTGTCCTACAGGCGCAATGCTCCTCAATCTGTAGCCTGACCTGCTTCCTGGTACTTAGAATATGAGCATAAATCCCATGACATTATATAATGTCAGCTTATGTAGATTTTTTTTTGTATTGACCCTTGCTTGATATATTTTACCTTCTGAATTGGCTAGTTTTTTTGTTAATGTCTTTATATTTAGTAAATATAGCTTATATACGCTGTCCAATAAGACCTTTTGAGTTATTAACTTCAATATGCTAAACAGCTTATGTTGCGGTAAAAAAGACTCACAGTTTGGAATGTACTAAATAAAGAACCTTCTGGGGAACCTGATAAGAATAAAGCCACCATTTAGCTTCTTAATCTTGCAAGAATCAGAATTCACCATTTCATAGCTCCCTTTTCCTTCACACTAGTGCGGTGCTACACACAAGCAAACATTAAATCATCCTGCAGGATGTTTCCCTTATTTCCATGAAGCTGTTGGGCTTCTTTTAGTGTCTGTTTTTCAGCTAAAGGGACCATGTGCGTCACACAGCAACATCTTGCCCAGCTTGCCAAAGACATTAAACGTGGCAGAGAGGAAGTGGGCTTCCACCTCGGCCAAGACGCTACAGTTTTCAAAAACATGTACGACAATTGTTTCTTAAACTATGTGTGGCAGAGACTATTTTGAACACATTCATTGTTTGGTTGGGGGAATTTTTCATGTTGGGGGTCTCATGTGGGGCTGTGCACAGAACCATCCTTAAAGTATAAGGACGTTGTCCAACACTGAAAAGAAAAGGACTTGTGCATGGTGTGCATGGGTCACGATGCAAACTTATATATATAATCCTATAGAATATATATATAAAATACAAGATATTCTAATTTACATTAAACTACAGTAAGATATGTAGAAGTATGTATGCTCACTCAAAGGATGACGATTTAGTGAGTACAAGCACCTACAAAGCATTCTCACAATACTACGAGAATGATCTACTAGTGGAGATTTTACATTACACGTTTCATCCATGTCCTGGAGAATAAGGAAAACACAACAGGGTGGATACTTGTTATTGTTGTTATTGCACTGTACCTGCAAGTTGACAAGTGCAACCTTTTGTGAATTGAATCCATAATGCAACTCTCCCCCACCCACACACACACACACACACACACACACACACACACACACACACACACACACACACACACACACACACACACACACACACAGACTTCAATATCCATGTTTGTGTCCTTTTTCTTTTGTTTGGAGCGCCTAATCGTCTGTAATGAGCACACTCCACTCCGTCCATTCACAGGCCTTCACAGAGGGGAGAGTCGGAAGCGAGCGGGGAGCGTGGGGGAAAGATTTGTTAGCCTGTGATTGAAGGTCCTTGTATGTATTCATGTGTTCGGCACAGTAACAGTGAGTGCACTTTATAACAGCCCCCCCCCCATCATCTTGTCCACAGGGGTTCAGTCTACAAAGCATGTGCAGGCTTGAATGAAGTAATTGCTTGGTTTCAATTGTATCAATTGTATTTGTATTTTCTCCTTCTGAAGTCGTTTTTGCAAAACATTGTGGATGCAAGTGTTGAAAGGAGTTGATTGCGGAAGATTGACCCTTGACCTCAGTGTAGTTGGCCTCAACAATATGATGTTTGTTGTATAGTGATGTTGTGATCAGTGTCCTGTCATAATATATCCAATAAGCAAAGTGACCGGATTAGTTTAATGTAGTAATTAAACTAATTACATTTTTTTCTTGAAACTAGATCAATGTCTTCAGTGGGCCTACCGTGAGTGACATGCGCTGTATTTACTGTAAATTTGTATTGATCTTATCTTTTACTGGTGTGTTCCACCAATGCAGCTGCATTGAGGGAAACAGTAAAATGCCCTATTATACAATCAATTATCCAATATTTACCCATAACTGAACTTCAGTGACAGTGACAGATGGAGAGAATAGTTATTCAAGACACCAGACTTTACAATCCACTGTGATGTATTTATGAGCACACAAGACACAGGACGTCGAGGTGGGAGACACCACAGTGGGGTGCTGGAAAATGGGTCCAAGAATTTCTTCCAGACAAACAATCTCGACATGAGCTAATTGACAATGGACAGAAATGGGTCCAGTAATAGGTTGAGCTGTCTTGCGTGACATTATTATAAAGGAATATGATAAGAAGGAGAAAAGAGGGGGAAGGCAAAAGTGATCCGAGAAAAAGAAGCTTGCAGGGACGGGGACGTATGTTTAGGTCCTGGTACCAGAGGCGACGCAAACGAAACCTGACCCGGTTCTGTCAGCTGTATTATGTTAGTGTCTATTTTCTGGCAATTCAGTTGTAGGGATTTGTATCGTACATTTGTCATTATATTTTCAAGGTTTCTGTTCTGACATATGGTACATGTCTTTGTACACGCAGTTTAGACTTTAACCACGGGCCAAATCCACTGCTGTTTCAGAGGAGTCAGTGGATGACTTTCCCTTTGGGCCTTCATTAAACCAGACGTGTCCCCTTACATGCATGATTGTATCATGTCATCTACATAGTACGACAGTAGCTTTCAATCGATCAATACTCGAGAGCCAAATGTTTGCCCCTCCAGTGCAAATATGGTGCAAGAGCTTAACAGGACACATGTGTAGTGCAGCAAAACAAACAGATGACAAACAGAGTGCCAACGCAAAAAGTCTCCTCAGCTACACAGAACCTTTAGCATCAAACAGCTCATTGTTGTGGTTGTACCACTTGTGACTTTACTTTTATTTACACTAACAAGTGTCACTTTTAGCTACAGCAGGAACCTGTTTTTAGTCAAATAAAAATAATCATGAAGCTGTTAAAAAGCCCCTCAGATACTGTGTTGCCTGTGAATGGTGTGTGTGTGGGGGGGGGGGGGCGGCGTCATTCTGAAAAGCCTATAGCAGTTTGAAGCATATCGAGTGGCATACTGAGAACGCTGATTAGCGCCGTAAATCCGTAGTACGTTGTGGTGCCATTGTAATGCTAAGGTGCTTATGGGAAGCCAAATCCCAGTGCTAATTGGATCTCATGCAACTTTGTCATTGAGTTCTGTTTTGGGTTGGGAGTACAAAAGGGGGGGGATATTCCATATAGCTGACCTACTATTGCACCATACTGAACATGCAATTAGTATGCCTTGAGTTGTGATGTGAAATGCCTTTTCTCTCTGTCTGTGCCTGAAGGTCTACCTTTAAATATTCTGCCGCGAAAAGTACCACGTGTAGCGCCGTGTAGCAGCAGATGTCTGCTTACATAGTACACAATGTTTAGGTCATGTGACATATCAAAGACTGAGGTTGTACAGTGTGGCAGATCTCATGTTTCAAACCCAGTGTGTGTGTGTGTGTGGGTGTAAATCGGTCCTGTTTGGCGTGTTCTCTGGTCTCATTGAGCTGTTGGATCAGTGTGGTAGACATTAAAGCCACCTTTGCTCCCCGGGAGACTGGATCTAGACACTTGTTTGTTTGCGCTTCAGGGTACACGGTGTGTCTTCTAGGTCACTCTGGTCTGTTATGTTTTAACACTGGATGGATGCTACACAGCGGGCCAGATCTATCCACTTTGATCCACTTTGATCCACTTTAATCCACTTTTTGATCTGCTTAGTCACCATGAGAAATCCAACAGAGTGTGTCTGATGTACATGGTGCGAGTGAGGACACAATAAAGAGCACGGTTACATAAATTCATAATAATAGCAAGTCACATCCGATTTTGAAGCGTCTCACAGAGAGAGAGAGATTTTGAAGAAAACAATTTGAACACAAAGGATTTTATTATTTCAAAGCCACCGTAAATAAGATTTTTTCCTGAAATGAAATGACTACGAGGCAATGGGAGGACATGATTCAACACGTTCACCTTCGTCGGTGCCTCCGGAGAGACCGCAGGAGGCACGTTGTTCATGCAATGACTTCCATATGCAAAGGATGTCATTTACATTCTCGTCTTTCTACTATACAATCCTGTTCTCAGTGGTGCGCTATTTACGTTACAGCTGTCTGACTCTGCGACTAGTCAATAATAAAGCTGCTCAGAAGAAAATTCACCAACGGCGTTTGACAAAATGAGCCAGTGATTTGTCTCCATGCAGAAAAGCGTGAAAATGTTCAATTCAATTTTAATGTCGGTTTTACCACATGGTGTTTTTTCCCTGTATATCAATGATTTACAGCACACATTTCATTGTGAACTTGTGCCTTGTTTCATGTGATAACGGGCACTTGACAGTTTTTAATTTGTTATCAGTGACAGCCACTACCTACAGGGAAGCCACATGTTTCTGACAATGACTTTCTCTCTCCTCTCCGCTTCCTCCCCAGCATGGGTCGGGTCGCTGGCCATGGGCATGATCTTCTTCTGTTCACCTGTGGTCAGCATGTTCACAGACCGCTTCGGCTGTAGGAAGACGGCCGTCAGCGGGGCTCTGGTGGCTTTTATAGGGCTGCTCAGCACGTCCTTTGCAAAGTAAGCTACCCCGCTTTGTGTGTCGGTGACGTACGGAGTGCAAATTGTGGTCGTGGAGCAAAGCTGTTTGTTTTAATAGCAACAATACTCTTCTTTAAAATGTTTTAAATGTGTCATAATGGCCTTGCAGCAAGTTAAAGGAAGCATCCAAGATGCTTTTTCTGATTTAGTATATGGACACTTTATTTCAGAGCCCATGGGCCTTTTCCACTTTTTGGCATAAATTCTACACTCACTCATACAGCCGCACACAGAGAGTTATGTGACGATAGATACAACAACGAAAATAAACCTACTACGAGTTTCACAGAGGCCTTTTTTGGGAAAACCTTGGATGCAGCCGCACCTACAGTTTTGCCTTGTAGCTGATTTAAGTTCCTGCGCTGGTGCTTTCCTCTCGTGCAACCCAAGGCAGACTTTGTTCTTGAATGTAATTTTTCAAATTCTTCAAGTCTTTTGTCTGATGGTATTTTTCTGCGGCTGTAGTGGCTGCCAGGTAATCCTGATGCACAAACATCGCATCAAACGTCTGTAGTGTTGCGAGACCTGGCGAATTACATTTTTTAAATAGTGCGTGGTGCGTCTCTGCCTGCTGTCGTTGAGCTCCACAAACAAGACTTGCGACTCTGATCTTTTATTGCGAATTAAAGTCACCAACGTTGTCATCAATCAAATAAGATTTGATTAGATATTTATTTGTTCAGCCCGGTGTCACAAATTGGCCACAAGGGGCTTTGCAATCTGCATAACGTACATCGGCTCCTTTGTCCTTTGACCCTCCCCGTTTGTCTTCCATTGCAGCTCCCTGAGCCTTCGCTATTTCACTTACGGCATCCTGTTTGGCTGCGGCTCCTCCTTCGCCTTCCAGCCCTCATTGGTCATCCTGGGCCACTACTTCCGCCGCCGCCTCGGCCTGGCCAACGGCGTGGTGACGGCCGGTGCCAGCCTCTTCTCCATGGGCCTTCCGGTTCTCCTCAACATGGTGGTGGAACCTCTGGGCCTCAGCAGGACCTTCCAAATTCTCAGCCTCTTCATGTTGGTCCAGGCCTTTCTGGCGCTGATGTTCAAACCTTTACTGCCTGCTGGAGGAGGCATGGGACCCCCGGGCATGGGTCCCCGCCCCGCCAAAGCCCAAACCCAGCCAGGAGCCGCCGCTCTGGAGGGGAACAGGTGGAGCAGGGTTCTGGGTGGCGTCAGGAAGTACTTCAACCTGCGTGTGTTCCACATCTTGACATACCGGTTGTGGGCGTTCGGAGTAGCAACAGCTGTTCTGGGGTACTTTGTGCCGTATGTCCATCTGGTGAGAACAATAATGGGGAATGCTTGTAATTCAATTATGAGTCTTTACGCCGTTTCTCCCTTCCTGCTGGGGCTCAGCCTCCCAGCTGCTATCACTCTCTCTCTCACACACACACACACACACACACACACACAAACACAGACACATGCACACAGACACATACACACAGCCCTTTCCAGTGGCCAAAGGTAAAAGAGCATTTCTGATATTTTTCCCTTTTCAGTAATAAATATTTTAAAATCTGCACGTGAACTGCGGCTGACTTCGGTGTGAAATAGTGGGATAGTGAAGGAAGAGGACGAAGTGTAAAGCCGCAACGTTTAGCTGCGAGGTCGATCTCCCGCTATCGGATGTTCGCTCCGACCTCCCTCTGTCAGGTCTGTTGTTTCAGGCCGGGCCCAGATGTAAACACAGCCCCGGTCTTTGTATTGGCTCGACCACCTCAGGAAACCTCTCCTGTATGACCTCTCTCATATCCCTAAACATGCCTCATCCTATGGCCGTTGATGAACTTAGAGCCCTCAAAGCAGAGCAAATATTTCACAAGTTCATGAAAGACTTCAGAGGGCGGTCTAATGTTTTGGAGCTTATTCAAGGGGTCAGCGCTGAGAGAGTGGGAGGGTCTGACCTGTGTGGGTGGTGTAATAAATAATGTGATATTAGTAGTTTCCGACGGCCTTCTCGTGCAGCACAAATACGCATTTAACCACCGAGCGTCTGTCTGTTTTTTCTCTCCGTGTCTTAGATGAATTTTGTGAAGGAGCAGTTCCAGGGGACCCAGAAGGAATGGGTGCTACTGGTATGCATAGGAGCCTCATCCGGGGTGGGACGCCTCGCTTTTGGGAAAATCGGAGACCTCATTCCTGGTCTGCAAAAGATCTACATGCAGGTGAGGAATTATTTGGGGGCCATAACATGTGTCAACTTCTACAAAAGTGTAGATTTTGAAAATTATTCAACCGATAAATGCAGCTATTATCCCCCAAATTAGCCTAGAACAATGAGAACATTACCAAGTCTGCAACAGCTTGTCCCTTCAGGCCTCCCTCTATACCACTGCCCCCAAATCACAATTCTGAACGTAAACAGATAATAAAGGTGAACAAGGAATCGCTATTTGCTATTGTGCAATGAGCGCACACACTATCACACTGAGACAAGGTTTATTTAATGGTATTGTATTAACAACGGAAGATAAACATGACTCTGCCCCCCAACCCAGTAGACCCCTAACTCTCAGAACGACTCTTATTTCTTTCTGTTCTGTTTGTCTGTTCAATAGCTGATAAAATATGTTTGGTCTCTCAGATCCGTCTGTGTAGCTGCGCAGCAAATCATGGCATCTTTACCACATTGTTTTCCAGCGTAAACAGGTTATTAATAGGTCGTACTAGTAGCAGGAGGGTGTACTCGTCGTTCCAGATGCAAAATGTTCACAATGGAGTCACAAGGCTCGGGGCACTGTTCGGAATGTACAAGCACAACAAAGAAAAAACATGAGTCATTTTTACAGTATGACTCTACTCCCTCACCGCCATACCAGCAAGCCACCATTCCATTTAGAGAGAGACGTAGAGGGAATTAAAGCTGGTTGCCGTGTCTGTTTCAGGTGGTGTCCTTCATGGCTCTGGGCCTGATGTCCATAATGATCCCTCAGTGCTCGGCGTTCGAGGGGCTGGTGGTCGTGTGCGTGGTCTTGGGGCTGTGTGACGGCTGCTTCCTCACCATGATGGCGCCCATAGCCTTCGAGCTGGTCGGGCCCATGCAGGCCTCGCAGGCTATAGGCTACCTGCTTGGCCTTATGTCTCTTCCCATGACTGCGGGTCCACCCATTGCTGGTGAGAGGCAAAACATGGCACTTGATTCATGCAGCTCAATCCCACAATAGTGGGCGAGGATCTGACTTCTCGCTCTGTCTTCAGGCAGTAGGAGAGCACAGCGAGCTTATTCATGTCAACAGAGGACAGCTGGATGTGGGGGGTAAAGGGAGAGTGGGACAAATGAAAGGCAGGACAGACCTGACATTGATTTGTTGGAAATGTAAGGTTTTGGTTTGTCTCTATGGGTTTGTCTTCAAGGGGAAAGAATCCCATACAAAGGCAGATATCTGTACTAAGCTCCCCGTATGTCTCCTCCTCCCTCTCCCCACTTCTCTCTAATAACCCCGGTGCACTGAAGGGCCCCGGGTGCAGACCCTTGAAGTGTTGACTGAGTCATCCCTGTGCTCTCTCGTGCCAACCTTTCAGTCCCCACCCGTCGCCGGGAGGCTTTTCCTGCAAAACACTGCATTTTTTTTCTCCAGATTAAATGTTTAGACTTAAAAGAACAAACCACCGTTTGCCTTAGCCAGTGTAGAACGTGGAAATACCGTCCGTAGAGAGGGGGAAGTCTTGTCGCTACTTTTGTGATCTTATCTTGTGTCGCCACTTAATCTCAGCTAATTAGACTGGCTATTGCATCAATAAGCCCCAATCGAAGGCACTATACACAGATGATGTCATGGTTTATTGACACGATGGTGTAAACCACAAGAGGCCAGCAGAAACACGATTTCCATCACGATGATGACCACATGTCTCCCTGCCTCCGCCGCCCAGGTCTCTTGCACGATTACTTTGGGAACTACACGGTTGCCTTCTCTCTGGCCGGGGTGCCTCCCTTAGTGGGAGGCGTGGTGCTGTTCTTCGTGCCCCTGATACACCGCAGGCTGCAGGCAGCGCCATCCTCGGAAGAGACGTCCACCACCGCCCACATGCTGCCCACCTCAACACCTGCGGGGGAGCCCAAGACCTGCTGCAACGGAAACATCCTGCCCGGCTACACCGACGTGGAGACCCACATCTGAGTCGCACCGTGCAAAGGTTACTTCATACACACGGCAGCAAGCAGGGACGCATGATATGTGTGCACAGCGCCTTTGACTTATATGTTACTCTGCTTTCGCTTTCGCTTCGCAGGGATTCAGCCCACCAGCACCTTTTCTCATCCCTTGGAATTCCCCGCCTTTCCACCATGGACTTCCTGCCGCCTGACATTTTAACCCTCTGGACTCTCACGGGCTGTTTGTTATTTTCACGTGGAGAGAAATCAAAAAAGGGCGCTGCGGCCACAAGCTCCTGAGAGGACAAAAGAAGGCACAGCGTAGGACGATGGTAATGAAAGGAGGAGGAAAAGCACAACACAATTAAGGATCAATTAGGATTGTTCAACCTGTGGGGACTCTGTAGTAACACACACCTCCAAGAGGAAAAAAATTAAGCGATTTGAGACAGTGTTTATTTTGCTGTTTTATCTTTTTGAAGCTCTAAAATCACTATGCTTTGTTTCCAAATTCCATATAAACACACTGTAACCATAACAAAAACGAGTGAGGGTAGAAATTCACACTTTCCTTGTAGAGTTCTTCGTGCATCTGCTTTTTTCTTTCAACACAATACATTTTAATGCAGTTTGATTAGCTAAACCACAATCCCCTCGTTAGGGATTTGCTTTATCGTATTCTGCCGTGACAGCAACAAGAAAAAAAACATCCGTCTGTTGCTGTCAATGTCCTAGGATGAAACGGACAATCATTCTGAGGGATCAGCCCCCAGTCACAACCGCACACTGTAATCACACCCAGGGTCCAACATACTGCAGCAACTTCTCTACCAGCACGGGACGCAGATGTGTGATGCTGGATCGGTCCCGCTGATCCACGTGCCACAAACCCTGGTTGGAGTTTTTTTCACAGTTCTGACTTAGTCAAAGTCAGTGACTTTGTGGCAGGTTTTTTTATGCAATCAGAAGGGGACGAGTCGTGAGGTCTGTGCATCTGCTCCCGGAATCCGTGGAACGCTGCAGTTGATGCGAGGTCGTTACAGCCTTAACACTCAACGTTTGTTCTTTGTTTTTTTGTTTTTTTACAATCATCGCACTCTACAGTTATTATTGGCCTTTAAAAGTTGAATCAGGGGCGCTAGACAAATCTGCATAAACTGTGTTTTGTATGTCTTTGAAAAAGTATTCACAGTAGTTTTTTGTAGCGTGGACACTGTGGTAGATGGAGGTTAGAGGGTATATTTTTAATCTTAATCTGTGGGCAGATCTGCACCTAAAAGCAGTTCCTACGTTACAACCTGAGGGGGGCTACTGGGATAAAGCTGCCAAACAGCCTGAGCCCTCGTCAGGCCTTTCTACAGATAATCTCATTCGTTTGCTGCTTGTTTAGCTTCGTGTCCCGAGGGCGTCACAGAAAATGGTCACAGTTCCGGCAGTTCGCTTCTTAATTAAGTTTTTTAAACGTTTGGACGACTTACCTCGGCACTTTTAGATAGCAAGTTCTTTTGAACGATCATTTTTAACAAACATGTGACGCAATCACAATGTTGATAGATTCATAACTGAGTGACAGAGAGGGAAATTGGTGAGGAAGGAAATGCCCCGGTGTTATGCGGGTAGGCTTATCCTCTCTGCCAACTCCCCTCTCCGTGGTCACTGCCGCTTCTCAGCGGGCTCCTGTGTTGCAACACATTAGAGCCTAAAAGCAGCACAAACCTCGTTGCCGCGTGTACTTTTTGGGGGGTAATGCTGTTGGTAAAACTGTTCTGAATAGGACACATACATCGATACCTCAGTTATCAAACAATCCTCAGCAATCCGAGGAACGAGTTCTTTATTACTTTATTATTTCAGTCTTCGGTGTCGTGGTTTTTGTTGTTGTAATTTGAATCAGGTTTCAGAGCCACAAAGCTGCAAAAACGCCTGTTTTCAATAAAAGCGCGTCTGTGTAGGAACCACAGAGGTGTGAAAATGTCAAACTTCCATCCCCTTTAATCTAAAACAGCTGGTGCGAAAACCCATGTGGAGATTGTTCTTTACAATTTAAATCTGCCTTTGCGTCCTCTTCATCGTTCCCTCACCATTCCTGCTCTCCCTCACTTCTACCTCCACATTATTAGCTTGTCTTTATAACGCGTCTTTTCTCTGTCAGTGCAGCTATATAAATGTCTAATGTCCTTAACGTAAGTCAAAGAGACACTAAACCGTGAGCAGTGGAGAACCATGTAATGGTTGAAGCATGTTTGGAAGTAAAAGCACTTGGGCCTCTAGTTTGACTGAGGTGGTTTTACATTTTATTGGCAGACCTAAAGAAATGGTAGTGGTTGTTTTTAAAAGTCTCACTGCTTGAGTTGTCTACTCACCAGAGAGGTAAGCTAACTAGTATTATACGTCCTTTGAGGTTTTAGGTTCATCGGCCTTTCTTGGCGATCAAATGACATAAATGTTAAACATGAAGCTCCTGATAACAGTGTTCAATTGAAACGTAAAAATAAAGACACCTCCTACTTTTACTGGCAAATTATAGTGTTTTATTTAACATAATCACTATGCTGCTGCCTAATCAATTGTGATTCACTGATATTTATTTACTTTTACTTATTACATTTTTTTGTTATAGAGGTCGCAAAGGTCACAATTTCTCTTTATGAAATTGCAGAATTCCATGACACATCCATAAATAACTAAAAACCCAATTCGGTCCAATTGAAAAGCATTCTCCAACGATGTAAACGTTTTTACAGAAATAAGTTGGAGGCAAGAATTCGATGAACCACTTCATATTGAAATTCTGTTACTTCTCACTGAGCTGAATGAGCTTTAATTTACTGCTGTCACACTAAAGGCCTGTTTCACTAAAGTCTCTGCAGGCCGTAGTTAAGGACTTCAGCCTCTCTGTTAACTACCTGCAAGAAGCTGATTGTGTTTCTCTACACAATATATCTTAACAACCTTAAATATAATAGTTTTTTGTGTTTTTGACTGTGAATTATAATGTTTTACCCCAATTCCTTTGTGCCAAATGTCATCACCTGGTTAGCAAGCAGGTTAACATGATTCTTTTTTTAACCAAGCAACGACTAGAAGCAGGACATTTGATCAGGGTTTCTAGATTTAAGATTATGAAGTGAGCTTTTCTTGTTTTAAATGAGTCATTGCTTATTTTCCATCCTTTTGTTAGTGGCCTCCTTTCTTAATTTGACCCGAGTCAGCAGACTCACCCATTTTCTGTTTCTTTTTATGCACACTGTTAGAGAAAACTGATGTATATACCAACATATGTACTTTATACTGTACACTTTGTAATGGTTTTGATTAACCATGAACCTTTTTGTTTTTATTTGGTTAGTGGCTACTGGAAACCGTTGTTTGTTCTGTTCACATTTGAGATTATATGAAAAAAAAGTGACGTGGGTTAATGAATGAAGAACGACACGGTGCGTCTATGGAACCAGTGTTTCTAAAGTGTGTTTGTCGGTGCGGCGTTGCTGGGCTCAAGTCAATCTCCTGTGACCGCTTCGCTTTCTGTCGTCACGTCGAACTCCAAACTATGAATTTTTATTTCCTTCAGTCCTTCGGTAGCTTTGGGACCAGCTAAACCTGCAGTAGAGCCCTTTACCTAAACTAAAAACTGACACTTAATGCTTTTAAGTCTTTGTTGGACTTTGGCCTTTTCTCTCTTTTCTTCTGCTGCTTGCTTGTGGTATGCAGGTCAGCTGCAGGGAGGCGCACACTCTTTGCTCTCTGGGTTGTTGCATTCTTCCAAAGTATGTGGACAAAAAACAGGTCAAATGAACAAGAATCCAAATGTTTACTCACTCATTCCGTTTGTGAAGTTATTCTAAGGCTTTACTTCTTTTTGCCTGCTGTCAGTAAAGTCTCACCTTTTTTTAGACTCTCTTATACTGCTACTTACAACCTCCAGTCAACACTTTTATTCTGTGTGAGGAAAAGGTTTTACTGCTTTCGATCACACCTGAATAACATCTTTACGCATTGGTTCTAGAAAGCCTGTTAGCTATAAATACCTCTAACCATTTCTGGTGAAGTATATTTCTGCATGGTGTCATGGCAACACTTGACCCATGCCTTCGCACAGCTTTACATGATCAAATATTAGTAATATTTCAGTGCTAGGCTTTGCTAAACATCTAAGGTCGCTAACCTCCATTACCTCTCTTTACTTCTTAAAGCCCTCGCTGTCCTCACTTACCTTTTCATATAAATACAAATGTCTGTTTTTTTTTATAAAGTAATTCTGAATCAGTGTCAAATGAGGCCCATTTTTGTATTAAACCAACAATAAAGATGGAATATGAAAGCAACTCCCGCTGTCATTGCCAGTGACTCTTTTGTTGACGGTGTGCTTTCAGTCCTCAACTGGTCCACTTCCCCCCTGCAGGTAATTAATTATGTTGGAGATGAACCTCAGACTGCTCTGAATGCATGAAGACACAGTAAACACTGCTACTGTCCAGGGACACGCTGAATGAGTCTTCAATCCTGTGCTCCCTGTCACCATGGCAACGTGGCTGAGTTTAATCAAGGCAATAAATCCTCCCTTGACTCCCCATTCCCGAAAAAACCTCAGTATCTCACGGCTAAAAAGGCAATCACGCGGAGACATACCATACTTTGTGACTGCTTTTCGAAGCAGCAGAGCTCTGAGTGTACAGACAGAGATCTATTTATTGATGTTGTCACAGGGCAGGAATCAGTCTCTTGTTGATCGTGAGGCGATCACACTTCTATTACATAAATAGAAGAAGAAAAAGCTTGAGAACAGAATCATATTATTAAACAAAATGAGATCTTCAGTTTGTTCTTAAAGCCAGCAAGGAGTGAGAGAAAAGACAGATGGGGATCCATTCTGGATGCTCCCGCTTGCACTAATACAAAGTGAACTTAAGCGTTCAGCTCATCCGGAAAAAGCGCCTTCAAATAAGACTTTTCCCTGGTGCAGGTGACCTAATGGAAAGGTGTTCTATCACATTTATTCAAATTACGTTTCACAATGCTTCAAATCCCCTTTAACCAGAAAAAAACAAGGCTGGAGTCAAAAGGCTTGAAGACTTTCTAGGTAAATCTCCTTAAAAGAAAAAAGTCAAAGAAGGAGAGGAAGTGTGAGTCCCCACCTCTCTTAGGTCATGAAGAAAGGGCGTTGTCACAATGTGATTGGCCGAGAGAGGAAATGCACCAAGCTGCTCTGAATGCTTAACCAGGAGTCAGTCCCACACACCGTGCTAAAACATCTGCATAACACTTAAATGAACTCAGATCTACTCAGGAAAGTCTTCTTGAATGAATTGGGGAAAGAAAAATGAGAGCAAGTGTGAAGACGGCCGACAAAGATGGATTTAACTTAGTTTTAGACTAAAATAAATAATTTTTTACACTTTTCTACAAATTCTGCTGCTGCCGGAGTAACTCACTGTTGAGGTCGCATCCCAGCAGCTCCAGACGGAGAGCCGGCCTTTGCACAAAGTCTCGGGGGAGAATCCTGATGTAGCGAGCCACAAATGGTAGAGAGAAGAGGTTGTTTTTCACCTTGGAGCTGTCCATGTAGCCATAAAAGACCTAAAACCAGAGCCACACACACATTTCAGGTCCGACTTGTTCGAGATAGGCAGCATGTTGCATTGAACTGTTTGTTGCCTATGCTGTAACTATTTGCCAGTGAGACAGCACAACGTCACGGTCCTGCAGCTGCAGTTAGAGACCACTAGAACCTCTGGGTACATGTAATACTAGTAACAGAAGAGGACAAACTCCTTTCTGCTTGGTTCTGTTTCCTCTGTAAGTGGTCCAGGTGTCTTGGTCCAGGCTGTAGGAGATGTGGAAGAACGTGATGTAGTTGTCCCTCAGCTTGGACCTGACGCCCTGCGTCTGCAAACCGTGCAACAGGGTGGGCCGGAGGAGGTCGACCTAATCAACACACAAGTTAAGATATTATAAAAACTCTATTACTAAATTCAGATCTTGTATTAGCACACTGATATAGCCTTAGCTGGGCAATAGTTCACAGGAGAAAGGCTGCATATCTTACTTGTAGCCACGACATGTTGTTTGTGCCGATCCAGGCATTGATGTAACCCGACTGCTCCAGCCTCGCCAGCCTCGGCTCCCAGTAATCTGGAAACACATGTGGAAACACGGTTGTGATCCAACTCAGTGTGGGTCATTTCCTGGCTTTCACATTTAATAAAGCTGCATGGTGGCCACAAGGCCGGGGGGGGGGGGGGGTTATTCTTAAGCACAAATATTGTTTTAGACTAAAATAAAGAATTTTGCTGGGTAGAAATTGTGCAGATGTTGACTGCATATTTGCACATCTGCATACTGACCAGTAGGTCACTATACAGTGCAGAACCATATCTTTTCCAGTAGGGGTCTCCCCTCTCTCTCTCTCTCTCTCTCTTTTATTTCTTTCAGTAAGCTTTTTCACTAAATAATCATTACTTTTAATATTACATAACACTAAAGAAAAGAAAACGTTTTATTTATTCCTGGGTTCCAAACACCTGGCCTACCCTACATATTTCTTACAGTTTTACATATGCAGCACGAAAGAAAACATATAAAAATAGCAGATTATAATAAGATCATTTTCGGTGTTAATTGGCAGTTACACACACACACGTACACATTCTAAACCATTAATGTACTAACATCGAACAATTGTGTGCACACACATGTTATACGTTTAACTAAGAAAAATAAGAAGACGGAAGAGATGTGGTTCACTTTATCTTACAGACGAGTGGCCTGTTGCTCTTTGGAGGCCCGAGGAATAAAGCGGAAGTGATGTAAGCGGGAAACAGTGGCAAGTCTTTCTGTTGTGTCACGTCGTTCTCTTTTCTACGCCCCTCACGACACTTCCTCACCGATCAGTAGGTGCTTCACACTGCTGCTCGATATCTTACGCTAAATCTTTGTTTTGGAAGGTCCAAATCTGATGAATGACTCTTTAGCACCGGAGAGTTGAAAGACTTTAAAAGTTTGGATGAGTTTGAAATACGTAAAGATGCTTCTTTGAAACAAGCTCATGAACATATGTACGTATTACGTAAGCGTTTCTATTTCAGGAATCTGTACAAACCGTTTCACAACTTTGTCTTCGTTGGTGTAGGCGAGATGGGGCTTCTGGTCTGTCACAAACTGAAAGCAAAACTAGGAAGCATTTGAGGGTTGTCGGTTATTACGGCACATTTCAGAGATTCAGCCCTTAACCTGTAAAAATGTACTTGACACGGAATGAGGCAATTTGGCATCACGAAGGTTGCTGTTCCACGTCCAACTCTCAAGTCTTAGATGTAGTTTCCCACAAACACACGGACACCATTGTGCATCTTTCTGAAAAGATTTGTTTGATTTGGCTGAATCAAAACGCTAACACCACCCCACGGTGTCACTGCTCCGTGCTCCTGAAATGTTTTATTTCATTCTTAGTGGTGAGATTTTGAGAGCGTGTCATTGTTTTCAGGCAGATGCCTGACGTCTGTCCCGTCCCCAGAAGATCACGCACCCACTGCCTGCACACTTCCTGTGCTGATATTGAGGTGATTAAGGCAGCTTGTGTTTTCATGTTTCACACACACACACAAAAAAAAACTTCAAGCACAACATACCTCGTTGTTGTTTGTCGTTTCCGCTCATCTCATCACTTCCTTAACTATCCTTAACTGTTGATGTGCTTTTCCCCTTTGCTCCATATGACCATGGATTTCAACTAGTGCTGGAACAATGTTGGAGCTCAGCGTTTCATTGTTCCTGCAGGGAGAGCCTGGTGGAGGTGGATAAGCCGAAATAACAGTGCTGGAACATTTTGGACAAGCCAAAGACAGACGGGACAAAGAGAGAACAGAGATAATGTTCTGGAAAGAGGGGGAGGGAAGAAAGGGCTACATCCTCTTCTGACATGCACATGGAGAACAGGACAGGAAGCGGTGCATCGGGAGGCGGGTCTCATTGCTTGGAAATGACCCCGTTTGAAGCTGCTCAAACGTCCAAACACACATCTGAAGAATTCTGCCCGGATTACAAACGCATGTGAACACGAGACGGAGTCACACAGAGGCAATGAATAAATGCCAGGGAAACTTTTTTGCAATTCATTGTTTATACAAATTCTAATAAAAGCAGAAAAATACATATATGACAATATACCTCAACCAACTTTATACATCCAAAATTTATACACGCTTACATTCAAGGTTTTCTCTGAAGTAAAAGTAAAGCAAACAGCCTTCTGTGTTGCTTCGGCTGTGTTTTAAAGACTCCGGCTGTGTTCTAAACGCACATCTTTAAAATAGGTTTTTACCAACGTTAGATGTTCTTCTCTAAATGACGTTAAGCAAGATCTTTTCAAAATAAAAATGACAAAATGCAAAAAAAGTTGTGGCCACGGAAACAAATAGCTCCCTAGTGCTTGACTTGACTAAAATGACGCTGCGTGGTGTTGCCGGTTCGTCAGGGTCAGGGCTCCTGCTGTGTGTCACAGCCCAGGACCTCCAGGCGGAGGGCGATGTCGTTGATCCAGCCCCGCGGATGAACGCGCAGGTAACGGCCGAACAGAGGAGGGTCAAAGACGGTGAGAGCTTCATCGTCCGTATCGCTGTTTCCTGTGAAGATCTGAGGGGGAAAAAAAAGAAACAGGAATGAATCAATGAACGAAAGACTGTGTGTCACTGACGCAATTATATATGCTTCTTTTTTTGTGTGACTCATCCACCCGTGTGTCAGCGAAGGAAGCTTTGCGACAGATCAGGGTTTTTGAATCAATGATAAACGTGAGGAATTTGTGAAATGAGGAAGGGCCTGGATCCTTTTAGCAGCATCACTGAGACGGCTCTTCTCCTATTGGTAAACTGTGACATGTACCTTTTCCCTCTGGGAGCCGTCCTCCAGCACACTGCGCCACGAGTGACCATCATGACTGACGGTGACTGAGAACTCGGTCACCATCATAGGGTAGAACAGTGATCGCGCTCCTTGGGTCACGACCCCTGTGATGCGTTTCACTGTCCCCAAATCAACCTGCAGCCATTCGTGAGGGTTGTTGTTCTACGGAAGAAAAGGCCAGAGGAAAGATGTTCAGATCTCGAACTAATAAGTATTCAAACTGGTATACTGGGGCCTGTATTTATCCCCCCCGCACCCCCTGATTTGATAGGAAGTATATTCACTGTCTCCAAATGAGAACTACAAGAAGATCAAGTTGAGCAAAAATACAAAAGCCAGAAGTATAATGCATTAAACTAAACAAATGGATACTAGTTTCTGAGCAAGGTAGAAGTAAGCCGATGGAAATGAAAACAAAAAACAGATGTAGGGATGGCCAAAGGGAACACCACACCACTTCCTCTACGATTAGAAAACAAATAAACTAGGAAATTGTTTCTGGCAGTCTATCTTTTTTTCCACTGACATGACGTCGATGCACACTGCAGAACCAAATAACATCACCAACACAATGCAGGGATTCATTTCCATGTTAACTCATTGAACCAATATTCATTTTAAATCACAGCTTTCGCATATTTGCACAAGAAAAGTACATCAACATCAGCTGGGGCAGAGGAGGAACTAATAATATAGTTATTAGTAAATAGTAAATAATAAGAAAGACGGGGGAGAGTGTTCCTGTCACATCGTGAGAGAGCTAACATAGTTGCTATGTGTGGCTGCAGGTAAAAGAAGGACACACTTTGGACGCTCTCTGGCATCAACACAGAAAGTTCCACGCTTCGCTTAGCTTAGCTCATTATGAAGACATGACTGAGCTAAGCTAAACGGGTCCTGTGGTTGCAGCTTCTTGTTCAGCAGAAGGAAAGAGTGGTGTCATTTGTGTCTCCGCGTTGACCTTTGGTCTCCAGGCGTTGGTCCTGCCTCCAAGGTGGAGGCGTGCGAGACTCGGGCTCCAGCTACTCAGTAAAGAGGAATGAAAGGAAGACGCACTGAGGCCGTCGTCAGGAATTATCTTCTTCTGCAGCCCGAGAGGAAGAGAGCAGCCTGTTCGCACGCACGCACGCGCGCACGCACACGCACACACACGCACACGCACACGCACACACACACACACACACACACACACACACACACACACACACACACACACACACACACATATGAGAGCCATTTTCTACACTTTTCTACAAATTCTGCTGCTGCCGGAGTAACTCACTGTTGAGGTCGCATCCCAGCAGCTCCAGACGGAGAGCCGGCCTTTGCACAAAGTCTCGGGGGAGAATCCTGATGTAGCGAGCCACAAATGGTGGAGAGAAGAGGTTGTTTTTCACCTTGGAGCTGTCCATGTAGCCATAAAAGACCTAAAACCAGAGCCACACACACATTTCAGGTCAGACTTGTTCGAGATAGGCAGCATGTTGCATTGAACTGTTTGTTGCCTATGCTGTAACTATTTGCCAGTGAGACAGCACAACGTCACGGTCCTGCAGCTGCAGTTAGAGACCACTAGAACCTCTGGGTACATGTAATACTAGTAACAGAAGAGGACAAACTCCTTTCTGCTTGGTTCTGTTTCCTCTGTAAGTGGTCCAGGTGTCTTGGTCCAGGCTGTAGGAGATGTGGAAGGACGTGATGTAGTTGTCCCTCAGCTTGGACCTGACGCCCTGCGTCTGCAAACCGTGCAACAGGGTGGGCCGGAGGAGGTCGACCTAATCAACACACAAGTTAAGATATTATAAAAACTCTATTACTAAATTCAGATCTTGTATTAGCACACTGATATAGCCTTAGCTGGGCAATAGTTCACAGGAGAAAGGCTGCATATCTTACTTGTAGCCACGACATGTTGTTTGTGCCGATCCAGGCATTGATGTAACCCGACTGCTCCAGCCTCGCCAGCCTCGGCTCCCAGTAATCTGGAAACACATGTGGAAACACGGTTGTGATCCAACTCAGTGTGGGTCATTTCCTGGCTTTCACATTTAATAAAGCTGCATGGTGGCCACAAGGCCGGGGGGGGGGTTATTCTTAAGCACAAATATTGAGGGTCTTTTTGGTCTGTTTACCTTTTTAAATGAAAAGCTTTCTTACCAGTGTGATCTGACGCAGTGATCTGGGAATCTTCAATCCTTCCTGATTTCATCCCCAGGGGAACGACACAGTCTGCATATGAAAATTCCTGCTCATTATTCCAAAATTCCTCTCCGTGGTCATGTGGACAGTACATATCTATATATCTTTTTGACATATCTGAAACGTTTGTATTCAAGATATTACATTTTTCAATACGGGAAGTCTATCAATTAAAAGCCCCATAAATCACACAAAATAGTTTACAGTGTGGAAAATGAGGGAATGCCACTGATTATTCATACAACGTGATGAAGTGCGCTGAAAAGATGATTAGCTTTAAATACAAAAAACATCCTGGTGTTTCTAATGTAAGTCTAACTGAACCCTGTTGGATAGGTGGAAAACGGAGCAATGCATTCCATTGATTAGCAATGACTGAACAAAGGCTAGAATGAATCCACTATTACTGCTTAGTTCATTCATAAAATAAATATCAACACCATAAGGACATGTTTCACATATACTGTATGTGTACCTACGTGGGTTATAGACCAGTAGTTTAGCCCTCATGCCGGCCAGCTGGTAGTCTCCTATCGTGCACTCCACCAGCCACGTGCCGACGGTGGGTGGTTTCATCTCCACCGTGCCAAACACTCCTGAGTGACCCGGGGCAATGCAACACATGCAAAAATAGTCATTTAATAGTTCTCAAAGTGCATGTGATATAATTATGTAAGACAGAGACAATGAAAAGATAGGAACCGTGCTGTATTTACTGTATGGTTAATATTGTGTTGTACTTTTCTGTGTTGGCTCCTCGTTAGTGAAACTTTCACGCATGAGCTCGCACGATCAAGGTGTGTTCATGTGTGTGTTTGTTTACCAGGGAAGAGGTTGTAGATGCCCATGCGGTGTTCCTTTTCAGTGTGAACAGTGAAAGGTAACCCATGGAAGTGCACAGCGTGGTACTCTCCATCACTTCCAACGTTCAGCAGATGCCACCTGACGAGCTGGTGTTGGGCCACCAACAGACCAGGAACTGTCTCTGCCACATAACCATTGATTGCTACGGGGAAAACGCAGGCGTTGCATGTGAGATTTTTATTTTTGAGATGAGAGTTAGCTCATTACAACATGACACCAACAATCGACCATTGTTCTCCACCTGCAAATGTATTGCTGACGTGGTACCAGGGGTCCTCAGTGTTGGCCACACACGGTGGAGTACAGTGCAGCCGCAGGTTCTCTTCAAGGTACCAGCTTTTAGTTTCATCAAAGCTGTGGAAGAGGAGGGCAAACTCCTCGACGTTTGGCTGCGTGTTCTGACGAGTACGGAGGGTACCGGGCTTACAGATCACTAGTGGACCAATCAGACCCGAATTAAGGTCCTTCTCCTGCAGCATAGAATAGAAATACGTATTTTCTTCTTATTTTAGAGGGATTCTTTTTTGTGATTGCCATTTGATTTTCTTCCAAGGAAATACATTTTTATTAAGAATGTATTCAAATAAATACAGAAAAAGAGTAAATGCTTGCATGTCCATAAGGCGAAAACCCATCCAGACCTTATCAACAGTGGAGTAGTAAGCCCCGGTCTTGCAGTCAAATTCACTGTCGCTTGGTCCTTGTTTCTTGGTTACTCTCCAGTTATACGTCCGAGCCTCCCCAGGGGCCACCGGCTCTCCTGGGACCCCGGGTGGAGCAGAGGGGCCATGGGTTTGATCGCTGCCGGCCCCTTGGCTGAGGTCATAGACCCCCTGAAGGTGAAAGGAGTAAGGCCTGGATGCCTTGTTCTTGAAGACCACCTTGAATAAGACACAGGGTAGAGATACGTCACCAAGCAACAAAAGAAAGTGAGGGTACAAAATGATTCAATGTCCTTTTATTTTGCTGCGTGACAATAATACTCACAGTGAGGAAGTCATTTATCTCAGCTCTAATGAAAGGTCCCATGATTCCCAGGTGTTCCTGGGGCTCTCCTCTGTCTAGAGGAAGTAAGAAGTCTTTATCGCTGTAGGCTCGAAAAACCACCTTCTTGTACCGTGGCAAGAACTTCCTCATCCCTCGACGCATCTCTCTAAAAAGAACAGTTGAATTAATACTGCTGCCGTATACATTGGAATTAGACAAGTTATTTGTCTATTATTTGTCTAGTATTATGCTATTTCAAACAAAGTATGGACAGCTGAAGAAAAGAAATATTTTGAAAAAGCTCATCTCTGTGCATTAGATTACAATCATTTTAGCATAAAGCCACACAATGGGCAGTTTTACATTTCCGTTTAAGCTCCATAAGCTTTGGAGCTGGTGGTGGGTTGAATTTTCCACAAAACAACCCCATCGAGGTCTTACACGGACACCTGGTTCGTAAATATAGTTCGTACTTGGGTCTGATGAGCTGTTGAGGCTTCCTGATGCCGTAGTCCCAGCTGATCTCCTCAGCAGCAATATAGTGCTGAAGATATCTGGTCGTCCCGGAGCGCAGGTCCAAGTAATCTGTAGCGACTTCATCTGTTGCAGCGTTCACCTATGATCAAATTTAGCATTTGCTGCAGTTGGGACGGATGGGTGTGGACTTGGGACAACAGATGTGTATATATATAATGTACAAAGTTGTACCTCGTGGTTGTAGTCATCATACTCGAGGGACATATCGATCCCCGTTGTGATGTTGTTGTCAACAGTGCGGATGTATTCTGGGTGAGGCAGATCTGTCAATTGTTCAGGCTCAGACCAGATGGGGCTTTGTGGGACTAAGTTTTGATCCATCTCTTCTGAATTGGTTAGCCTCACAGGTGAGTCCCTGTCTTTCAGTTGTGCATCGCTTTCTTGTAAGATCTCGTTGCCGTCTTTCGGCTCTCCATTAGTTTCATTGTTCACTGTTGGCGCTTTGTTCGTTTTTTCGGCTTTTGCCTTTCCAGCTGCCTCAGTCCTATTCACAGCGTCTTCTCCAATCTCTACCGCCGGTCCTCTGTATCCTGAAGCTCCAGAACTGAGATCTACATCCGTCCAGTTGCCTTCTGCTTGTCTCCTCCGCCTGCCACCTCCCTCTCTTCCAGGTTCATTTCCATTCTGGGAATCTGTCAGCTCCCCATCCCTCTCTATTTCCTGCAAGATATCCTGTGGGATTCCTCCCTGTACTTCATCCCCACTCCCCTCAGTTTGATCGCAAGTGCCGTTTTGGTTGGTAGTGTTTAAGGGTTGAGTGCTGTTATTAGCGAGGGAATTCTTACACACTGGAACTGGAACCAACGCTGTGTGATTTCGATGTCTTCTGCCCCTCGGCTGCAGATCTCTCTGATCGATATATTCAAACAAATCCTCTGGAATCCCATCACGATCAACTCTGTCTCCATCGTCACTTTGGAGTACGCTGTAACGGATGCTCATCCCCATGCTCCTGAGGTGGCCATCGTAGGCACTGATCTCCCACTCACCTGGGAAAAGACAATTTATGACTCAAGAGCAAAACCATCCGGGAGCATGACGCATCAAACACGCAAACAACTATTGTTTTCTATAAGGTCACATATCAGCCTTGTCCTGATGCTTTGACGTGCATCAGTTGGTCACAATCTGCAGTTGTCTTTCTTTTCTCAGGAAAGCCTAATTTTTATGCCTCAACTACTTAACCGCGGCTTCTTCATCTGACACATCTCATGTGTAAAATGTGTCTTTATTGTTGTAGAAAAATAAGCCAAAAAGAAATTCAAAAGCTACTGCCAAAGCTCTCATTTGCTAGTTAACGCTTGCTATGTTATTGCACTGTGCTCCCCTTCCGGTTTCCTTCCCGGTAATCACTGTTGGGCCCGTCGACACCGGCGCCTTCGTATGCGATCTTTGTGCTGTTCAGCAGATTCCCCACATCTAAACGGCTTCCATGAAACAGGCCAATTCTATGAAATTAAAACATTGTGGATGTTCCTACTTAATTTAGGAGCAGTTTAAATGTTAAGGTCAGCACATGTTGGCAACTGCAAGCCATAGAAACCATAGAATAATATCTCCAGTAGCGTGTTGCACCTTCAGTATAGTCGGTTAGCATTCCAAGGTACAAGTAGCCGAAAATCCCTGCAAAAGGGTGCTTAGGCCTTCAGCATCACAAACCTCAAAGCATTAAATTATCTCACAAAAAGGACGCAGGTCTCACCCATCAGCTCGGTTTCCATGGGAACGGTCACCCCTGTCATGGGGAAGAGGGTGAGGACAGACTGGTAAAGGCCTTGGTACTTAAAGAGGTTTCCCGTGAAGTAAACAGAGAGGAAGTCACTCTGAGTGCCCACATTGGCCACATGCCAGAAAGCCACGTCACTTTTAGACGACACAAACTGTCGCCCGCCAAACATGCCGCCATTTATACCTAAGGAGTAGGAGGTAAAAGGAAGCGAGAGTTACTAAACTGATGATGTGATGGCTTGATGTATCACACAAACAACAAAAACAAGTCCATGAACAGACAGTATTTCTTTGAACTGGCTATCAATGTTTTTTTTTTTAAATAACAATGAATCAAATGACAATGTAACACCATGACAGGGTTTGGTTGTAGTAATGAAGCTACAGAGAATTATCTTACTGTAAATGACATTGGAGCTGTAGAATCCAGGGTCTGTGATGTTTTGGCTGGATTTCTGCATGTTTTCGTTAAAGTACCAACTTCTGTTCTCATCAAACACAGCAAATATTAGGCTCCATTCTTTATCTGGGCCCAACTGCATTCAGCAGCAGATTCAGCAAAAGAGACACGTGGCATTATATTAGTAGTGCAAGTGGGAGAGAACATCCATTGAACGCTGATTGGCATATTCATCATTATTTTACACATTCTCCTCACCAGACGTCCTCTGGTGTCGATGGTGCTGTGCTTGCAGATGAGCAAGGTGCCCACCAGCCCGGAGGCCAAGTCCCTCTCGAGAGAGACAGTGCTCTGATAGAGCTGGGTCAGGCACCCGGGGTCTCCCTCCAAGGGTCCATCGTCTGTTGTTAGGCTCCAAACGTAGCTAAACGTCCCGTTGGGGGGCACTCCCATGGAGCGCAGGTCCTTCTCGGCAGCTGTTTTAATGAATCAAGGTGGTTAAAACAGAAACCCACTAAAAGACAAGTAGGAAAGGATAATGCACTAAAACGTTGTACATTGTTTGTGTATAGTTTTCAGTATATTTGCAACCTGGCATCACGCATTGATCTAACATTGTCGAGTTTGCGGACGACGTCAGCAAGGACGACGAGTTGGCCTACAGGAAAGAAGTCCAGCACTTGGCTGTGTGGTGCGCCAACAACAATCTGTCACTCAACACCAAGAACACCAAGGAGCTCACACCCCCATCTCCATCAATGGGACGGAGGTTGAGCGTGTTGCTATAGCTTCCAGTTCCTGGGTGTCCACATCTCGAAGGAACTCTCTTGGACCCTCAACGCCCTCAACCCTGATCGAGAAGGCTCATGATAGAATAATGATAGACGTGAACAGTCTGGTGGTTCATGTCCTTGATTACCGTTTGCAGATTTGAACAGTGGAAAGATCTTGCTGAGGCCATTGGGGTAGATGTTGAACGGACGACTAGCCAGGTTTCTGAAAGTGATCTGGAGACAATTTAAATCAATGGGAGATCATTAGAAAGCCTTTCATATCTGACCATGCAGAAAGGACCAAATTGAATATTTTCTGTCTTCACTCACTTGTATTTGATCGTTGACTTTTCCTTTCAGAAGTGGACCCAGCATTGTCCTGGCAGGGTCCTTCCTCTGAGCGAAAGATCCATCTGTGTATTCCACGTAGACGGCCTTTTTATATTTGTAGCCCAGGTGATGGGGAGGTGTGACCAAATGTCCCGATTGCGCCTCACTGATTTGTCAAAGACAATAAAAAAAAGACAATTCAATCAATTCAAATCCACTCTCACTCTATTATTCCTCCTTCGCCTCCATCTTTCCTACCTGACTGTGGGCTTCAGATGAAAGTTGTAGTCCCAGATGACCTCTTCAACAGCGATGTAATGCCGCCACCCCCGTGGCTGTCCTCCGCTCGCCCGCGCTTGCACTTGTGGTTTAGACAGAAAGTGTACGGTGTTGAACAAATTCTCGCCGTCGTCATTGTTGTAGTCGCTGTCATCCACATGATCCTCGTGTTTGGCGTTACGCAGGTCGGGTCCCGGCACAACCACGGGGTCGGTGCACTTCTCCACCGTGAAAAATGCCTCCATGCCATCTACAGACACAATAACAAAAAGGTACCATTTGAACAGAGGAAGTGTAGCACATTTAATTAGTACATCCAAGAGACTGGTCTGGTCTTCCTTACAGTGGCGGTGAGCGTGGATCTGACAGCTCATGAGGAAGCGCCCCATAGTAGCAGGTCTCATTTCTGCGGTGATGAACGACATGGGGGTCACCTCAACGGTGGTTTTACGATTGTCCAACACCTAGAAAAACAACGCAAGTGTCCGTTAAACTTTCTAGCTTGACTTTTTAACTTTAACTGGAAAAGAGTTTGGGTCACTGATACTTTTTGAAATCGAGGAAACCCTGCTGGTTTGATTGATCAGACTTTGTCCCTTCATGTGAATATGTCTTTTACCCTTTAAAATGCGTGACAGTTTTCCATAAAGACCTAATTACCCGCAAGGTGTGATCCTGGAACTGAATGGAGTGGATTTCTGGAGCTGTGCCCATCCCAATCAGATGCCACATCACACGATCGCGGCCCTGACACATGGTCAAACCTACACACAGACACAGGGAGAGTGACAAAACCCGACAACTTCATGGAACAGACTCCTGGCCTGCAGCCGCTCTGGTTCATTACCGGGTAACGTGCCGTTGACGTATCCGTTGATGGTGTGGTATTCCTTTCTGCCGATGCTTTTCTTGAACTTCTCCCTGTTCTTCCTTTCTCCTACCTCCCCATACCAGCTCTTGGTCTCATCGAACACTACAAACAGGAGGACAAACGCCGGGTTTCTCCGCTGGCCGTCAGTTTTGAAGGCACCTGTAAAAAAACCCCCAAAAAACAGATGTGATGCTGCGCTGGCAACGCTACGGAGCAATTTAATTTGTTCCAGACTGAAACATCCTGGCGAGATTGTTGTAGAATTTTCATTCCAGGCGCCAACTGGGTGAATTTCATGTTCAGTTGACCTCACTTTTCCTTTAGAATCAACATTATCCTCACATTTTTGGTTTGAAAATGTCTCAACAACTACTGAATTTGATACTTTTGAGGTTTTTATTTAGTTGTCAAACACTTTTGGTTTCTGACACTAATGTGAGAGCTTTAAAGACAACGGCGAAAGGTTAAGTATAGTGTGTAGGTGGGATTAGGTGCTGAGTCTGTACCCTTTGCCCAAGCACACACTGACTTTTTTGGCAGATGAGCAAGGCACCGATGAGTCCCGAGTTTAAATCTCGGACCGTGTCCACCTGGGATGAGTAGGAGTAGGTGAGGCACTCTGGGTCACTGGCGGTGGGACCGTCTTTGGGGCTTATGTCCCACACATACTCGTAGTAGCCTCCGGGAGAGACGGCATCATCCTCCTTCTCGTGGCCCGCTGTGGAGTCATCGTAGCCGGCTCCTGGAAACAACCACGGAGAACGACTCCTCTGTGTTAACTCAGCGGTGGGAGAGTGTCAACGCAGGAAAATGGTAAGTAATTCGGTGTGATATTTACTGTACACAAAACAAACAACAACAAAAAGCCTATTAGGTTGCAGGAAACATAAATACAAAAAGGGACATAGCAGGAAATGTGTTTCATGTTTTACTATAAAAACTGTTGACTATTTTCGGGAATAAAATGTGAAAGTAATAGTGAACACTTCTGTAGAAATGTATCCGGATGTTTCACTGAATCATTGCTAGTAGCCGGTTCAGTTTTTCAGAGAATGATTAACTCCGTTTTAGGAATCTATCCTGACGCAAGAAGACCTGAGTCAGGCTATAAGAACCGCAGCATTAGGATGTATGTCAATGTATGTTGCCCGCTGTAATTTCCCAAGAATGGCCGTTAGCTTCGTTTGTTAATCTCATCATGAAGCAACACTGTGCGGCTCTGATATGATCAGTATAGCAATTTGCCAGTTAGATCATGGCCACGCTGCTCTTTTTCTTTATAACATTACATTACATTACAGGTCATTTAGCTGACGCTTTTATCCAAAGCGACTTACATTACATTTTTAACCCATGGCTTCTTTTTTTTTGCCCAGGGATTAATTAGGGTTTAGGTGGTTTGCTCAGGGACACTTCGACATGGGACATGGAGCAACCGGGGCTCGAACCACCAACCTAGCAGTTCCCAGCGCACCACGACGACCCCAGAATTACTTCAGAATAGCAAAAACCACAACAACAAAAAAACATGTGAGTAAGAAGAAGAAATTTGTATTTTTGCCTAAAAACTGTAACAGTAGAATTGGACCGGTGAGTGTTTTGCCATGAACTCTAACATGGATTTCGCATTAATACCGGATTATAAGTCAAAAAAGGGAGTGAATTGATGAAGTATGCTGCTGACTAATAATGAGCTCGTCCATTAAATAGTTCCGAGGATGACCGCATGTGTCCGTCCATTCGGTTGTTTTCTACCTTCCGACTGCTTCCAGTAGGTGATGCCCACCGGGCTGATACTGTAGGGCTGAGAGGCCAGGTTTTTGAAGTGGACCACCACCCTCTCACCAGCCTGGGCGACGATTGCTGGACCTTGAATACCTGCAACCAGAGGACACAACATGAGTCCCACATATGACCTCGCCTTTTAAGACAAAAGTTGCTCCGAAACAGAATGGAGAATTGTTATTTTTTCTTTTTTTTGTGTTTAAAAGTCAGGCAAACACTATTCTTGTCCACGACGTCTGTATTGAAATCACATTCTTGACTGTAAAATTACTAAATTACTTTTCCTTTTCAGTTCTGGACAATATTTTGCTGTTGTTGTATTACATTTAATAAAGCTGTAAAACATTAATAAACACAATGATTAAATACCACAAACCCAATGACATATTTGATAAAGAAACTAGAGAATATTAGAAGTATAAATACCTGTCCATGCCGGCCTTGGTTTAGGGACCGTGTATGTTGAGTCTGTGTACTCCCTGTATATTGCCTTGACGTACTTTTGAGGAGGATCTTTGAATCTAAGAAAAAATGAGGAGATTATGATAAAATAATCACTTTCAATTCCGTCTTCGTTAATTGTAGTTGTGTAACTTTCTAAAACAACTAAATTCAACTAAAAGTATTTATTTAGCCTATTTGAAAGCATTTAATCCCAAATCCCGTGAACACAACTCACCATTTGTTTCTTCTTCCCATTCAACAATCAGAGCAGGTTGTTGCAAACCAACGACACACTCACCTCTGTTCGGAAGCTGCCGGGTCGGTCCCGTCCAGGTGGACGTAGTCCCATCCGACTTCTACCGCCGCTACGTAGTACACCCTCACCGCGGGGGGGGGCTCCTTCCCTCCCCCGGCGCAGCAGCCGAGCAGCAGCAGCAGGGTGGCGGCTCTCACCGCGATCATCTCCGACGTGTCCGGGGTCAGTGTGATGGCTTCTCCCGTGGACTCGGGCGTTTATAGGCACGGGGGGGGAGGAGGGGAGGAGTGACCCGGGAGATGAAGTTGCACCTGTGGGCGTGCGCGTTGCGTGGAATCCGCAACATCTGCCAAGAGATTAGGTCATCGGTGTTATTGTCCATTACGGGGGGGGGGTATCGAATCCTGTAGGCTACTCGTATCGGTTTTGTCTTCCCAGTATTTTGGGGGGAAGTTTTTCTTCGATGGACGGATGGATGTCGTGTGCTGTACAGATACAAGTTGTGATAATGGGATGAACAGAAGAACGGAAAGCAACTGGAAGATCTCTTTACTGGAAGATCTGGAAGATCTCTGAGATGATCATAGTTTTCCTTTTAGGAATTGAATAGAGGGCCACAGCTTGATAATTGGGTTTCACTGCCACCTTGTGGCAAATTGGAGGAAATGCAGAGCTTTCAAATATCCCACAAGCAGACCATCAAACGTAAATAACCAACAAATAAACTGGAAATGCACAACAAATGGTTTCAGTATTTTAATTCAAATCTGAAAAGTTTCACTTATAGATATAGATCAAACAAGCATATCTGAGTGGTGACCAGATGCATATAAAACTTTAAATAGTTGGTAAAAACAGAAGCAGAACCAAAAAAATAGCAATTCGTCACACTATTTTGAAACACAAAATTTCCAAATAAAGTTACATGTACGTCAATGGGATGGAAATGCTCACAATGTGTCCGGAAATAAACATTCACATGAAAGGGATACAAAATTAACTGGCAATGTGTGCAAGCAAAAAAAGCTTAATAGACAATGTTTGTCCTCTGAAAACAAAGACAACACATTCCAATCCAAACTTCATACAAATCTATACTTTTCACAGCTTCAGGGAGTTGACCTCTATGATCTGCTGCAGGATGTTATCCACGTCCGTGGTCTCCATGCTGATTCCAGCCAGGTCCAGTTGAGGCAAGAGGGCCGTGAGAAGCACCACCACATTGTTCCGGATGCCGCGCAGGTCTTCCTGCGAGGATCTGATAAGAAGAGCTTACTCAATAAAACAGTCGCTGAAGTGATGAAACACTATCAAGGGGAATTCATATATGGTTTACAAATCAACAAAAACGAGATTTCGTAAAAAATCGGGAAAGAGGTTTATCATTTCAAGTACAAACAGTAAGCCTGGGCACACAGTTGTAGTCCTGCTAGCTGCAGGAAACAACTATCCTCTGGTTTTATGATTAGATCAGATTATGATTTTGAATTTGAAAGTCATTAGGTTCCCATGCTTGGAAAGTGCAGGTTAATACAGGGGTTGTACCTTGATTTATTTATTTTATGCTATATAAAATCTAAATCTTTAAAGAAAACCGATGGTTATAACACATTTTTGACCTGTAAACCAACTCCAGTGGTGCCGGCGCCTGTCCGTCTAGAATACACACCTGCTGCTTTCACAGGCCTCGTTGTCCCCGGCTATCATCCTGATATGACTTTCTGCTTTCTCCTTCTTGGACGCGCTGTGCTCCGGCGGCCCTATCGACCCGCACAGAGCCCTCTGACTCAGGACCACCACCCCCGGACGTCCCACAGCCGGGCCGGGCCAGCTGGATGAACTAGAGCTCTGACTCAGAGGAGGGAGAACAGGGGATTACCATTAGATCTTCGTTTAAGTGCAGCCCGAGCAGACGGCCTATAATAAAACATCTTTCTCATGTGTCATCATGATCAAATATTGGGTACAAACTCTGCTGACCTCAGTCGCGTCGGTCTGGCAGCCGACCTCTCTGCTGGCCGTGGATGCCGGAGGGGTCTCGGGCCCTCCGGGGGGCTTTTCGGCGCAGCCATCTGCCGCTGTCATCGTGCCTTGAGTTGTGCTTGTGGCTTCCAGAGCGAGAAGCCTCCGTAGCCTCTGGGCCTCTTTCTCCAGCCCGGCCAGCTTCTGCACACTCGCCTCCCAGCCACTCCCGTCGGGAGGCAGCGGTCTGCTCCGGGGCCCCTCGGTTCGACTCAGAGGAGACACCATCACAGTCTGGGTGGAGGGGAGGAAGTGGGTGCGGGCGAGACTGCTGGGGGTTCGCTGTGCTGCATCACCTGGTTTCTCCCCTCGGCCGCCATCGCCAGGCTTGGTCTTCTCCCAGAGCGCCGCCTCGGGTGTGTTTGTTTGTTTCTGAGGATTCATCTTTTCGGCCGTGTTTTCTGAGTCAGGCTGCTCCTCCTGAAGACACGGCCTCTTTTTCTCGCTGTGAACCAAAATTCCACTTTTCCTCTTGTGGCTACAGAGGACAAAAGCTAGTCAGTGAAAAATTAACTTAAGTCAAACCTTTTTGAGACAGGAAGAAGAGAAACAAACATTCATTAATCGCCATTAATCGAGATTAATGAATTTCAAAATGTGCGATTAATTAGTTATTTAAAAAAAATCTATTGACAGCCCTAATATATAATAATTTCATTACTATATAATAAGCATACAACATAGCGCACCTCACTGCGTTCTCCTCCTCTCCTTCGACCCGCTCCACACTTGTGTCTTTGTCTTCGCTCCCGTCATCACCGGTCTCGTCCTCCACGTGTTTGACTTGCGTGGTGCCTTCAATGACTGTGCCTCTTCCAGTGTGATTGTGTTGTATGTGTGCAACTGGAGACGTGACTGTACTTTGTGTCTGTGCACTGTCTTGAGCGAGTGTGTCAGTCAGGTGATCTGCGCTCGTCTGATCCGGCTCGAGGTCGTCTTCTGCCCGGAAGGTGAGCCAGCTCGGCTCTGATGAACTGCGTGAGAGGATTTGATGTTTGGCCGTTTGGTCCTGGAACTCACACACCTGCACAGACAACGAACACACTTACACACAACGCAGCCAGGTGTCGGACGGCTAAACGGCAACAATAGCACCTTTATCAATATCAAGTTTCTAACTTTTTACAAACCTCCAAGGATTTTTCTCGTTTTCTGCTTTTAGGATGCTCTCTGCAGGAAAAAGCAAACAGAATAATGAGTCCAGATGCGAAGATCCTTAAATTACGGTAAAGTTACTGTAATGAATATATTTTTTATAACTCCAATGACCACCTAATTTTCCTATTTGCTTTCTCTTCAATTCTCTTGTGCTCCCAAACCCTTTATTGCTTGAGATCTGAGAGTTTTTCGGATTGTTCTATCTTGCCACAAAAAAAAACATCCGTTCGTTAAATTTGGGATTGGCTGTTTTGTCCCCAATCCAACTGCAAGTAGGACTATCTGTTACTTGGGTAAAAAGGAAGCGCTGGGAAAATAGTGAGAAGGCAGATTGAAGCCACACATCCACAGTTCTGGGTTAAATAAACCATTTAATATATATGTTATTACATTTTGTGAACCTGAAATTCAGCTCGTGCAAAATAGGTTTCTAGCTAACTTCTGCAAGGTAAAGAGTCGCTATCTCAGTACGTAAACTAATTTAATCTTATCATCTCCTAATAGGCCAATAGCTTCTAACAACGCACAAAACACACACTCTCTGTATCAGATGTCAGACGGTTCAGTTTGTTCCACCGATTATTATTTGAACCACATCCACGGGTAAAAAGTCACCACGTTTTTGAAAAACCGACATTTAGTTTATCTCTGGTCACTATTGAGCGCAGTGAAGCAAAACCAGGAAACAGGAAATAAGGGTGTGAAACTGAGACGAGAACCACACGTCGGGACACGTGCACCCACATGCACACGCACACATGCAGCCAGAGCAGCAGCGTGAGACACGTCTCAGTGTGTCCACATTCTCACACACACACAGTTTGAGAGGTTTAGAGAAATGAAACAGCAGCTCACTGTTTCTTGTGTTTTTTGTGGTAGCTGGGTGTCAACAGCTCATCGCTGTCTTCTGCTTCTTCTGGCAAAGAGCAACTTCTGAAAGAGAAACAGAGCTGGAAACTCAAACTAAACGGTAGCAGCCAAACCAGACACACACTCCCTTCTTAGAAAGTATTCATTTAATTATCTCATTTATTTTACAGTTTGAAGTCTGTATGATAGATAATAGAGTGATGGTGGTTAACAAGGGAGAGTTGTTTCATTGTTTTGTTGTTTCTGCCACATGCTCATTACACTAAACCACGTGCATGAGCAAACTGGTTACACACACGCAGTTACAAAGTAGTTGGAGTTTACTAAAAAGGTTGTTTTAAAAAATGCAAAATGTGTTTTAGTGACTTAGTGCTTGCGAATATCCGTTTTCAATAATATCTGAATAAGGATGTAAACAGATTCCTACAGGGCTACTTAAGTGATCCAGTACCAGAGTCAAATGGAGGTCCTTAAGTCGCAGTATTAGTCAAAACCCAAACATTTGATATCTCAGGTAAAACCCAAGGAAATCCACCACACAAAATACACACCTGTAATTTAGATTGGGATTCAGGCTGCAGTTCCAGCTTTCAGGAGCCACAATGTAATAATTTGCCGGGACCTTTCGCCACTTCAGGCAGTCTTCACATTGTAACCACATGGGACCCCTGTACACAGAGACATACACGTACGGGATGAGCCAGCAAACAGACGCTGACATCAGCGGGAAAGATCTTTCCTGCAGAATTAACTTTTAGAATAAGTGAGTCCATCCATTCGTGTACGTGAACATGAAAATGTTTCCCGTTGTAGCCGCTTATTTGATGTTAATGTATGCCTAATAAATAATGTTCAAAAGGTTGTTTACCTTTACTGTTTGGTTAACTTCCCACGTCAGAAAATTAGGAACTAAACGGCTCCTCGTTGTGTTGTTACTGCCATTTCCCATAAAAGCCTTGTTGACTTGAGTAACAATCTTGTTCGTCGAGTCAAATTTAAAGGCAGCTTGACCAGTTTTTCTCCCTATAATTAATACTCTTATAGGTGAGCGTAAGAATGTTCTTTTGAGTCCTTTCACAACTACAGTCGACACTTACTCTTCAGCGTCCAGCTTGTCTACATTTTCGTCTCTTTCCACCGCTTGGAACTCGCGCTCCCGGGCCTTCTTCTCTTCCACCTCTCTCCAGTAGTCGTTCAGCTTGAGGCCCAAAGCGCCCAGGGTAAGTCTTGGGAGAAGAGAAAGTAGAAGACAGTGGATTTATTTCACACAACAGTGTTTTAAGATAATAACAGGTTTGTTTCTCCAGAAAAAATAGAGACTGTAATCAAAATCTTTTACGGTCATCATCAGCTTCTTGGCTGTAAAACACTGATATTTGGCGGCGTATTTTGGTTTTGTTTGCTGTACCTGTATTCTTTGGTGTATTCAAAGTCCTGCTTGTTGTGGGCAGGTTTGAGGAAGTTACACTCGATGATACCGATGACCCCGACGCCCGCCCTTTGACCCGAAGCCTGTGCACAATTGGGAAGCGTGATGAAGGTCGCCGCGTCTGCCATAGTCGAAGACGTACAGCGACACCGGTTTCCCTCACCTTCAGCTGGCAGCCCACTTTCTCGTAGGCTTTGATGAGTCGGTTCCTGTGGTACATCATGATGCCGTACTGATCTTTGTTTTTGGGGTTCAGCCCGAAGGTCACCTTCACCCTCTCTTTCTGGCGGACGCCAGTCAAGGTTAACAGCAGCGGGCATCGGCAGGTTTACAGAATGGGATCGGCCAACCGTCAGCAAATTCAAGTTACATTTTAATATACTATAAGTCATACAGGGCATTTTATAAACGAAGATGAAAGGAGCCTGTTTTTAACGAGAGCAAAATAAGGAAAACCGCAGTGAAATCAGTCTGCGTTAAGGAACATGTCACAGGCCACAAAATAATTAGCGTCACACCACCGGACTAAAGCTGAAAAGCAGGTTTGAAATGTGCTTTTCATCTGGAAGCAACAACGACAATTTAATCAGCGTAGAGAAATACAAAATAATCGGACCTCAACACTAGTGGCAATACTATACCAAAGCTTCATTACCAGTGTCACTCGAGTGCATTTAAAATAACAAAGTAGTTCTACATTATCTTGCCTCAGGTATATTTCGGTGGATGTAATTCGTATTTAGAGCCAATGTGTCTTTAAAAGAAAAAAAGTCCCTGACACGTAAGAGAGTGATGAGTGTGCAGAAAAGGTTCAAAGGTCCTACTTACCTCAAAAACATTCAAACAGTTTAAAGTCTTTGCCAGACTGAAGCAAAGTCACAGTTTCTCTCAATTCTCATTGCCTGCTGACTCCCCACTTCCTCATATGGATAACGTCTGGCTTTATACCTCCATCCACACACATAGTTTAGGGATACACTGAAGTGGGGTTTGTACACGTCATGCTCGATGTGTTTCAGCCGCTTGGACACCAGCTTCACCGGGATCTTCTGCCCCCTCAGTATGATCTGTGTCCTGGGCTTCAGATACAAGATGCTGAGGTAGGCCTGAGAGCATAAAAAGTAAGACATGTTGAATGTAGAACATCAACTCCTATATCATTTTGAGTCTGACACAATCTGTTGACACAGACGTAATGATGTAAAACTTTCTCCTGAAAAAAGAACTGGAAGGTCGTCATTACGGGATTTGCTAACAACAATTACAACACGAGTTCAAAAGAAAACTGTTTGTGTTACTGCAAAACCAAATGTACCTCTTGAAGGTGTCCCCTGGCCCCCCACACACACATACAAACGTATAGACAAGTTCGCATACGACTTTTGTTATCTATTTTAGGGGATTACCCAAAGTTTAACCACAACCACTCCATGTCCTGAACTTCCCTCAAACCCTGATCTTAACCACCAAACCTCCAATAATCTAGAAGAGCTCACCTAACAAGCTCACACATTGAGGCTATTCCATTAAAATGATCTTATCTTAAATTATTTTATGCCATTGAATGATGAAGATGGTGCAACTTTGATGGAAAGACACGGGGCGACTACTGAATGTGTCGATGAAGTTCAGTCAATTCACACATTGTCGGTGTGATTTTACAACAAAACTACATGGTGCCCACACCAGGCCCACGTTTACCACCAAAATGCTTTACTATATGTGGTGGCTAGTACACGCTGCACTATAATTACCACAAACAAGACACAGGTCTTCCTTTACGTTGGGTGGATACGATGTGCTGGTGTACCGAGAGGCGATCCACTCACTTTCAGACTGTAGTGTATGTCGGGGACGTCGTGTTTGGCTCTCGGGGAGCCGAACGTCCTCAGACATTTCTTCAGTTCGTCGTTGTGAACCTCGGGCAAGCGGAAGTCGCTCACATCGGTCTCAAAGTCCACCTCTGGCTTGCCATCTTTTGCCCTTCAGGATAACGCCAAAAGAAATAATGATACTGACTTAAGGAGCAGCAAAAAATAAGATCTTGTAGATTTTTCCTAATTGGAAAGCTACACAAACTGTATCGCTTTAATTACGGATCCATTTGCACAGTTCCATTCAACCTGGGCACTTTGGTTAAGTGCGGAACTTAGTAAAGACACCTTTCATCCTCCAGCGTAAAGGGGGAGGAAAACAATAGAGCTTCTAGGGACTCTGGGAATGTTTTTATGTGAAGCACTTTGAATTGCCTTGTTGTTAAAATGTGCTATACAAATAAAATTGCCCGGCCTCGCCTTAAGACAAACGCTTTTATTCAAGCGAAGGAAAAAGGACTTAAAGTCTCTAAATTTAAATTCCAGTTCCTCATCTCATGAGGATATGAGGCTTTGTTGCCGAATGTGTTGCTTTGCATAGATTTGACTAAAGGCGTTACCAAACAAAGATCGTTCGCGTGTGCTCGTGCTCATTTGCGTGTTTCAATCTGAGCTGCTTGTGCGTACTCATCCACCAGAATCAGATTCATTATGAATTAGTCCATGTCATTATATTAGAGTATCCGCCCAACACATCATGTTCTTATGTTTGTCTGAACTCAAACTTAAGAAGCAGTTATGAAATATACTTATTGGCTGCGTGGCAAAGAGTTAGAGGAGAGCATTGATTCACTCTCATTGTAAATTGAATAAGAGAAGGCTTACAAGCAACCAATAGAACCCTACAGAATCCTTGTTATATGCCATTTCATCGTGCAATCAACATTGACTTCATACTGATAAGCTAAAACACAGGACCTTGTTTATTGTCACTTTAATGGACAGACAAAACAGGTTTTATTATCATCTTATAATATTGTCAATGTATACATATATAATTCTGACCTGCGGATGTTCCAGATTAATATCTTGGTGCCTTTTTTGGAGAGAATGGAGTCAAAGTGTGAGTGTATCTGCTCCTGGGTGGTGATGAGGGAGTGCTGCAGGATGGCTGCCAGGCTGGCCTCCGAGTCCTCCGTCACCACCAGGGACTGTTACACAGAGTTAAGGTCAGAACAGAAAAAGGAGCTTGCAAGGCGTCAATCAAACCCTGTGCCAAACAGCGTGGAGAAAAGCGGCATCTGTTTGTTTTTCACGAAGGATATTGGTTTGTTGGTTGAAGGGGACAATGGGCACAATGACCGCCTGGGCCTTGATGTTCTGCAGGTAGGTCTGAGAGAGCATTCCCACACTCTGGCAGCCGCCGTTCTTGGTGAAGATGAGCGCGTCACGGCCCAGACGCATTGAGCCGGACTTGAAACCGTTCCCGTACACACCGATGGCCTGATGACTGGCCTTACCTGAACCCTTTTCTGTAAAACCAAAGCTGGACATGAGAGAGGAGGGGAGAGTGGAGAAAAAAGGATTGTTTTAGGATTATTTTCATTTCAGAATAAACTGTTAACATGAATCAAGGCAATAGTGATGCGTCTTTACATAAGAGTAAACGTGCCTTCAAAGTGTTTGTTCTAACTCACAAAGGCTCCGCTCTCTACTGGACTCTACGGGAGACATTGTTCTCCAATCACAAGCATGCATCCCACTGAAAATCCACTCAAACCGGGGTTCCATCCTGAATATGTGTGGACCCCACAGTATATCAGGCCGCACACACCCCTGCCATCCCATTATCTCTTCAGTAAAGGTCAATTTGCCCACTGGCTGCTCATGTCCAGGGATGGTGTGTGGCATTACCGTATGTGGCCCCGGGGAGGGCCGAGACGTGACGTCACGCATTTGTCTACGTGCATCCTGAAAGGCCGACTATGCTCATTCAAATATTCAGTGTCCAGTAGTGGACTCCCTTAGGTGGTTAAAGAACACATTTGTAAAGTTGAAATAATGTTCAGCATTAAGTTTATTTGTAGACCGAAAGGATAAGCGGATCAAGGCAAAAGCAATCAGGCAATAAGTCGATGCATCTCTTTCGCTAAACGTACATGTGTGCAGTTGCATTTTTATCTGTGTGTGATGGACAATCTCTGGTGTGAGAGACTGTGCGTCAGTTGCCATTTGCGGTCTCAAACTTCGGCGAGCCACACTTGAGGTTTAAATATGGAAGAGAGGAACTTGGAAGTGTGTTTGACTTTACTTGGCGTTAAGGATTTTTTTGGCAAACATGCAACATTACATTTTTTACGTGTATTTTATTACCATGTCCATTTCATGTGGATATGCACGTGTGCGTCTTACCTGAGCATCTTGTGCAATTTGTTGGGAGTCATGCCGCTGCCATTATCGGTGAAGGTTAGACACAGCTGACCGTCTTCATCAACCACATCTATCCAGATCTGTTTAGCAGATACGCCGGGATCTGATGCATTGTCTACAGCACAGGATTTAGTGAATGAATTGAAAATAGCGAAAAGAGAGAAAATCCTAGTAATCCTTCCTAGTGTACAAGAAATTACTTTTTTTAAAGGCTATGGCAATACACTTCCAACACACACTTTACATACTTTATATACTATACGTTATGCTTTGTTATACTTTACATTAGTGCTGTCAAACGATTAAAATATTTAATCATGATTAATCGCATTTATGTCATAGTTAACTCAAGATTAATCACAATTAATGGCAAATTTTGATCTATTCTAAATGTCCCTTCATTTAGCTTTTTCCATTTATTTTTTTCATTTGAATTCTCTTATTAACATGGAAAAGTAGATTTTTTTCAAAAACAACATTGCCAAACAGGGCGGTACAAAATAGAATTATAAAGTGCACATTTCAGGTAAATGGTTAGGGTTTGGTATGTACTTGGAAATGATTTGCCTGAAAAAAACGATTTACATGTTGATGTAAATTAATTTAATATACGATCATATGTTAGTATGCTGTCGTGCTGGTGGGAGTTTTTACTACTAGATGAAGGAGGGGTGCTGGATTTGTTTTCTTTTCTACATATTTTGTGAGTGCCATTTGTAGGACTGTCCCTCAAACAGGAGTAGTTGGGTCACAACATGTAAAGTAAAACATTTGCGAAAAAACAAAAACGTTAATCTTGCGCGAAAACAAAATTGGCGCCGTTAAAATGGGTTTGCGTTAACGTTGTTAATAACGCGTTCAACTGACAGCACTACTTTACATGTATTAATAATGAACCACCCTGTGTTTTGCAGTCATTAAGGAATACGCAATGTTAACACCTGCATATTTACTAAATTATATTGCAGGGATGTTAAATAGTTGGAATAAAGGCAATCATTCCTTTAAAAATATAATCTCCGACAATATATTCCTAGGAATACCCAATGAAATACACCAAAGTATTATAGGATGACTATAAAATCGCCACCGAGTAGGTCTCCACAATTAATAAGAATTAAGCGTTGAGGGATATCACAATATCTGTCAAAGATATTCACTATCTGATTAAAAGAAAACTATACTGTTATTGCTGGTTTGAATTGCTTGTGTATACTTGTTGTACTGTTGCAAATAGACTAACACGTTACAAAGGATATGACAAGAAAGGTCATTGATAACACAAGGATTGTTACTGGTATTCTGCCCAACGCTTTATGTACAGGTTAAATATTAGAAACACCACACCAGGTCCTTCTTTACACACTGTAGATGCCAATACGTGTATATACCCTCGCCACAAACCTCATATCTTAATTAACTTCATCTAACTTTGAATTGAATACTCTCAGAGTTAGAATAGTGCAGTGAGAGGTTCAAACACTGAGCTGAGTACAGCAGAGGAAGCGACACACGACTTCCTCTGCTCACACATGGATGTAGACAATCGTTCACAGTGCATTATGCAGCAAACTCCCACCTCTCCTCCTGTCTAAAGGCAGCAGCCAACAGGCGCTCAGCACGTCGGAACCAGCAGGAGGGCGCACGGGGAAATACTGACAGCCCCCAAAAACATCATCACACGAAAGGATACATTTATCCAGACAATCATGCGTGGTGTGGTAAAAAAAAAAGTTTTTTACCACCGAGATATGTACAAACAAATCGATAGGGTGATTACGATTGCTGTATTGTTGCAACCTACTACTGGATGGTTTTTAGGCACATTCCGGCACATTACAAGGTGGTTACTACGTTATAACAACTTCACTCGTTGGTAATAAACACACTTATCACCGCACCGGCCCTGCGCACTGTCCACCGCCACGCACGGGCGTGTTACAGCAGTAAAGCCGTTGAGCTGTGTGAAAGAGGAAGTCCTTTCGGGTGCGTTTTAGGGGCATCAACGAAAAAAATAAGCGAGAACCGCGGTGCGCTTTTGCAGCGGAAGAGTGCGCAAAGTTGGAAGACCCCGAAAAGTCGCAGCGGGAGCGCGCCGTGCAGGTGCAGGTGCAAGTGCGCGGGTCTCAGCCGGAGGACACATACCTATGAGCTCCGACACGGCGCTGAAGGGCCAGGTGTGACTTGTGGAGTTGCTGTTCAGGAAGGAAGGGCTCATCTTGAAAAACACATTAGAAAAAAACAACAACACCAATTCAGCGAGTGCGTTTGCGCCTCAATCCTCCTGCAACTGCAGGAGAAACGGGCGCACATTGACGGACATTGACGTGAACAACGTGAAATACGTACGGAACTCAGGCGAATCCCGTGCTCGCTCAACCTCGCCATTGCTGCGACTGTGCGTCTCTGGCGCGCGCCCCCACGTAAAAGAGAGAGTCACGGGCAGTGGGCGCGGCGTGGGCCGGGCCGCGCGGTCAAAAGGAAGCCGCCGAGGGAGGTTAAAGAACACACACACACACACACACACACACACACACACACACACACACACACACACACACACACACACACACACACACACACACTCTCCACCCCCCCCCCCCCCCCCCCCTCCTCACATCCCCCCCCCCCCTCCTTTAACGCTAGCTTTAACTGGGGTCGATAGTATTTTACAACGCGTTTTTACTTCCGCTCGATATTCATGAGAAAGACACGCGCCCCCGTCGACTTGTCAGCGCGCGTGTTGATGTCCGGACTGCTGGAAAAAATACACAAATCTAAAGCACCGGTTTGCAACCAATTTTGTGAAAAGACTGCAACGTGTAACAAAAAGTAAAAACACAGTTTAAGGCGCATCTTGGTGTGAACGTGTCAGCACACGCGAGGACTTTGGGCAGGTGTTTCACGTTTGGTTACGCTTAATTACGTGAGAGGTTGGTGTAACTCGACAACGCTGCCAGAGGAGTGATGTGAATGGCGACAGCAAGCGATCAGTGAAACAAGAAAAGCTTGTTTAACTGCTGTGTTCTTGGTTTTATCCCGCCCCCCTCGCCCCCCCCAAGTTCCGGCTCTGGGAAATTGCTGTTTATGGCCCCCCCCCCCCCCCCCTCTCTCACAACAGTGGACACATACGTAAATCCTGAATATATTTTATTAAAATATTAAATACAGCAAAGTTGACATCACATTTCTGAGTCTGGCGACATTGCTTTTGGCTCTGTCAGACATCTGTCTACATCAGTAAGCTTTGTCACGCCGCTGTGGCCCCAAGTACCAATGGCGAGATGATGATTCCCAACGGAATACACAAACATGTTTCTATTAAGCTCATTAAATTCGAACATTCTCAATTATAACAAACACGGCATGTTTTCAAAAGGCAAAAGAAAAAACACAGAAAATAGGGAAACCAGAAGTCGCCGTTGTCTTTTATTGTCTTCCCAAATCTTAGTGCAATCACTCCCAATCAGTCCCTTGTTGCATAAAAGAGTCCCCATCGTTGGTCTCCACCGCTGGAACGTTTGAGTTTTTCCCGCCATCCGTTTACTATGGCAATGTAGTCCTCTTCGGAGAATTCCTGCAGGGCACAGGGGCAGGTATGATGAGCAGTCATGGAGACAAATCATCTTCAGTCACTACCACTTAATTGACAGGTTGTGCACGCTGACCTGAACAAATTCTTCCTTGCTGAGCTCTGCTCTCTGCAACTCCGCATTGATCACCTGGATGAACTGGGCCGTCCGGTCTTCTGACTGAACATTGCAGAAACCGGCTTCCTGTATGAACTTGGTGACACAAAGCGATGCAATGTGTTAAGGTGATTAGCACCGCCTGCTTCTTGCATTTAGACAGAGACATGCTTTAAATATTTTCACATTCTATGCATATGTTGATCTTTGCACTGCACAGGGATGGCAGAGGAGCACCCCATTGTACTGCTTCCTGGTGGAGAGACTATGTAATGGTAGCATGGCGTTATGTAATGTTATCATTTAACATATTAGCCAATCTGTGATAAGTTAATACCAGTGCTTAGCTTTATGAATGTAACGGTAAAGTGTTGCAATCTGCCCTGTAATCTGCAACAATTTGTCTCCCAGCGGTCTCATCACGTAACAGTAAACAGGACCAGAGGTTTAATGATCCCCACAGGGCAGCCTCGTCTTTCGACAAACATACATAATCCAGCCCTGCTGTATTTCTTACCTCGCCGTACTGCGAGGGCGTGTAGAGGACATAGCCTCTCTGCTTGACGTAGGCCTCGAACGTTGCCGTCCAAGGCTTCTCCCCTCCGCAGTAATCACTGATAAGTAACTTGCCACCTGGCTTTAACCAGGACTGCACACAAAAGCAAAAAGGCAATTCACTTGGACCAGATCAAGTCGTGTGAAAATGCACTAGTTTTCTTAAAGCAAACACATATAGGACATGAAGTATGCGTAGATGCTCACGTGGAAGCGTTTGAAGAGGGCCAGCTTGTCGTCTATGTGTAGGATTGTGTCTCTGCTGTAGATCACATCGAAGGATCCCTCAGGGAACGACCTCCTAGTGGCATCGGCCACCTCAAACTGGACCTGAAGGAGAGTGGATGCCATTACCAATGAAGAAGAAAAAGAATAAAAAATGATAACAACAGTTATCTATCACTGTTATCATTATTTGATTAAGCCAAGCCATTAGAAGGGGTGTTTAAACCAGTAGGATTTTAGGCGTACTGATGGCATCTTCTCAGCGATGGCCCTCTCCATGGCGATGTCCACCATGTTTTCTGACAGGTCTATTCCAAGCACCGCCACTCCAAACGTCTGAAAAGTAATAGAACCATTGCCATCACGGTGGTCCCTTTGCCTTTTATAAAAACTCGCCCACCACCACAACGGTCACCCTAAGTAGGCCGGATCACGCGCTCTCACCTTCGCCATGTAGAAATCTCCTCCACCAATGCCACAGCCAACATCTAGAACTTTCTGTCCGGGCTTCAGGTTCAGCCGGTCCACAAACTCCTGCCAGCACGGAAAAAAAAGGACACATTCTTTTAGTTTTATCCCAGGAGATGAAGCCACATACTTGTCTTGTGTGTTCAGTGTCAAATATAGATGATTAGAATGAGGACGGTGAGCAAAGCTTTCATGCTACATTTGAAATATTTTTAGAAGTTTTGTTAATGACGCAATGAGTCCCACATCACACTTCTTAGTCATTCTTCATGGAAATGCGTTTAAACTAAAATTGGAACAAAATGCAGCTCACCTCACGAAAAGATAACGAAAACTTTCAAAAGAGGAACAGAAGATTGAGGAAGAGAGAGGAGTTTCTGTCGATAAAGCGGCTACCACAAAAAGTTCTGTTGCTTTTTATGGTCAATTGTAGCACTTCTACAGTGGCTCCGTGAGGCTGCAGCTTAACGCTAACCTCAACTCACTTACACCCAACAGTGCTGATTCTCACACGCCTGCCTACACCATGTTCACCATCTCAGTGTAGCATGTTGGCAGGGAAACATTGTGTTATTAGTTTAGCGGGTAATTGGTCAGGTAATGGATCCTGCATCCCGAGGGTGGTTTGAATAACTCTGGCTAACATCACAGCAATAAATTATAAATAAATTAGATATTTCCATCTGGACCAAATTAGTGGACTTATGGCGCGTTTCCACCGAGCGATACGGTACTGTACGGTACTGGGTCGGGTCTGTTAACCATGATTTGGCGAGCGTTTCCACCGCCAACAGTACCCTTACTTGACAGGCGTGGTGTATTCCAGAAAGTAGTGATAACGTCACTTGATATGCGTGGAATATGACGGAAAGTAGTTGACCTCATTCGATCGCAAAAACTGAAAGCTAACCGCAAACAACAATGGAGGACATACAGCCGATCCTGTTCTTGCTTCTCGATATGTGGCTGTTTGTCACAAGGAAACGACAATCTTTGTTTGAGCAAAGGCTACATGCTGCAAGGAAAAACACAGCGGAACACATGCGTGTGTTGTCTTTCCCCTTGTGGCACGCCCAAATAAACGACACTCTTTCAACCAATCAACGTTCTGCTGTGAATCTAGCTCCACCCTTTAGTACCAAACAACTGTGCCAGGTACCCCGACGGAAGGGTACCCAAAAAGTGGTCCGGTACGGTTCGGATTTTTGGTACTATTCTCAACTTTTGGCAGTGGAGACACAAATATAAGGGTACCGACCCGTACCGCTCGGTGGAAACGCGCCATTAGTGGAAGTGAGTATGTTTATTTTATGCAGTAATGAACTTGAACAATAACTAAAAAAGCACCTATCGTTTCCCTCCAACCGATGTCTTTGGTGTTCCTACCTTGGTGGTGCTGGGCCCGCCTGTGCTGACGTAGCCGGACCCGAACATCTTCTCGTAGCGCAGGATGCCGCGGCTGGTGTACTGCTGGTTGTCCAGGAACTGCTGGAAAGTGCTGAATCCGTTCTGGGTGCTCGTGCTGCGGGGAACCTTCTCCAGAAGCCAACAGATCTGGTTTGGATTGTTTTTCATCTGGTGCAGGAGACGGACGAGGGCAGAAAGGGCGGACATGGGTCAGGAAGTGGTGGCAATGACTTCATAGCCTCACGCCTGCAGCGTTGTGCTTTTATTTCATACCTAGTGTCACTAGAAGACTGAAATGCATACCTCGACATACGCCTGAACCTTCTTCTTCAAAACAATTTCGAAACCAAACAGTGGGCCTCCTTTAGACTCCTCCACTTGTAGTGATGACACCAGGTGGCTGTATTGGGCCTCAGTGCGGTAGCAGGTGGGGTTGAAGTCCCTTTTGTTGTCACCTTGGTTGAAATTTACAAGTTAAAACTTTAAAAAGTTAAAAAGTGAAAATCCTTTCTTCTCAGAAAAATACACTTTTGGGTTGAATTCACTTATGAATGTTAAAATCATTATTATTGCTAAAGAATGAGGATGCTTTATTGTTACAGTACCTGACCGGTGGTTGCAGGACTCTCTGAAGAAAAGAAAGCCACCGGGCCGCAGCCAGCCCATCACCTTCTCCAGGAAGGACTTCAGCTCCTCGTCGCTCAGGTACATCAGCAGCCAGTTGGAGAACACAAAGTCCATGCTGAAGGTAACAACGAATGGATACATTAATTAAATGAAACAAAAAGCAAAAATCCCTTACGGGACCACCAAAATGGTTACAACTCCTGCTGTGGAATGTCTCATAAATCCAACACTACGCTACAGTTAAACCAGTGATTCTCAAACTGTGGGGTGCGACCCTCTGGTGGGGCGCGGAGGTATTACAGGTGGGGCACGTGGGGCTTGGCCGAAATGTAGATTTTTTTAAATTAAATTTTTCTAATTAATTAAAATTTAAAATGTATTTATAATCATTTCTTAATCCCACATGGGGAAATTATTCTCTGCATTTTACCCATCCATTAAGGAGCAGTGTGCTGCTGTGAAGCACTGGGGCTTCAGTGTTTTGCTCAAGGACACTATGCACGACATGCAAACTATGGAGAGAACACGGATCGAACCGCACTGTAAAACATTACAGCCCTGTTTTCAAGAAAAATTTAGCATGGACCATTTTGTTCCATTTTTGTTGGGGCGGTGGGGCCCGAACATTTTTCTTCCTCCAAAGTGGGGCCCGACAGAAAAAGTTTGAGAACCACAGAGTTAGACCAAAGTCAGGAGGCAACAGCTGTGGCATCTTTCGGTCTGGAGCACAGTGATGGAGTGAGCAATATAACCGTACCGCCTCGCTCTCGTGGCAGTTAAAGGCGTAAAAGTGTTTTTCTCAACAGCGGGTTTCTCAAGACGCACCTGTCTCGGGGTAGATCCAGCTTTGTCACGTCAGCTTGGAGAAAGGTAGCGTTGCTATGGTGACCGTTGTCCTGCCTGTTCCTCTGCACAAAGCTATCCATGAAATCCACAGCCGTCACATGGGAGGCCTTGGCCAGCAGGTGACGGGTGTAGCGACTGCAGAGGCGTGACAGTATATATCCATCGCTTCATTTGTTTTAACACTTGACAACATTGAATAACATAATCAGATCAATTAAGCTTGAGAAGTGCCCTCTGCCACAGGACCTTAAATTAAAAATATACACAACACAGCCACCACTGCAGACTAATGGAGCTGTGCGCTCACCCGATGCCGGCTCCCAGCTCCAGCACCCTGGATCCAGCCAGGCAGGGCAGCATGGAGAGGATCTCGGGCAGCTCGTGCTCGGTCAGCTCCTTGGCACGTGTGTCCAGCATCATCTCCTCCACTGTCGCAGCTTTGGAGTGCTCCTTCCAGAACTCTGTCATGTTGTTACGAACTGTGGAACACAAAAGAGTCCAGATTGGAATTTTACAAAAGTATGGAATATTTTATTGTTTTTGTTTTTTTAAAGAGAAGGATCATTGCCTTTAGAGGAATTGTATAGATGTAACTTCCTTACTGCCTGTGGAATATGTGGCAAAGGTCAAAAAACCCTGCATGTGAATCACCCATCAGATAGTTCAGAAAAAAAAAGGTTTTAATATTTTTATCTTATCATAGACATAGGCTTTCAAGAAACTACTATACCATTCATTTGATTTTAAACACATATTTTAAATAGAAAAATATCTTATCCCAAAAACAATGACCTAACACAGATTTACCATTATTCTGGTGCTATGTGGGGTAAACTGCAAATATCGCCAAAAAAATAAAATTCCAAAATGAAAATGTCTATAAATATTTAAATTGAAGTAATCTATCAAAAGCAGGAAAAGTCACTCAGATGATGCAATGCTGCAGGACAAGTTGAAATCATATATTGGTACAGAATACAAACACATGTTTACTATGGCCTGTTTAAAAAACAGGAGCACAATAAAACTTCCGTTGCTTTACCCACAGAGATCCCATAAATCGGGCTTTGCTGACCTGCCAGCAGCCCAGAGAACTAACATCCAATTATCTAGTGCAAAGATGATAACGAGGGAAAGGAAAATGACAGTCCACCACCAGCTGGCTAACACAAAAAGCAGGATAACCTTCCACTTAACTGTCATTCAAGCACAACGTTACCCGGGAGGAATCATTTGAAGTGAAAATCAACCAAAAACAACTGACACATTCCACATTACTTCCACCAGCTGAGTGAACACATTAGATCAGTAACAACACGTGGCGGCTCCAACACAGTCAAGTTGCATCAGACTGGAACAACACGTTTCAAATCAAGTCGCCATATTATTAGAATAAGCCACATGTACCGCGCTCTTACTGTACCTTTTTCCATGGTGGTCTCAAATGAGTCTGGATGTATTGTGAATATGGGTTCTACTCTTCCAACATAGTCTGGTGATTAACTGTTCTAACTGACGGACTGCGGGTTCCACAGGATGTGGGTGCTCTTTAAATAACGGGACGCGCTGAGGAGACGCTCGCCAGGTGGCACGCTGGCCATTAGGATGCGGCCAACACATGAGGACATGGTGGGGGGGGCATGAATAATTACATGTGGGACAAGGGTCCGTGGACGTGAATCACCCGACAGCATCGCTTATCAGCACCCATAAAAAGAAAAGACACGAGATCAATTGGTGTCAGTGGTGCGAACTAACGGTGTTTATGTCCAATTGGGGCGCGCGCGTGCGTGCGTGCGCGTCCCAGCGGCAGTCGACCCGCACTGGTTCCCGGCGCCCGAGTTGAGCTGACAGGCAAAAACATGTCCCGTGGCACGCAGCGCAGATCGCGCAACATTGCGTCATAGTGCAGCGCAAACACAGCGGCGCTGTCGGAGGGGGGGGGGGCGTTATTGTGTTTTCAAAGATAAGAGCAACCCAATGAAGCTACTGAGTTCAGGCGGTATAGGTGAAGATCACGTTACCTGTCACAAATCTGATTAATAAAAAAAATGTTTCTTCCAGTAATTCCTAATCAAAATGACAAACATAATCATTGTTGTACTTGTAGATTGCAATATATCTATTATTATATTATTACCCCTAAAGAGACAGCATTGATCTTAATAAAGACATGAAGTGCACAGAAATGAAACTTGACATTTCAGGAGATGGCGCTGTTTACCACAATTTCTTCACATTAGCCACCAGATTCATATATAGATGAAACACTGTTGCCATTTTTGTATATTTGTATAAGTAGAAAAACTGAAATCAAAACTAGCCGCTACGCTCTTATAACTGCCTCAAGCTAAAATTGACTTGTCGGAGTTCTGAAGACCTCGACCTGAGATCCATCTGAGAAGAATGACGCAACTTCAGGGGCCGTCAAAGATTAGTTTTTTTCTTTAACAAATGGAGTTGGAGGAGAAAAGAACTTGGAAGGGTATTTCCAAGAGCCACAATCTCCCACCGCAGGGAAGAGCCTGTAAATGATTATTCACAGTGATAATATTGACAGCGGTGAGTTGTGCAAGTCATGTCCGTCACGGTCACAGCGGTCGTTTGTCGCCTGCGTCTCGCTGCTGGTTTCAGGGCCTCGCATCGTGCCAGTAGTCACACTTCCATTAAAACCGGAGCTCAAACTATTGGTTCAAGTGTGAAGGTCGTGTGGCTTGCGAATGCCGGTGCGAATCCCTCTGGCGTGTGATAAAATATGGCCCAACCTGCAGCGAGGACTTGGATCAAACCGTGACCCTTAAATCCTGCAAAGTGCATCACAATAGCGGTAAAAGTGACCACACGATGGCGATTCAGAGTTATGAAAGTCGCTCATATGATAAAAGGGTTGTCTTTATCGTTATGGCCATTTCAAGTGACGATGTACAAAAGTGACAATCAAATTTTTGGAGTGTAAAAATGTAAATCCACATTAAACATAAATCTGGAAAAAACTATTCTGATGGCGACACGGTTTAAGAGCAAGACAAAGGGCTGGTTTGGGATGGAGGGACTAAAATAGGCGTATTTAAGCAAAATAGGACATTTAAGAACATGCAGTGCTGCATACAAATGTGCTTGGGAGAAGTCGATGGTTGTGCTGGAGTAGTTTAAGACAAATGCTCCTTGAGGAGAAAATATTCTACAGTTTTTAAAGCCTCGGGGACTTTTTGGTCTCCCCCCTGAGAACAGTGCGTTCAGCAGCAAATCCTCCTTAAAACAGTCAATTGAGGGTAAACTTTCCATGAGCGAGTCGATGATCACTTTTGCCCACTGGAGGTCAGGAAAGGCCCATAAACATGTTACAAGCAGATAACGGTTGTGGGTTGAGGGGTGTGAGAAGTTCATGAAGGAGTGAAGGAAGGAGACGGTTTGACCACAACGATTCTCTCGGCTTTCTGAATGTTAGATTTCCAACAACTAAAGTTTGGAAAGCAGCAAAGCTGCTAAAATACTATTGCTCCATCGTACCCCACATAACACCCAAGAGAGGTTCTGTATGATTTTTACTTAGGGGATAAAGGAAGTATAATTCATCTTTTTTCCCCCCAAATGACTTCTTCTGTTTGAGTTCGTTAAGGCTTTGTGGCCCACGTTGTATTGCTCGCTCTCCTTCCCGGTCATAGTTACAAAAAACAAAAGGCAATGACGCATCAAGGATGATATTTAGAATTGAGGTTTAATGATGATAATAATAATAATAATAATAAGAAGCTGTAATCGGCACTCATAAATATTCATGGGGCCGTTCATTTCGGGGAGACGGTTTGTTTTGTCTTCTCCAAAACGATAAACTTTCCCTTCAACAGGTCTGTGTACACTCAGGATCGCCTAATAGAGGAAGACGGGGAGAATATTTTACCGCTTAAGTGCTGATGCTCTAGATGGAGGAAAAAAAAAGAAGAAGAGGATTTTGATATGGGAGAAATATGTGTGCGCTTGGTCCAAGGAAGAAAATGGAGTAATTGCACTTGAGTGCAGATGAGCGGACACTGGAGAAAAGAACATATCTTTGCACATGAAAGATTCATTGGAAATCTTACAAACCCCAGTTATTCCAGGTTTTCTTACTCCCACGAGAGACGGGGAAAGGTGGAAATAACCATCAGTGGTGAGAAGCAATCACGATGTATGTAAAACGTATTTATTTATTGATCTTGCTCCTGGGGGGCATTTGTAAATTATAGAATAGCGCAGACAGAACAATCCTCTTAAAAATGACTTTATGCCGTGTTGTTTCATCCATCCACACAGCAGTGCAGCCTCCATCCTCTCAACTTTGTGTAAGAACTCCATGCAGCGAAGTTCACTGTGATATCGATTGGTCCCTGCGGGGAAGCTCCGGCCGTCCATCTTTCTCTACAACTCCTCCCCCCTTTTGTCTATCGAGGACAGACGGAGACAAGGTCAATATCCCCTTTGCTTCCAGGAGAAATGCAGGATATGGCGGCTCGACTTTGGCTGCACGCACATGTCAATTCCATATTGACACGGCTATAAAATAGACAAAAACAGGCAGAACAGCAGATTTGTTATCGGACTGGACTTTTTGATGATACGTTTTCATCTGTTGGCCAAAAGGGGCTCGAGATGGTTTCATGCCACATTCAGGGAGGTGAAGAGAGTTGGAAACACTGACACCTTCCACTCAGTGATCACTGAAACGGTTATCATCAATTAAATAGACTTTTTGGCAAGATTGTCAAAATATAAACATGGAACTGTGATGTAAACGTCTTCCACGACTAAATGAGCCTCAGAGACCTCAACGTACTGTAAACGCAGCCTGCTAGAAACAGTCAAACCCCAAATCGCCAGCAGCTGCACCTCCCAGCATCCACAGGTGTGTGAGCTTGTCACCTCGGCCAAATATTGCATCAAGTTCTTCCAAGCGCAAGCAAGAGTAGACTTAAAGCGAAAAGAAAACTACCTACGTTGGATTTCACGAGGCTGAAATCCCATTGAAAATATGTATTTAGCTTTCTAGATACTTGTCATCTCTATCGCGCAGCAGCTCAGCAGGGAAAACCTGTCAAAAGAAAGACATTTTAAATGAAAAGAAGCAGCTTTTGAAGCTTTTCACTTAATTCTCGGCTCAGCTGCCGAGGCCTCGTGTCGGCGTCGGCTACACTCCAGTTTCCTTCACATTTCCGCTTGTGCGTTCATGGCGGTGAAATGAAATATGAATGCTGAGTGGTCACCGGAGAGGTGGCGTCACAGCGCGGCGTCTGCAGGGAATCGCAGTGACAGGAAGCGTGTGTTTCTCAGGCACAAGGCGTGGCAGCGGCGTGTCGGGCGGCGCGCTCTGTGAACACGATTCGAGGCGTGTAAAGTCGTCGCGTGGTGCTAAATCCTCACCTGCCTAATCCTCCGCCGAGGGACTTAAAGCGGAGACAGAGTCGGGCTGCGACTGGGACATTGTTGTGGAAAATGATGAGCAACAGTGGAGGGGAACAGTGAATAGGAAATGTTCATCCCTCGACCAACAACTTTCAAGGTCCCCTTGAAGAAAGAAAAAAAAAGTTTCCACAAAATAAGTGTCTTCTGAGTGATTTTTTTTTTATTAAGGGTGTACGTATATGCTCCCGTTTGTAAATGTTTAACATCCCCTACAGACATTTTAATGAATAAACAAGAGTTTGGTGAGTACTGGACTATTGCTGGCTTTCAAACCATTTATAATGTCACAAAATCTCGCTTGTGCGTTGGCGGATTCAAGATGAGCACCAACAAACTTTCTTCCTTCAACCACATGGTTTAACTTCCCAATGCACATGGAACAAAACAATACAAAAAACTATTATAAACCGTAATATATATACGGCTATATACGGTATATATATATATATATATATATATATATATATATATTTCACTGACACGTGTGGAATGTAGATTAAGTACGTTTGTGTATTTGGGGAATCTAATTTAGTTTGAGATTTACATCAGAGATTTTTTTATTTGTTTCCTGCACAATTTTGCCAACTTTGACAAAAAGCAAAAGGTTTCAGTAAAAGTTTGATGTACTTCCATTATGTGATCATGATATGAAAGATCACACCTATCAGGGCATGAACAATGTTTTCATTGCATTAGTGTAGTTTACAAGTAAAAGGTTCGACTTCAGCAATAATAATGCTTTTCTTTTTTAATACAGGATTTATTGAACTATTCAATGATTGGTATTGAATAAGATTTGAACATAAAATCCTGTACAGTAGGTGGCGGCATGCACTTTGAGGGGAGGGCAACTTACACCTGATGAACCGTGTACCCGGCTTGGTAACAGCCGTCTCTTGTGCTTCTCATTCGTCTTCACAGCTGTGACTTTGTTACTGACACCGCTGGCTTTGTCAGATGAGACCACAAGCATTGATTTATTTTGTTTACTCCTCTGGAGCGAGGTTAATCTTGGCCTCCACTGGGGAGTTTGACTCTAAAATGACTGGGAACTAAATTCCTTATAAGTGTGTCATCGTCTTCTCTTTGCCGTTTGAACTTAGATTAAAAAAAATGGTGCAGGTTGAATATTGAATGAATAACGTATAAA